CTCAGTCGGCCGTGGTGTATCTTGCATCAACAAAATGCCGATTTCCATTTACTCTACGGTGTCTGAATAGCCAGGGAAGCGATGTCCTTTCGGAGTTGGTGTGAGAGAGGGACCTTTGTTTTTTTCTACAAATCTCGCCTGCGACTCGGGACAGCAGGTTTCGCTGTACTGAGCGACGCAAAAGTGGTGGTCTGATTGATGATGGATGGATGGGTACATGGGGAAGCAGTTGCATGAGAGAAATCTCTCGATTCGACCAACAACCCTGTGACTCTTGGCGTTCTGGCCCTTGTGTTATTAGAAAGTTTTCGGAGGAGAGTTAACAAAACTCGGTAGATGATCGCCAGGAAGGGCGACTGTTCTTTTCTCAGTTTTACGGAGGGTGTTTCGACATGGACGTGGTTTGTGCCACATTGGCACAATAGGAAGGAAGGGTTTTGCTTTTCCTTCTTTTCTTCTGTTTTCCATGAAACCAAACGCACAACGTGGGGAAGGGGAAATGGAATCATGGTCTTTTTATCACCTTGGCTCGGGAAACGGTGGAAAGGGGATAGGGGGGTTGGCTCCATGTGTATAGAGTGATTCGAGTAGCCGACACTTTGTATCCTAATCAAAACTAGTGGCATTTGCGTCAGAGTTGTGTCTTTGTGTACGTGTGTGAGAGAGAAAGCCATGTCATGCCAATGGATTAGGGTGTGCTGCTGGATGTAAGCGTGACTCCAAATCCGTCTGGACTCCTTTCCAGCCGGCTGGCAACAACAGTGAAGAGTTTGGTATAAGATGAGTTCTCGTGGGACTAACTCCCTTGAGCAAAGTTTATGCCTCATCGGAGCTTACAATAGACAAGCTTTACACGATCATCTCATTGTCAAATCAATCTGGTTCAATCCCGTTAGTGTTATCAATCTGTGATGTTGGAGAAATCAGGGAACATATGTGTCCCTTGGAAACGCCAAACAGTTCCAGCCTTGCTACAATCATAACTAAAGCATCCGTATATGGCGTCGCATTTCTGAAACCACAATCAACTGAATAAACCCAGTCATAGTGCTAACCTCCTTTGACGGGCTTCGGGAGTTGTGGAAGTAAGGTTTGAACACACTTGCCATGGCAGATCCCACAACTCAGTGCTGAACACCAAAGACCGAGTGCTTTCCGGTCCCATTGTGACAGCTGCCACGAGCAACTTGCAAGTCGCCGTAGCGCCTTGCGAAATAATATACCCAAGGGTGAGGCATTTGTTACTTCTGAGAGGCTGAAGTTTCCGGAAGACTCCAGCAAGGTACTCAATGAAAGTAGTCAACTCCACTCTACCATGTTCTTTACCCATGGTCTACCGACACCAGCAAACATTGTTTGATGTACACAACATGGCTACCTAAAGTGAGACGTGCAGACGACTAAAGTAGCCAGCCCTGACAACATGGCTACCTAGAGTGAGACTTGTGGACGACCAAAAGTAGCCCTAGATAATTGTGTGAAGTTGCGGGGTTTGCCTCAGCCAGCCACATCTGAAGGAAGCAACGTCAAGCACAACACTTGAACCGCGAACCCCTAAATTACAAGCTTACTCTGCAGCACGAATTTCAGGTAAGTCTCTATGAGAATATGATGATGAAGTCAATGGCAGGAATGTATGGAGAGTAAAAGTCGTCAGCAATCCTTATTGCTACTCAGCTCGTACTCAACTCGGTTCACGCCTGAGGGAAAAGCGGAAACCCAACACCGTGACGACAGGCAAGAGATGATAATACCACGTCCGAGAATTACTATAGCTCAATGGGAGATAAGCTATAACCAAAGGCCAAGGAGAAATCGTGCTGAGTACAGGCAACGCAAACAGCACAAATAGAATTGTAACCAGAGTCCCACTGCAAGCCACTCTAGGTACACAATACAACCACCTTTGATGAATCATCTGGGGCCAATTCAAACTTCATCACCGCGTTGGTCTGTGATTGTGGCAAGCTGAGCGTTTCCATCATTCCGCTATCACAAACTGCCGATCTGCGTGCTGTGCAAATGCCACCTGGGCATCTTGTAGGGCCCCTTTGGACCGATGCCGTGATGAGCGAGACAGCCTGACGAAGTCTGAAGAGCTCATTGAGACTGTGAAGATGATAGATGACCGGAAGAGGAAGATATGGAGGTCCTGAACCCGCAAAATTCGGCCCCATGGGGCTCACGACAAGCCATGTCTGGCTCAACATACCTAGGAGTGTCTTTGAACAGTATTCGAGACCGGTCTATGTGTGATGGGAAGTCGGTCGTTCGGAGACGATCAGCTCATGGTGGAGAGCTGAGTCCTGCAAGCATTGAGACCTGTCACACGCTAAAGGCGAAGAACACAGCTCAGGAGGATGAAGGTGACTTGTGACGGTCTGGAAGCGGCGAATGATACGATGTCTGCAACTGCCGACAGCTTTTCCAAGTCGTACATGGAATGAGGCTGCCCGATAATGTGAGGTCGGCACGATGATGACGAGTCGAAAGTCACGATGGTACGAAGCAGAGGCAACCAGCCAACGAGCAGCCCGCATGGAAGTTCGGGCAGGGAGACTCAAGGTCTTCTCTACTGTTGCGCATCTGTAATTGTATGTGAAATTTATTGCCTCAGACAGGAGGAGTGTGAGGAAAGCTACTGGTTCCAGCAAACCGCTCTCAAGACGATGGAAAATTTATAAAAGCAAGAGGCCACCCTGCCGTCTATGGGCTCTTTTCTGCACCAGTCATCAAATAACTTCATCAGATACCTATCTACCTTTTTACAACAAGTTCTCCATCTCATCAATCAATCCCTACATATCATATCAAAATGGGCGTCGTTGAGAAAGGCAACAAGATCTTCGTCTCGGCCAGCGAGATCGACAAGAACAAGGTCACTGTTGAGTGGCAGCAGATGGGCAAGCAACGTTCGCAGGAGTATTACAGTGTTCCCTTCATCAACAAGAGCCAGGGTATGTTGAAACCAATCGCACATGGATGTCCGACCTCTAACTAACCACTGCTATTCATAGGGGACCAGGAGAGCGTCCTCTTCATCCAAACCAATTACCTTGACGCTTTCAAGAAGAAGCAGGCCGCAGGTGAATCGGAGTTCACTGTTGTCGTTGACACCTCCTTCCAGTACGGCCAGAATGATGAGAAGACTACACGCTGGCTTGTCTACCATGACAAGAGCATGAACGCCTTCCAGGTAAGCAATAATAAGTTCTACCACATATTGTGGTGTAGCCTATAGGCTGACCCCAAAATTACAGTGGCGATTCGTTGCGAGTGTCAAGTCCAAGCTGGGCAACTCGCTAAGCTCGTTTGCTGGTGGCACCTTCAAGAGCTTCACTGGGGTCGACGTTGGGAGCTTGGCTGCGCTCATCGGCCACCCTCTTCGAGACTTCTAAGATTGTCAGGTCTGTACGGCAAGCTAGCAGCCATACGCTTCGCACCACTTCATTGATGTGGGATCAGATCCATGTCCGTTACTCTATCGGACGATGACTGAGGTCCACATCGCTTTTTTGACAACGCACCTTTCTTCACATTCGAAACACTCTTTTAAATCCCGGGTTCTCTAATATCTTAATCATCTGAAGTAGAAGAATGATAAATTTTATTCATTCTTCCAAAATATGGGACTTTTGAATCTTCGCGATGATGGGTGATGATTGATCCGTACGACCGACTGGTCTAGCTCCAGTATAGACCAGCTGGGAAAGTCGAGTGATTCAGGGATTTGAATGTTCGGTCTTAGGGGAGACTCTCGTGAGATTGGGATCATATAGTGATTCCCCGAATCGAATCCAAGTGGACTTGACGGCACATAGGTATAAGGGAGATAACGACGTGATAGAGAGAGAGACTCCGTTTGGAGTGGACTTCAAGCGAGCGATGCCTGTCAGCCATGAGTATTCATTCGAGTATACGCACAAACGATGTCTTGTATTTCTATAGACCACAAAATGGAAGGACCGAGAGAGAGGCCTGTTCCTTCCCCTTCTAAGTTCCACCCAAGGGTCAAACTCTTCATCCCGCTGCCCCTTTATCTGAAAGCCACGGGCCCACGTACTTACTATCTATCCCAAGGGTAGTCTTCTTCTTTCTACCCTCATATTCTACATTCATCTTCAAAATTTCTATAGACACTCTTGATTCTGTTGCTGGTCAACGGTCAAAGACATTTTCGACAACTTGGCCATCCTCGTCTATGAACCTTTCATCCTAAATTTTCTACCTTCCTAATTTCTTTCATTCATTTCCCCATTCAACGACATCATAAGAAAGAAGAAGTCGCTGGACGACTCCAAGGCCCTTCGACCTAATCATCTTATCTCAACTCTGTCCAGCTCTTTCGTTCCTATTCTCGCAACCATGGGCGACCTGGACCTCTCCCCGCTGCTAGAGTCGGGGGAATACAGCGATCTTAGACTCATCACCACCAATACTGATGATGGGGTTGAGACCGAGCACTCCATTCATCGTAACATTGTCTTCAGCCAATGCCCGAGATTGAGAGAAGTGGTGGTCTCCATTGGGCCACTGGTAAGCCCTGTATACAGAACTCATACGATATCTCCTAACAGCCTATCTTACAGAACCAAGTTAACGGAGTTGACATCGCCCATCTCAAATATGACGGCAAAGCACTCGGAACGATGTTACGATACTTGTACTCCGGAAAGTACGAGGCGTAATACTAGGTGGCGATCCGACGAGCGAGTGAGACTGGCCATGATGACCGGCCTCACTCAATGTACTGGTCCATCCATACCATGCATCTGGCACATGAACTAGGACTCCTCGGTCTCTATAGTGAAGCGTCGTGGGCGTTGTGTAAGGCAGCAAGACAACCCACAAATCACGTCGACTTCCCTGACACGGTCGACGAGCTCTACAAGACGTGTGGCCAGCACCCAGATTTCCCCAACCATCTCGCAAGTATTGCAAGGATAATTGCAGAGAACTGTCTGATCAGCAGTCGGCTTCAGGATCGACTAAAGCCCACCATGCTCAAATACCCGCAGCTTGCCCTCGACGTAATGGAAGCAAGCTTGGATGCTCTGTCTGAGACCCAGAAAGATCTCGTCGAGGCACAGGAGAAGATCTCTGATCTTCGAGCTCAGGGATTCAGAGCTGATGATTTTTGGGTCGAAGATGAGCGTGATAGAGAGCGTGCTAGGAAGAGAGAAAGAGAGCGTGATCGGGAGAGAAGAGAAGCAGAGGCGGTTCGCGACGCTAGCTTTGAGTTCAAAATTGTTCAGGGGAGCAAGAAACGGAGTCGCTCCTCTTCTCATATTGCTCAACAGTACCGGGAATTAGAAGGGGAGATCTAGTTCGTTATGAGGACTTGGGAAGGAAGGAGGGGAAAGCGATACAAGAGCCTAACGGCAGGAACGTTAGGACACTCGCTGGCGAGGAAAGAGCTGAACTCTATGACTGGAACTTGTGCTTTCAATTGCCTCACGATATCCGCGAGGTATGTCGCGACAAGAATTTTGATGGAAGAATAAACCTACTCACTCAAAAAATGGCTTCTAAGGTTCTGCATGAATGAATCCAAAATGTGACTAGAGAAAGAAAGAGCGACTTACTGCCTCTCTCTACAAGTAAGGGGAGCAGGAATGGACTTCTCGTCAACAAAAAGCCCTTCTCCCTTCAACTCTTCCTATTCCTTCTTCATCCTCTCATATCACTGTTATCTCTTATTTGACCAAACAAACCAACCGAGAAGGGACCAAAGCTTGCAGATAACTTGATAAGAGCCGCTTTCTTTCCATCCATCTCACTTCAATTTGATTACCCCCGCAAATATTATACCGTATAGAACTATCTTATTGCTCGCTCAAGCATACTTCTAAATTTTCTCGCAACATACACTGGAAATTCAAGATGGCGGGTGTTGATCTTAGCAGCCTATTCAACTCCAGCAAGTGGAGCGACCTGACGATCGAGGCGTCCGGGAAGGTCTTTCACGGTCACCGGTGTGTTGTGTTTAGCCAGTGTGAGGCATGGAAAAAGTTGCCTCTGATCGTAAGTTGAAACCGCTCTAGCTATACGAAGCACTTAAGTAAGGTGTCTTTGCTAACACAAAGCCTATAGAACGGACGTCTCGTCCTCACTGGAGGGTACACCACCATGGCGATCCTTAAGTACATGTACACCGGTGCCTACAAGCCTTTCAACATTCCCTGCGTCAACAACAAACCAGAGGGACTTCAAGCAAACGCGGAAGGTCCGGCCTATGAGGTCGACTACAGCGATCACGGCGCGTTTCTCACTGTCTGCGTCTTGGTCCAAGCGAAGACGTACAACATGGCCAAACTTTACGCCCAAGCCAATACCGCACTCCTTACCATTGCGCCTAACCACACCAACCACGCAGACTTTCTCGACACCGTCCACTACATACTTGGCAATATTAAGAATGAGGAGGGACTGCAGATCGCTCTGCAAATGATCATGCCGCAGTACGAGACGGACGTTGGTCTGCGTAGCAGACTCAAGGGTCTCCTGCTCGCGCACCCCCGCCTTGCTTGCGCCCTCCTTGAGCATACGACTGAGGAGTTGCGTGCGATCAAGAGAGAGAAGAGCCTAACGTACTTTGTGAACAAGATGGAACACGGTGAAGCTTTCGGATTGGACTCACCGCAGAGCACGCCTCCGCGAGTTGTGCGTGTGACTTCCGCGAAGCGAAAGGGCGACGATGGTGAGATGCCCGAGATCAAACGTGTCAGAGAGAGCGTTGAGGAATAGGTGCCTGGTATATTGGATTCTACTTGGACAGGAAATGAGGAAGACACGGACACGTTGTCTTGGGGCAGAAGAAGGCCACTGGATCAAGGAGGAAAGATACAGCCTCTGAAGGGAAGAGGAACATAGAGTCTGCAATGCTTTAGTTAATAGACGATGCTGCTTTTCAAGATCATACAATCAAGATCAACTATGCCCCAAAGTCATTGATATGAGTTAACTTTGTATTGGTATGATTGGGTATCTATCCAAATATTCCCCGATTCTATCCCTTTTTATACACGACGCCTGGCACATCGGCCCCTCCAGTTGTAGTTTCCCATCATGCAGTGGGTATGATTACACATATCTTACACGTCCACCCCCTATCCGACACTTCCCGTTGGATGTCTCTTTCTCCCGGATGTCTTCTTCCAGCCCAGGTTGCTCTCGCCCAATGGCCAGGCCACGCTTGATGACTTCGTGTAGATTCTGATGGTTTCCCCACTCATCCTCGTATATATACTCCTCCACCTCTTCATCGGAAGGCCAGTGCATCGATCCCCCATTCCTGCTACCGCTCATTGCCGTGACCTCCTCGCGTAAAGCCATCACTGTCTCCTGGTCGAGCAAAGGTTCCGCGTAGGCTCGAAACGCACGGAATGCCCTCGCAAGGTACCGCGCGTGCGCCAGGGAAAGGTCATCACCGGCCTTGGGAGTCCACTCGCGGATGACCCACCACATTAGCAGGACCATCTCCTCGCGATCGCCAAGGAACGCGAGTGTGCGCATGTACGTGTTGATCGTAGCTGCTGTCACGAGCTTGTTAACATCGGGTTTGGGCGCGGGACCTAGAGTGGCGAGCGCTCTCCACGCAGCTTTGAGTTGGCTCGACGCTTTTTGGACTGTCTCGATTGCTGTGTGGCCGTGACCCAGCTCTTCGCTTTGGAAGATAGGGGTAAGGATTTGGCGATATGATAGCTTACTGAAAGAGCTATGAAGTCGATAGATGCGGCCCTTGGGGCTCTTGATTTTGCTATTCTGCGCTTGATATAGCGACAGAAACTCTTCATCTTCGTCTATAGTCCGTGAAGCAGCCGTGTCTTCTACGCGCAGGCTTCCCGTTTCCATTTCGTCAGTTGGTTGTTCCTCAGAACGAATTGGCGATTTGGCCGCATCTATGGTAAGCAAGGCGGCAAGTCGGGGCTGAACCGCTTTCCGTAGTACACTGGCAAATGCAGTGATCATGTTGAGATTGAGTCCGGAATGTCCCTCAGCCATCTTTAGGGCTTTGATCGCCAGATGCAAGACTTCGATATTGTTCTCGCGGGGCTTGCTGTTGCTGACCATGATGTTGGATCTGCCCAAGTTAAAGAGTATCGTCTCCCATGGCGCCCGGCCAGAGATGTCGGCTGAAGTCCAGCCCATTTGCGCAAGTTGAAATGCATAGTGGATGCTATACATGCTCTTGTTGGAGATGTGCGAGGGTGTATTCGATGTTCGGTTTGGCTGGAGGCGACAAAGCAGGTCGATGAATGCATGTAGTATGTCGTGGGGCGGGTTGGTCAACGCACTCCCCGTGAGACCTTGGTAGTCTTTCAGGCTCTGCCTAATGCTGCTTTTGAGTCCGTCCTCCAAGCTACTGCAATCGACATGATGCAAAGCGATGTCAACGCTTGGTGACTGCTTGATGAGTCCAGCCAAGAATGCTCCGCAAATGGGAATATCCGCGTTGTACATCTCTTCCACAATCTTGCGAATGCTGGGTGGGTTGGTCCGCGCCCTCTCGAAGTCGCTCAGGTTCTCGTCGTTGTAGGGGAAAACCTCCCTCCCATCTCCGGGGAGGTTGTGATGCCCGGATTTTGCTGGCTTCGCAGAGAGCTTGGCTATCAACTCTCTGTACACCTCAAACGTAGGCTTCATCCCTTGTTCTGGGGGATGTTTGAACAGGGCCCAAGCTTCTTGTGCATTTCGAGTCGTACGGATCTGAGCTGCCCATGCGCCTTGCTCAACACGAAGATGACGCGGGTAGTTTGCCCTAGTCTGAACCGTTGGCGAGCCATCAGGTGCCATACCACCTAGGATATCCGTGATCAAGTCGAAGTCCTTCTTGCTATATCCACCCTCTTGCATCATGATACCGGCCTTGACAACTCGGCTTTGGTACGCCTCAGGACCAGACTTCTCCTCCATGCCATCGCGCATAATCCGATGTGGGGGCCAGTGACTGGCAAGTGTGCTGGCCGTGTCCCGTTCTGAAGCTGTTTTTGGTAGAGCTAGCAAGACTTGCCGAATCGCCCGATAGCTCTCTTCCTCAATGACCATGGTCTTCTCCGAGGTTGAAGATAGTGACAGAAGCTTTGTCACAGCTGTCCAATTGTAAGAGCTATACTGGTATGGAGACTTTCTCGATACGACTGATACAGCCTGCAGAGCGCGATTAAGCACCTGGCATTGGAGCCTGTACGCCTTGTCTGGGTGGCGATGGCCAGGCGGGATATTTTTGATGTAGGCCACTGAAAGCTCTGCGATATCGGGCAATATATCGGGTTGCAGTCTGCTCGCATGCTGACACAGTTTGTCGAGTAATTTGCTGAACAAAACCGGTGTGATTACCGAGTCTAAGTCAAAGGCCTGCGGCGCATCGTCGGACGTCTTATGTCGTTCCGCATACCATTCATTACAGTACCTCAGTAGTCCCAGCAAGGATTCGGGACTTTGAAAGTACGGCCTGCTGGTGAGCAGGTAGAACAAGACGAACAGTGGCTTGTGACCTGGTCTGCTCAGAAATCTTTCGACCCTCCTGTCCGGATCGCGCGGGATAATGATCCAAGCCCAACTAGACACATTCGCCTGTGTATGACCTCTCGCGGACAATTGTCGTAAGGTTGCCTGCCATTGCCGACCGTCACAGAGTAGGCGCGCAATGTCTGGTCTGAGCTCTGGGATCTGGCGGAGGATTTCCTGTGCGGTGATGACGCTGAGCTGGGGGGTCCTCAACCGTGCTAGGAATCGGAGATTGGATAGCTTGGATTCGGGTGGTGGTTCGGAGGGAAGGCGATACAGGTCGGCAGCATCGGCAAGAAGCAAATCTGAGAATATCGACCGCTCATGGCGCACGATCCGTATCGAATCGCGCCGTGATGGGGATCTCGGCGCTTCATGTGACTGAGGGGATCGTTTGAAAGGTCTGATCAGCTGCCAAGAAGGCGTTTGCTGTATTGCGGCGGCAGTATGGCTGGGCTGGTAGTTGTGCCGTTGGGATAGCTGCTTGGACGAAGAACCATGTTAACTAGAAGTCTGGGAGAGCTGTCATAGATGGAGGAGGTACTCACAGCTTGCCAGTCGCGGCCAAGCACCCATCGGCCCCTGGTCAGGACAATACCGTGTGATCTGGAAATGGGCGGCGGCCGCATTGCCCCATCTTCGCTAGCGAAACCTCGTAATCCCACGATTGAGATGCTGCGAGGCTACTTTATGTTGGGGCTTAGGGGAGCTTGATGAAGTTCCATAGAAAAAAAGGTCCGGGGGCGAACGTCGCGACTGCGGGAAGCTTTCCGCAGTGCATCACGTGCGATAAGGCAGCTCAATCGATAAGAAAAAGATCCCTGCTTGTATCTACCTAAGGTTCCATACTTAGAAACCAACAGGCGCCTTCTGCGAACCTGCGAAGCAGCATTATTTTTTCCTCCTCTTCTCTTTGTATCAGAATTGCTCAATGGTGCCCGGAATCTCAAAATGCGACCTTATCATTTCAAAATAGTATCCTTGCTCAGCCGCGGGCTGCACACCGCTCGCTCCATGCCCTGCCCGCAGCGATACTTCCATGTCACAACACCAGCGAGCATGCCGCGGAAGCGGACCTTCTTCACCTCGAACGTTTACCTTTCCCAGAGCACTGGCGAGCCGACCGCGAGGCCACCAAGGCAAGAAGATGACGAATCGTCTCAGCTCACAGCACCGAAGCGCAAGGCGGTGCGTTCCGCCGGCGCAAAGAATTCCCTACGGCGCGTAGCGATTATTGCCCAGCGGCCGGCGCAACGAGAACCAGGAGATGTGCCAGCAGAGGCGATGGATGTGTCTGCGCCTACACTGATAAACGCCGTGTGTGTTGCCGAAGCTTTCAATATGGGAACGGTTCTGGACATTCTGCGAGCGCATGGATTTGACATTGATCCATATCAGAGCGGGTTCGAGGCGAGCGAGGTGGTACACGCACGAGGTGTCAATGGCGGTGATATTTTCGTTTTTCCCTCGGGGACAATTGTCACTTGGGCCCTGCCCCCAGACGTTGTCACGAAGCAGTTGCTGAACGCGGCAGAAACGCCGCTAAAGCCGGCTCTTCGGGAGGTGGAGGACCTGGAGTACGTGTCCGATCCGAGCAAGGAGACGAGCAGTATGAAGGGTGATATCGTAGTTCTGGGCACAAAGCTCGAAGAGCGAGACGGCGACAGGCTGGATACAACCCTAGCTAAGATTGCATTCTCTTCCGGACTGGCCCGAAGTACAAAGCTTGCAGTGCTGGAAACTGCGCTGACGGCTTACTTTGAGAGCACCAGAAAGATTCCTTCCGTGCTATCAAAGGGTTCTGGCTTGCCTTTGGGCAGGAAGTTCATTTTGCAAAAGACAGGCGAGCTGTTGAGCCTTCGTGCGAGGCTCAATCACTATTCAGAACTCACTGACTCTCTTCCAGACATCTTCTGGGACAGCCGATCTGAACTGGGTCTGGAAGGCTACTATGAGCAGGTTGGCCGTGCGCTGGACGTCAACGTACGGATCCGGACGTTGAACCAGAAGATGGACTATGCGCAAGAGATTGCGAGTGTCCTGCGGGAGATGTCGAGCGAGCAGCATAGCACGAGGCTGGAGTGGATCATCATCATCCTCATTGCTGTCGAGGTCGTCTTCGAAGTCAGGAGGATTGTGCTCGAGTACAGAGAAGAAAAGGAGGAAGGTAGAGTGGAAGCCTAGGTTTATGTCTATTCAAACTAGGTACTGCTGTTGCACTTTCAAAAGATACCCAACTCAATGAATAAGGAAGATGCCAAATTATACCCATTCATCGCGATTTAGAAGTGAAAACACAATTGGCTTGCCTCGGCTTATGCTCAAAATCAATCTATCAAGGCACAGGGAGTGACATTTCTTCTGTTCGTTGCTGAGGTACTTGAGACAAGCTAGTATCACCAAAGAATACCTCATGGGGTGAAACCCCAAAACCACTTCTGCATGTTTCTTTTACCAAAAAAAAAAAAAAAAAGAAAAAGGAAAAAAAAAAAAGGAAAAAATGCAATATGTATTACCTGATGCTATAATGTTTGACTCAAGGCGCGATTGAGCAGTCCAAGGTGCCCGAACTACGCTCAACACATAGGTAGGTACTTCAGTGTGCAAAGTGACTTTCGAGGTTCCAGGAGACCCTGCGCTAGCCGCTGCAGGAACGGCCGAACGGCAACAGCATGGCACTAATTGTGGATCGCGCTTGCCTAATTAGATTCGCTGATAACTGTTGTAGAATGGCTGAAAGTAAACAATTGTTCTGAATGCTAAGCTCAAATCCTAAGGTCAGTAGATGAGCTTTTTCGGATTCTTGACCTTTTCGGCATTCTTTTGGCGAGACTGAGGTACTTAGTACTGCTCTCTTCTCAACAGTGGACATTACTCACCTAGGTACCTACGTCTAGTACTCTCTTCTGAGGCTTCTGAGGGAGGAAAGACCTCGCAAAAGATACCTCGCCTTCCATTGCTCGTCGCGGTTTGCCTTCTGCCAGCGTACCTACCTTGCCATTGCCCAATTCCGTACCATACCAACTCACCTTCACACCTGTCTGCACTCACCTAAATCAGTTAGTTCGAGGTTTTCCGTTGGACTCTGTTTCTTCTTTACCCAGCCTCAATACTTGGTCAGATACCTTCCATATACGACATCACGCTTCCGATCGTGCCCATTTCGAATGGGCACGCCACTACTTCGCCGACCTCACTTTGACCACTCCTGCCTATGAGGTCTCACTACTTTTAATTGCAACATACAGCTGAGCCGCAAGCCTTTCCCTGTTTTTTCGGCAAACAAAGCATCCATCAGGCAGGGTTTCAATGCGTGTGCGACAGCCGGGCCGTACCTACCTCGACCATGCCTCCTCCGCTTATTGGTATGTTTTCTTTGTCTTTCAGTATCATGTTGGCTAGTGTTCATCTCACTAACGCTTATTCAAGAAGAAGAGGAAATGGGGGATTTGGATGGCGATCTCCCTTATGATTGGGAGGAAGACCTGGATCTGCTTGAGGATCCTTTTCTCGCTGCTTATGACAACAATAAAGTCAATGAGACTTGGGAGCTGGAGCTGGAGCAGACCAACGAACTCCCCGACCTTTATGAGGATCGCGTGCCTTCTCAAGCTTTGGAAGCACCAGCACCATCACCCTTCATCGATGATGAGCTGCCCACATCACATATTCCAGGACCGCCGATGCTGGTCAAGGCTGTACCGGAAGCCCCATTACAGGAGCAGCCGGTGTTTGACGAAGATGGCAAAAAAGTAGGCACTATTCTACCTGCGATGACCAGCAAACCTCCGCGGAACATATCGATCGACATTCCCTCCAGTACTCTTACCAGGCCGGCGAGTCTCTACCAAGGCGAAGAGCCGCGACCCAGTGAACGAGAATGGGTAGCGGTGCGGTCTTTGTTACAAGAGATGCGACAGAACAGCGACGATGGAGAGGAGGACTTCATTGAGTTCGAGATTGAAGATTTCGCCGTATACATTGACGCCACGGTACCAGGGGGCAAGCTTTACAACGAGAAACGGTATCCCTGCGAGATGCGTCCTCTGCAACATTTGAGTATCCAGACCGCATGCACTCAAATGTACGTCGACGGTGTCTTGTCCGTGGGAGAGAAGCGATTTTTTGTTAGGCAAATTCCTTTCGACGAATTGCCCATTGGGAACTACGGGGCATCAGAGGCCACTGTCGGATCCGAGATTTGGATACGCTCCAAATATAGCGTTGCCATCGCCGATAAGAAAGGCCCAGATGTTTATTATCGGCTTGGAAGCCCAGCTACAGAGTACCGACGGTACCATGTCGGGTTTATTTGGATTGCAGATCTGGCTAAGCACGTGGTCGACTATCTCTCCGCTGCTATAGAGCAGAGTCGTCGTGTCACATTTCGGGACTTCCGATCCGACTTCTCACGATGGCTTGCAGATACGCATAGTCACTCAGATGCTTTCTCCAAATGGCGGCGGCAATATTCCGGAGAGGACTTTTGCACAGCAATTGTGCCAAACGTCGAATTCATCTATAAGGAAGTTTATGGAGTCCTTGGACACCGTAAAGCCACAACGATCTATCTCTGGAGAGAAATTCGCGAGTTCACTGCATTCGCTGATAGCCAGAAGAAGATACTCCGGGCCGCTGGGAGTGATGCTTATACGCCACAGACTTCACCGTCGCCAACGCCAAAGTCGACTCCAAAGACACGTCAGCCAGCTGACATACCTAGAACAGTGGTAACTCCTTACGTTAACGACTTGTTCCATCATTTACCCTGTGGGCTGATGATGGAGGCAACCAGTCCGAGCGCAGACGTGGAAAAGATCCGAAATGGCGTCATCCAGGGCCTAGGCTTGGAGGAGGCTATAAGAATCCATACAGCGCCTAAGGTCATACTTGAGAAGACCGGACAGGAAGTACGAGTCGGAGATGTGATTTCCACGCATAGAGACGACAACGAAGACCATTGGGTTCGAGAAGCTGCTACTGGCTTTAATGATGTCGACTGTTGGTTTGGACTCGTTCAAAAGGTCCACAACGTCCGCAATTCACGGCAGAAAAGTTTTGACGTCATATGGATTTACACGCCTACCCACACGCTCTGCGGTACTATGAGATATCCATGGAACAACGAGCTTTTCCTCTCTGACCACTGTACCTGCCGCGACTCTGCCGTCGGAAAGATCAAAGAGGATGAGGTACTGGCAGTACATAGGGTAGACTGGGGAGGTTCGTCTGGAACAGATGCAGAGTTTTTTTGTCGGCAAACGTACCTCCATGAGGAGCGAAAATGGATTACATTCAAAGAGCAACATCTGCGATGCCCTCACCGCCAAGGTAGACTGGAATTTTCTTACCTGGTTGGAGACACTTTGTTGGTAAGCCTAGAGTCAGATGACGCTACAGTCGAGCCTTGCGAGTTAGCAACTCTCCCCGACGCCGATGGTAAAGCAACCTTTCGCCGCCTGGAGCGCAGACATCGCCTGCAGCCTGACATGAATGTTCCACCGAACGAACTTGTCTACACCGACGAAGAGTTTACTCTTGGACAGGAAAACATCCATGGTAGATGTCTCGTTCGAGTCTTCGGCCCCGACGAAAAGATACCACCACCATATGATCGCAATGGCGTGGGCAATGCCTTCTACATAACGAAGCGATGGCGAAACAGTGTCATGAGTCCCATTATTGAGGATGCTTCCACTCTATCGCTCAGACAGGGATTCGATCCCAGGAAGCAGTTTCAAAAGCTCCGGGGCTTCGATCTCTTCTGTGGAGGTGGGAATTTCGGTCGCGGCCTTGAAGAAGGCGGGGCGATCGAGATGAACTGGGCCAACGACATCAACACCAAGGCCATCCATACTTACATGGCCAATGCTACCACCAATACCGTCCATCCTTTCGCTGGATCGATCGACGACCTCCAACAGCTTGCCCTGCAAGGGAAGTTTTGCGAAAGGGTACCTGAGATCGGGATGGTCGACTTCATTTCGGGTGGTAGTCCATGCCCTGGCTTCTCACGCTTGACCATCGACAAGGCCACTTCCGAGCAACGCAAGAACCAATCACTAGTGGCAGCATTCGCTTCGTTCGTTGATACGTACCGACCTCGCTACGGTCTGCTTGAGAATGTGATGGAGATCCTTCAGCCGAAGGGGCGCCGAGGCGAGGATGTGTTCAGCCAGTTGATTTGCGCACTCGTCGGGCTCGGCTACCAGGCAGAGGTCTTCTTGTTAGATGCCTGGAACTATGGATCTCCGCAAAGTCGAAGTCGAGTTTTCTTATGCTTTGCTGCGCCTGGCCTGGCTCTTCCCGATATGCCTCTCCATTCTCATTCTCACTATACGGCTAAGATCCGTAGTCGAGGATTGGGATGGATTCCTAACGGCAAGTCAATGGTCGACCGGCTGGTGATGCCCACCCCCTTCAAGTTTGTCAGCGCACAAGAGGCGACGGCTGATTTGCCTGACATCAAGGATGGAAAGGCAGACTGTTGTATCAATTATCCCGACCACAGAGTCGCCGTCGGTGTTACCAACAGATTACGCACACAGATGGGTGTCATCCCAATGCACCCACATGGAATGAATTTCCGCAAAACTTGGAACAAAGGAAAGGGAGTCATGACCCTGGCGGAGAGGAACCTCTTCCCGGAGAAAGGCGAACGGGTTAACGAGCTTATATCCAACTCCTGGGGACGAGCGTTACCAGGCAAGGTCATGCCGACGATTACAACTACTCCCGCACCCACAGATGCCCGCGTTGGATTCATCATGCATTGGGAACAGGATCGCGTTTTGACGATCATGGAAGCGCGGCGCGCGCAAGGCTTCCGAGACCACGAGGTCCTCCTCGGGGCACCCAAAGACCAATGGAAGGTCATCGGAAACAGTGTGACTAGGGAGGTGTCGTTAGCGTTGGGTATCTCCTTTCGCCAGGCGTGGTTGGGATCTCTGGTTGACGGGGATGAAGTCGCACCAAGAATCCACATTCTACACGACCTCTCTGATGATGTGCGAATGATGGACACGCCGCCTCTAGCGGAGTCGCGTACCAGTATATCTGGCTCGGCATCGCCAGCGTCATCGTCGAGTCGCGCCGTGCCTGCGAAGCGTCCTCTTGGAAGCACATTTTTGGTTGAGCGGTTCACGTTTAAGATGACGAAATCAAGCCGGACACAGACACCGAGGGGAAGTAGCAATACAGTTGAGGCGGAGGATGAGATTCAGGCCGAAGTGACGACCTCCTTGGTGACCTCGGACATTGAGATCATTGAGATTGACTAGGCATAAGGATGTTGAACCGGCATTGGAGTAGGTTGTTTATGATACCATTGCATTTCCGCGCGACAAAGCGCAAAGCTCACGGGCATTTCGGCCTTGAATCCTGAAGAAGGAGGAGAGTCAACACTTGGAGTCACTGGGAAGATAGACAAAACGTATAGCAAAGAGGATAATTTGAGCTTCACAGGTTAATCAATGGACAGAGAAACTGATTACGATGAAGTATTCTTTCTATATTGTGGATGAACAAAGTGCTAAAAACGAAACAAAAACAACGCTATTTTCCTCTGCCCAAGATTAGGTATGTAAATTTGATGACACAAAATGTATTGACTCCCGGCACCTGCTCCATGGCCCTCCGCTTCAAGCCCTGGTCACAGTCACGGTGACAGTCTCCTTCTCTTTCTCGGTAACAGTCACAAACACCGTCAAGACGGACAGACCCTGCTGAGCACCAATAGCCGGCATGGAAAGGGGTTTCGGCGTCGTGATTGGGCTCGGCGCGTCCGCGGCGGCAGAAGGAGCGTCCGTCGGGATGGGGTTCACGATGAGGGTATCCGTGAATGTTCCCGTCAATGTCACCGGGGTGCTTGCTTTGGTTGTTGTCGAGCTTGCTACTTTAGTCGTTGTGGGTTCTGCTATTGATGACTCGACGGGAGTAGATTTGGCTGTGCTGGAGTGGGCAGTCTTTGAGGTCTCTTCTTCCACTGTTGAGGTGCGCGTTTTGCGGACGGAAGTCGACGTCGTGGATGGGTCTTGTCCTTCTGCTGCTGTCGATGAGGGCGCAGGAGTTGGGGCCATGGTCTGGGTGACAAACACCGTCGTCGTGAAGCCTGGGGCTTGAGCTGCCGATGTTGTTCCTGGAGCACCTGGCGCGGTTACCGAGATGGTGTATGTTGCAATTACAGTCGGCGTGACGGTGACAGTACTCTCATACCCGAGGTCAGAAGAGGCCGGCGGCGGCGCTGGCACCGCAGTCGTAGTCGTAGACACTGAACCAGGCGCAGCCGTCGAGCCCGGTACAGACGTAGACGCAGAGACCGGCGTGCCCAGGATCTGGCTCGCGACCTGGGGATCATAACACCCGACAATGACCCCCTCCGTCGTCGTCATCGGCAGCGCGAAGCACGAGGTCCCGGCCCCGCAACTCTGTATCGCGAACGCCCCGTTGGCCCCGCAGATGCCGACTTTGCCCTTGACGCAGGCGATTTGACCGGCCGTGCAGGCGGATTGCTCCGTCAGGGAGGCGAAGAGGGTGTTGAATGTCTTTGCGGAGGCGAGGTTGTTGGCTGCCACGGCGGGGGAGATGGTTGCTGTCGCGGCTGGGGTGGAGGTGCGGATTGTGGGGACTTGGTTGTTTGGTGTTCCTGTTACCTGGGGTTGGAGTGTTGATGAAGGGGTTGAAGAGGGCGTGGTCATTGTTGGGAGGGAGGAAGAGGTATCTGGTGAGGGTTGGGGATTCGGGATGGTTGTTGTTGATGCTGCGGTGGGCGTTGAGGAGGCGAGAGATGAGAGAGGTGCTTCAGCTGTGGTCGTCGACTGTGCCACCGAGGTCTCTCCTCCAGGGACGGGGAACGGCAATGAGAGGGACGACTGCAGCGGTGTACCTGGGGAAGCGGAAGAGGAAGCACCGGGAGATCCTCCGAGATGAGGAGTGACTGTCAGGCTCTCGGAAACAATAGCTGAAGCAGAGGCGCCGTTTCCAGGTACTACGGACGACACATTCTTGAAGCCGGAGGTAAGGGAGGGCGGCAAGGAGATGGTGCTGTCCATGGGAGGCAGAAAGACCGCCGAAGTGGTGGTCGGTACCGTCTGCGTCTCCACGGTAGACTCGACCGGTGTTGTGGAAGAACTCTGGTCCACGGATTGTGTTGTTACAGCCGGCGTCCTCGTTGACGAGCCGTCGAGGGTGACGAAGATTGGGGTCGGTGTTGTCCCATCTTGGTCTTGCTGTGTTACCGGCGGGGCAACAGAACTGCTTAGTTCTCTACGTTCGTGTAAGTGATGCTTGTGAGAGACAAGAGTGGTAGCGGGGCCGTACGATGAGGGTGATAGACTATCTGATGAAGCAGTAATGCTTTGACTATACGTTGTGTTCCACTCCCTCCGAAAACTGTGACATGTTAATGAGAATACATTGGGTCTTGCTGTGGGGCTTACTTACTACCTCTCACCACGTCTTAATGGGCCGGCCTGCGTGGTCTGGGTGATCAGGAGGAGCAGTAGGACATCTGCTATGCGTAGACTGGGGAGCATTGTGATGTTCTGTTCTGAGCCGCCTTTTGCGTAGGGATATTGACTCGAACTCGCTCCCTCTACAGGGGATGAAGAATATTATGAATAAGAATTTGGTATCAATACCGTGTTGCCTCTCTCTCAGGCAAACCCAAAGATAGTTGAAAGAGAGCGGGTACAGATCTGGCGTCTAGGCACACAAAGGCGGCGATCAACAGAAGACTGGGAACAGAGTAGGAAAAGGCCACAAAGGACAAGGAAGGACGACGTGGGGAAAGGAACCGAGAAACAAAACACGAGAAAAGACGGAAGAGAAAGGAGAGTGGAAGGGGAGAAAGAGAGAGAAAGACGTCAATATGACTCGAAACCCACTGCGGACAGGCAAAGAAAAAATGATTGTATGACGAACGGTGTGTGCTTGACAACTCGTCAGACACGAAGCACGCGAGGATGCAGGCTCCATCTTGTATGACTGGACCTGACGGCAAGACAAGAATAAGAAGCGGTCCTGGGGTCTAGAACTCTCAACCTTGTCGTGGCCCATTCAACACGCCGGGCTGTGAAGGCATTCGAAACACTTTTAGTCTGCTGGGTCTGGCCAAGAGTGGAAATGGAGCCCCAGCTTAGATGAGGGCCCGGCAACTTGGGGACGACGTCGTCCAATGCCTTGCATTTCCTCTCTGTCTCGCAGCCGGGGAGTGATCGGATGTTTAATTTGTGGCCAAGCAAAAGGCCGATTACCTAGACCTTACCTTATGGAGTCCATCGCAAGGTTGCCGGGGCCGAGATGCCCATTGCCGCGAGACTGGGTAGATCGTAGCACCCACGCACCGTAGCAGTAGCGGTGGGTGGACGGGCAGAAATGGTATGGTTAAGCGCCTCACACCAAAGAAAAACAACGTCTATACGAGGTCTCTGGTGAGAGAAACGGGCCACTGTAGACTAATTTTGAAATGAGAAGGGGTTTCTTGGTTCTGGGTGTCTTGTGGTTTGGTGTCTTCGTCTTTGTTTCTGGAGAGGTTGATTGCAAACGCGCGGGAAGCTATTATTGGCAGTTTGGGGGATCCCTGTACTCTTCCCGTGCGACAGCAACCAATCATTGGGACGGCGCTTACACCACCTGGAGCACTGTGGAGACCAAACGGTGCACGCCTGGCCCAAGCTTCACTCGTCGCCTCAGTCTAATAAAACGTCTCACTCTCACTCTCACTCACTCGCCTCACTGCTTCTCACTCACTCATCCACTCTCATTCATAAGTCAGCTACTTCTCACCCTTGATCAATCCTCGAACTTTCTCATCATCATAATTCATAGACTCTCCTCAGTTCTTACGTCATGCTGTCAACCCTTATGGCACTTCAGCACGTCAGCCACAAACACCTCCTGCTTAGTGGCTTGTTTCGGCCGAGTCTCATGCAATCACATTCATGAGTCCTGGCCTGATAACACGCGAGGCCGAGTCACAGCTTGAGTCCCTTCAAAACGTTGCATTCTGACATTCCGCGTCATCCTGAGACTATCATCTGTCAACATTAGCCTGGCGACTTGGCTCTTGTTCTGAGCGTAATAGCCACTCGCGCCGTCGTCTCCTTTGTGATTATTGAGGAGACTCGTCACATGCATCGTACCGGTGCCCTATCTCTTCCTGATCATCAAGCCGCTCTTCATTCAAAAGTTACTATGTCTCGTCAAAGTCGGGCTGAAATACGCTTTCCAAGAGGCTCTGCTTATAGTGCATATATCGCGACTCCGCCTTCGCCCGCGGTCGGCCTCAACATACCATTCCTCATAGCTTTGCTCCCAATTTTCTCAAAGTTGAGCGCAAGGTAGATTTTTAGCATCTCATCATCCAAGCAGATGACCATCGTGCAGCTGTTCAAAGTCTTGTCAAAGTATGATTACCCAAAGCACGTGGGCTGCAAATGTCGTGCCACCTTCCCCTCTCGTCTCCAAAGCCAAGGCAAAGACTGGGGGGTTGAACTTCGCAGTCGTTGGAATATGCTTCTCTACCTTTGCCACGGGCAGCACGTTGCCCATCCCGTAGAATCTATTGGGACAAGCGGGGATCACACTCCAACTGCCAAGCCGTACCCTGGGCATAGAGGCGTCTTGGCTCCCAGGAACGCTGCAAAACATGTGCCCCAGGTGACGGAGCCATTCGCGTTTATCATCCAGATGAGCTTTAAGACGGTGAAATAACTCTCATTTTTCAACACAAGTAATGACTCCTTCCATTATTGGCAGCAAGGAATTGCGATCCTCTTACTAGAATCAGCAAGACACTATTGAATGTGATCCGTCATGCCAAGTGAGTACGCCGCAACAACGGCTGCAGGCGGCATAAAACATGACGTGAGGTACTACAACACGCGGCCAAGAAAATTGAAGATGAAGACTTATAAGAGTAAAAGTGATGGCTGCAACCTTGATGGCCTTTCTGAGAGTCTTTATCCATCGTAGAAGTGCCTTCCAAGATGCGCTCTTCAGCCGTGGTCTTTGCCGCCTTGGCGCAGTCTGTCCTGTCGCTTCCCAATGTCAAGAACTTCATCTACATTGTTCCGGATGGATACGGTCCCGCCTCTCAGACGATGGCAAGAGACTATGTCTCGCTGCTCGAGAATGGTCAAAACCCCAAAGCACCCGTGAGCTTCCAGCTTGCAGCTGATAAGATGGTGCGTTAAGGAATACTTAACACTCATGTTATCCATACTTACGATCTTGGAAGGTCCTCGGCAACGTTCGTACTCTCTCCAGCGACAACCTTATCACGGACTCTGCCGCCTCTGGAACCGCCTTTGCCTGCGGTGTGAAGTCTTACAACAACGGTACGCGCGCCTCTCATGAAAACGCGACGGCCTTTTACTAAAATATGCCAGCCATCGGCGTCAACCCCGCTGGCGAGCCTGTCGGTTCCATCCTCGAGGCCGCCAAACTCGCGGGCATGATGACGGGTCTAGTCGTCACCAGCACCATCAACCACGCTACCCCCGCGTGTAAGTAAATCCAAAACTGAAAAAGCCCTGGTCACATAGAGCCTTGCAACCAAAAGACGCACCACTAACAGATCCAGGCTACGCGGCTCACGTTGCCGATCGCAACTCGTACGCCAAGATCGCGGAGCACGAGATTGGCTACGGGCATCCGCTCGGCCCCGTCGCCGATGTTCTCCTCGGAGGCGGCCGGTGCTACTTCAAGCCCGCGTCCGACTCGACCTCTTGTCGGAGAGATGAGATTGACCTCTTTGGCTTCGCCCAGGAGCACGGCTACCATGTGATGCAGAACCGGTCGGCCTTTGACGCTCTCGATAAAGGTCTCGGCGACATTCGCCTTCCTTACATTGGTCTCTTTAATGATGGTACTTCGATCCTCCACCCTCCCGGTGAAGACATGTAGATGATAACACACTGCCAGGTCAGATGATGTACGAGATCGACCGCTCCCGCCAACCCTCACAAGAACCCTCTCTCCTAGAAATGGTCGAGACGGCCCTCAACTCCCTCCACCGCGACACACACTGCAAAGAAGAGGGCTACTTCCTCATGATTGAAGCCTCGCGCATCGACCACGCAGGCCACGCCAATGACCCGGCCGCCCACCTCTTCGACACGATCCACTACAACGAGGTCATGGGCTTCGTCCGCGCGTGGATCGACGAGCACCCAGACACCCTGCTCATGTCCGCCGCCGACCACGAGTGCGGCGGCCTGACGCTCAACGGCTTCAATCCGCTGCCTCTCGCCAAGGTCAACGCCTCGACCGAGTTCCTCATGGATGTGTGGGACGCGTACACCGGGTCCGATAAGAAGGCCTTTCTGGTGGGTGAGATTCTGCCAGAGTATGGGCTTGCTGATGGCACAGACGCCGAGGTGAATACACTCCTCGCCGCTGGCTCGCTGAGCTCGGAGCTGGGGAACTTACTGGCTAGTCGGGCTGGCGTGCACTGGTCTACTGGGGGTCATACCGCTTCCGACATCACGCTGTACGGATACGGTGCTGGTGAGAATGGAAGGGCCATCAAGAGTGACATGTCTGGTAATTGGGATAATACCGAGCTCCCAAAGTACATTGAAAAGGTGCTTGGCGTCGACATGGGACAGGTGACGGCGTTGCTGAGGGCTAATGGCACGGATTGGGTTGGGAAGAGGGATTTGAGTCGACGGTCTGATGAGCATATTCATGGACACGACCATTCTCACTAGAGTAAAGTGTTCTTGTTATGTCTTGTGATCGTTCGCGTGGGGATTTGGACAAATTCAAGTCTGAGACTTTTATGTATTCATTTCTTGTACAACACATCCAAATCTAGTAGGACAATACATCAGAGCTACTGGCCATTGCGTATGGCAGAACAATACCTCATAGATGGACACGAAATTTGGTAAAGCACAAAACTTTCTGTAATCGTGGGACATCTTTCATTTTGACCGTGTTCTGAGCCACAAGCCTATCGCCATTCGGCTCCTCGTCTCTAGCCCAAACCCTCCCAACACCCCCTTAGACACCACACTCTTCTTTTTATTCCTCTATCACGATAACTCCATCATTCAAATCCAAACGCCGCTCATGCTAGATTGATTCCCTCAAAGAACGTAAATGTACGGCTCAGACCCGTCCTTGGGCCTGTGTTTGCCTTGCGCCACGCGCCTGTTATGCAAAATGTAAACGGCCTCCTGCAACAGGGCGAACGCCATGCCGACCGAGACCATAATAATCATCGTCAAAAGGCCTTTATCGTAGCTGTCACAAAAGTCGTCAGACAAAGCTGTGGTAGGTTGGCCTGGAAGAAAACTTACAAAGGCAGGTCGTTACCCCTGAAATACTGAGATCCCACCATCAAACCACTGATGGCAGACATCACCCACATGCTTCCTCATCTGTCAGCTTCTGCTAGATTTTCAGGATGAAGCGAATACTTACGCGATTCCGATGCTGCGCTCTCTGGGATCACGGCAGTTTACCTGCAACCAGGTATTATGCGCTGGATGGTAGCACACAGCAAAAGCGTTGATGGCCGTCCACAACCCCCACCTCGACCACTTCCCGACATGCGGATGCACGGTCCGGGCCACCACCAGTATGGTCAGGTAGCACACATGTCCCAACAGAACCGTCGATCCTCTCTTATTCGACCGATCACTCAGCATGGCAAAGGCAAAGACGACGACCATGGCGAGAGACGCGCCGACCGCGGCTAGGGCGTTGGCGCTGATGCGGTCGAAACCAAGGGCCCTTTTGGTAGAGGTGGGCAAATCAGTACAGCGCTCCTCCAACCTACGGGGGAAGAAAGAAGGCAACTGAGCTTACATGATGATGGAAGGGGTATACGTGGTTAGCGGCGACCATGTCGAAAAGACGCAAAAGGTGGATACGTAGTGTGGCCATCTCTTGTAGTGCTTGACTGTCTTCCAGACGAGGGCCCAAGGGATCTCGATACCTTGTACTCCATCGCTCTTCCCGGGCTCATCGATTTGCATTCTCTGTTGTAGAATCTGCTGTTGTCTTGTCGAGAATCGAATCAGCCCTTGGCTTCCGAGGGGTTTTGGCGTGTCAGGGGATCCGGGGAGGAGGAAGACGAGCATCATGGCAACGACAAGAGTCGCCAGGCCCTCAACTACGACACTGTATCAGAAGAATCCAAGGAATGAAATGGACGGAGAGAAAAAAGAAGAGAAAAGGAGGAGGCCAACACTCACTCAAGAAAAGCCATTGCCAACCCGTCAACCCACCCTTCCCTGCCAGTTTCAGTATCCCAGAAGCAAGCAGCGGACTCAGAGCGTTGCCGCCAAACTGCCCAAACATGAACACCGCAATGCGCTTCGCCAGCTCATGTCTAGGGTACCAGTTGGATAGGGTGTACATTGATCCGGGGATGTACCCGGCCTCAGCGAGGCCGAGCATGAGGCGGATGGCGAGGAAGCCGGCGCGGTTCTTGACGAGGACTTGCAGCGTGGCGACGGTGCCGAAGAGAAGGACCTGTAGGGATATCCATTTCCGGGGGCCAAACTGTTGGAAGTGGAATTTAGCGTAATATCCCCCTGAGTAGCAGGCACTTGAAGGTGAAACTGAAAAAGGGGAAGTGAGATGATTTGGGGGATGGGTTGTGCGGACGCACCCTTTGTAAGAGCAAGTTGCATGGAATCTCCAGGACAACAGTGCCCATAAACATGAGCTGGTTCCCCAGATTGATGGTATCCTGACTGACGTTGATATCCCTCGCGAAGCCGGCTGTAAGTGCTGAAGCCAGGTTCATGCGGTCGAGCTGGAACATGAGTAGACCCAAGACAAGTAGCGGCAACACAGTCATGTCGATTCTGAGACCATAGTATGTTAGTCTCACTCAACCCATGAAGCTACTTTAAGCTTAAAAATCCTGTATCACTGGGAGGCGGGGGGGTCTTACTTCCTCTTGGCCTTACGTTCCTCATCGACGTTCCATTCCAGCTTGTCCTCGGACGCCACGACGGATCGGTCCGTCGGCGTGGTGCACACCATCTTTTCATCTGTCCGAGAATTCATAGCTGTCGATCACGGCAGTTACACGCACATACACGAGAAAGAGACCATGAATATTGGCCATTGGATTTAGCTGGAAATGCCATGGTCAAATGCTTTTGTCTCGCGTAGTCGGCCATCCAGGTTCTCCGTCAGACTCTCAGTGCCCACAGTCAGCCCTGGACCACAAACCCATGTTTCCCCCACATTCTCTGCGAATATCCTCAAGAAATTCAGGGTTCAAGAAGGCGACGTGATGTAAGTGCTCGCACCTTGATGGTCTCCCACCTCCGGAGTAGTCGTCTGGTCGGGAAGTACTGATAAGTGTTATCGATAACAGCACATGCTCGTGACGGCCTGGGGGAGACGAGACGGGAGAGACAACGTTTCCTCGCACGATAACGCCATCGGGCGCTAAGATGACCAAATCGACTTTCCACCACCGTGGGCAGCACCGGCATCCCTGTCCGACTACCCGGTCAGGCGGTTTAGGACGGCATGATTGGACACATTAGCTGTTTGGTAGTGGGGTCCACCCCTGTTCACTTGAACCCCTCCATCCGTCCGCTGCAAGCCGCTCCCAAACTCTCGGGAGGCGGGCAGCTAAAAAAGTGAGAGCATTCGCACTTCGCGAGCGTTTACCTGCGCGTATCCTGTTCCCTTTTCCTTCTTGATCTCCAAGTTTCTGATGCCTTCTGTGTTCCCTGTTATAAAGACTGTGAACCAAATCGGGCAGAAAGAGTAATTGTTAGAGAAATGTGCGCAGTCAAGCGGGTTGCCGTCATCGGCGCGGGGCCGGCCGGGGCCATTACCATTGACGCCCTGGCGCGGGAGAAGACTTTCGACGTCATCCGCGTGTTTGAGCGTCGAGAGGCAGCGGGAGGATGCTGGTGAGTCCTTCTTTCGTTTGTTGCAAGTTGTTTCCATTGAACTGTTGCACGAGGTTGGTTCAAGGTTGTACTCATATGGAGCACATTGGAGTACCTTGATGGTTAAAGCTGTTCCTGGAAATACTTTCAGGTACCACCTTATGAACGAATGGACCAGGCAAAATGAGAACCTTGATGGAGCACTAGCATCTAGAATGCTAAAGCAGATGGCCAATTGCTGCAGCCAATGAACCATATCATCAATGTCACCAACTAAAGCAACCTCGGCCAAGATGTCATCAGCAGACGATGAGATGAAATAGAGACGTTCACCGTGTTTGAACCAGACGCCGCCAAAGAACATTAACTAACCCTTCCGCTACCACAGGGTCGGCGACCAAACACCACCACCACATTTGACAAACCTCTCCTCACTAGCAGCCCGGACCGCCGACCAACCCCTCCCAATCCCGGAAACACTCCCCTCCCGGACACCGAAAGCCCCGGCCGGGTCGGCCTCGGCCCCGGCCCCGCCACGCTTCACCGAGTCCGGAATCTACCCCTACCTCGAAACCAACGTCGACGCCATCCCCATGTCCTTCTCCGAGGAATCACTCCCCGACCAGCGCACCGACAACTCGATTGCGCTGCACGGGCCCGAGACGCCCTTTCGGCACTGGACCGTCGTGCGGGACTTTGTTCAGGGGCTGGTCAACCGTAACGGCTACGGGGATTTCGTCTCCTACCGCACCACCGTCGAGCGCGCTGAGAAGGTTGGAGACGAGTGGAAGCTTACTCTCAGGAGAGAAGGGGACGAAGGAGACGACTGGTGGGTTGAGTACTTTGATGCTGTTGTCGTTGCGACGGGGCACTACTGGGTTCCCTACGTCCCTCACATCGAGGGCCTCGAGGAGTTTGAGAAGGCGCGTCCGGGAAGCGTGATTCATAGCAAGCACTTTCGCGGACGAGAGCATTTCCGCAACAAGGTGAGTCTTCTCTCATGATCTCTCTCTCTCCCCCAGTCACGAAAACGTCACTGACCACTCTGCAACCCAGCGCGTCGTCGTAGTCGGCGCCTCCGTCTCAGGCGCAGACATCTCCATCGACCTCGTCAAAACAGCCAAACTCCCCGTCTACTCCGTCGTAAACGGCCGCAAAGCAAACCTCTACTTCGGCGACGGCGCCTTCAACCACCCGCACATCTCCCGCCGCGCCACAATCACCCACATTGACCCTTCCACCAGAACAGTCCACTTCCAAGACGGCACCTCCGTCCCCGGAGTCGACAGCATCGTCCTCGCCACAGGCTTCACCTGGACCCTCCCCTTCCTCCCCTCCGTCGAGCTGCTCAACAACCGCGTCGCGGGGCTCTACCAGCACGTAATCTACCACGCCGACCCGACGCTGCTCTTCATCGGCGCCGTAGCGGCGGGGCTGACGTTTAAGATCTTCGAGTGGCAGGCCGTTTTAGCGGCACGCGTGCTGGCTGGGCGGGCGAGGTTGCCGTCCCAGGAGGAGCAGGCGAGGTGGGAGGCGGAGAGGGTGAAGGAGAAGGGTGATGATATTCGCTTCTCGCTTGTGCATCCGCACTTTGAGGAGTATTTCGAGACGGTGAGGGAGCTTGCGGGCGAGCCTGAGGGTGGGGTGGGTAGGGCGCTGCCTGTGTATGATCCGTCCTGGTTTCGTGTGTTTATGGACGGTTTGGAGTTGAGGAAAAAGATGTGGGTGAGGTTGAATGCCGAGGCGCGGGATGAGCTTCAGACGACGGCGAAGGGGGCTGGGAAGGAGGGGGGGAAAGTTCCTATTGTGACTACGATTGAGGCACCGCAGGAGGTACGGTAGACTCAAATACTAGTCTGAAATATGATATGCGAAGAATCCCATCTACCTGGCATCATCATGGTTGAAGGCGTATACATGCTTTGGCATGACTGATATGTGCTGTGGTGGATGACGATGATGCCGCTTGCTTTGCGACATCTTCATGATGTCGTGCTTGATACCAAGAGAATTACAAACAGCCCAAGTTGGCGATACGAAAGTCAGCTAGTCAGAATGATTTCCTCATAAAATCCAAAGTCCCAACCGCCAATATTGATGGCTTGTACTGAGCACCATCTGATAACGCACACTCACGTTGCCGGCCATATTCATTGGCCATCCAAGCCACGTGATCATTCTGAAGCTGGAGGTCAACTCAGATCCTTTCGTTCCCTAGACGAACCAAATCCTCTCGCTAAATGACATACGTGCAGCGGTTGGAACCAAGGGGTTGGGATAAGCGCTTACATGTGGGCACCGTCTTACATCAGACGACAGGCAGTCATTCCTAGACTACATCGGCCACTCCTAGCTCGCGTCTCTTGGGGTGAGATTAAAAAAGGGAAAGCCATGCTTCTGCATCTTAAAGGAAAATAATGCCAGCGCATGGCTTCTGTTGGACTTGGCGAAGCTCACTGGGTGGGTTTGAGCTGGATGGTTTGCGACAGCTATACATAGGGGATCAAGGAAAAAGCATCGCATGTGAAAAAGAGCCAAGATCCCACGCCTCAACAACTACAAGCGAAAACATGGATCGGTTCTTCAAGAAAGAAGAGTCTTTGAATACAGACACAGCAATGGAACCCTCACCACAACCATCCAGCCCGCCAAAGCGAGGCCTCAAGCGCCGCTTCACCGACCTCCACGTCGACATCACAAGCATTCTACACGGCTACACCCCCTCCCCACACTTCCTCGCAAGCGACGTCACCGGCTTCCTCCTCTTTACCCTCCTCGCGACAGACTGGCCATCCATCTGGCGCGCAAAACTCTTCCGCGCCGTGCCCTGTGCCCAAACAGCCTCTGAGACCTTCTCCGGCTTCTGGAACGCCTTCTGGCAGGAACGCTGGCACCAGGAAGACCACGCCGAGTCGAAGACGGACAAGTGGAACCCTTCGCTTTACAAGTCTCCGCCGCCGCGGATGCGCTCGTGTCGCGAGGTGCTGAATCGGCAGCAGGCATTGCGGAATTGTTGCGCTGCGCAGATGGCGGAGCTTGAGGGGCGTGAAGTGGTCAAGGAGATGATGCTGCAGGTTGTGCTGGCATTTTGCTGGCTTTGGGCGGTGCTTAAAGACTACAAGCAGCTCCTCTGCCTGGTGGATGCCATAGAGACCGATGGAGAAGGGTGCCGGCGGGAGGAGGTTGAAAGGGAGGTGCCGGTGGTGGTGTGTAAAGGAGAGGGAACTATGCCCGTGGCGCGGGGCGGCCCGTCATACTGTTGCTTGAGACGGCTCCAGCAACATATTGATCGTGGACAAGGCCTTGTTGACAAATTCGTAGAGCTGCAGATGTGTGACAGTACCGACCATACGCTTTGGACGGAGATGGAGTGGCTAAGCGAGAAGGAAGGTGAAATTCCTGCAGAAATGCTGCAGCAAGATCGGTTTCTTGTCAATCGTGTCGTTTTCTCGGCTGGTCTCTCATGGCTCATGGTTGCCATCAGCTGCGACTTTGCGACCTTCTACTTCCTCGTCCTGATACGGCGACTGAGTGCTCGTTTACTGCCGTAATATATAGTTTTATAGCATCGAGAAAATCCTTTCACGAAACGTTACCGTCAGACACTAGACGAGAATGCCATGCTGAAAGCTAATTCTTGATAGTAATATTTTATTGGGGGCATGTATTCATCAGCACTGTGAATTGGGATATCGCTTTCCATGTAAACGCCTTGCAATGCAAATGTCGACTTAGCGTCGTCTTCTGAACTTGCTGTTGTATCCAGGCCCGCCCTTCGCGCCGTGATTCTTAAGTTTCAATCGCCGGAAATTTGTGTGCGCCATCGCGTTCACCTTTCTGACAGCCTTCTTGACCGCCCCGACCTTTTCCGTCTTCTTTTCTTCCTTCTTCTTGGACTTGGCCTTTGGTGCTGACTCGTCAAACTCTGACTCCGATCCCGAGCCCGCAAGCTCATCGTAGTCGTCCTCTGGATCGCCACTATTTCGTGTCTTGGGCGCGCCTTCTTCATCCTCTTCTTCTTGTGCCTCGTCCTCGGCGGGAGCAGATGGCCGCTTGACGTGGACAGGCTTCATATTGGATCTTCTCGTAGTTCGTTTCTGCCCCTTCTTCTTGTATACCCTCAATGGCATGCCATCACGACCCACTTGCTCTTCATCAGGGCTATCGTAAAGAGCCTCGTCGTCGAAACCTCCCAGAGGCAGGTTGACTTGACTGTCTGCAGCGAGAATATCCGCTTTCGGCTTCGGAGGCACTTTAGGCTGCACTACCTCGCCTTCCACCTCCCGCAGAGCTTCGAGTTCGTCTTCGTTATCCAGGTTGTCTTCTTCCACCTTTCTGAGACTTGCTACAATAGCACTGAGGCCACGGACCAGTGGTTTCCGAGGTAATCGCAGGGGCGGCGCTGTGAAGTCATCGCTCTTGCTTGGTGGTGGTTGGGTGTGTCTTTTGAGGAAGGACGGCGTGCTGAACTGAAGCTTCGAAACAGTTGTTGGTGTTTTGGCGTCTGCTGCTGGAATATCTTTGTTCTTCAGAGGTGTCATGAAGCTGTCTAGCATTTGTCGTTTGCTCGTGGACATTGGCGTCCGCCCAAACTTCGCATCGTCCTCCTCGTCCATAGGTGTCCCGCGCTTTCTTGGTGTCGTCATCACTCTGGCATCGGCAGAGGTATTGATATTCATGTTCTTTCTTGACGGTGTGCCGAGCTCTCGCTCTACCATCAGGTCAAACAGTCCCAGCACTCGACCATCGCGTTGTGGTGTAGGTCCAATCGATCTTGGAGCCACGGGACTAAAGAGTGTTCTAGAGATCGAGGGGGTACTAGTGAGGGCGGCATCTTCGGAGTTCGTCCTTCTCTTTGAGGGTGTTTCGGTGTGCTTGGTTTTCTTCGAAGGAGTTCTCGCGAGAGGGGGGATATCGTCCCGCTTCTTCGGTTTGGGAGCTTCTTTTGAAGGGGGAGGAGTCTTTCCTGAAAGGATGTCGCGGACTTTGTTGTACTGCTTGTACTTTTGCGCTGGTCATTTATGTTAATATTTGATTACTTTTGTGCTTCAGAGATAAGATACTCACCTATGTCGGCGTTGCTTTTGATATCGCCTCTACCCGGCTTCTTCCCATCGTGAGACTTTGCCCAGGAGGTTTCCCACGTCTTGAGTTCGGCACGTAGTTTCTGTGACTGGAGCTCATACTCTGCCTTTGTCGGGTCGTCCATTGTGAGGCAGTCGTTGAACAATATGCATCTACGTCATTGAAGATTGGGGAGGGCACAAAGTTAAGGTTGAGTAAGTGGTTTGGAATGAGGTACGTAGTTGAAGACGTCCAGGGTGGATTTCAAGGTGAAGGGAAGTAAACGCGGTTGCGACGCGACAGGGGAAAATCACTAAACACGAAAGATCCACGGTCGCCCAGCAGCACTTTAGGTACGTACCTTCCAGATCAAAGCGCTTGCCCCACCATCGAATTCCTTATCTTATCAGAGTTTAAGTTGCTTGTCATGCTGAGTAACAAAGCCGTTACGTTGGGGTGACTCGGTGACATCGTCGTCTTCCTTCGTCATACACCACTTTCTTTCTCTTGAGCACGCTCTACACCTGTGGCATGTCCGCCGAAGCGACATCCAGCGACAACTCGAGTCCACGAGATCTTCATTCCGTCGTCCTACAGACAACGCTGCAGGAGATCACTACGCGACCGACGGATCTTCAAGACTGTTGCGTCATTTGCCTCGAAGAGATCACCGAAGGCTGTGAGGCGCAACCCTGCCACCACCACAATTTCGACTTCCTCTGCCTCGCGACATGGCTGGAACGACAAACAGCATGTCCGCTATGTAAAACCGAGATCAAAGAGGTCCGCTACGAGTTTAGCGACGACCGAAAGCAATGGAAGACCTTCAAGGCCCCAGAGAGACCCCCGGATAAGGCTGGAGACACAGCGAACGCCTCTTCTAGTCAGCAGACAAGGCGGTATTACTCTCAAGCTCGCCCACGGCGGCCACGGCCACATGCGCCTTCGACAACTCGGCCCAATCTGTCTCAAGATGAGGCAATCACCCGCCGAAGACATGTCTATCGACATCAACTGTACTCGCTACACGTGGGCTCGAACAGGATATCAAGATACAGAGACTTGACTCCGCAAATGTTCGCCTCCGATACAGAGCTTGTCTCGCGCGCGCGTACATTCCTGCGGCGAGAACTACAGGTCTTTGAGTTTCTCTCGCCCGACAATGATGCAAGGCCGCAAGATACCGACCCAGTCCGACGTCGCAGAGCCAACAATGCCGAGTTCTTGCTCGAGTACATCATCGCTATCCTCAAGACCGTGGATATGCAAGGCAGCATGGGCCAAGCTGAGGAGCTCATTCAAGAGTTTCTGGGCAGAGAGAATACAAGATTGCTGCTTCACGAGCTTCGAGCGTGGCTGAGAAGCCCCTACATGTCGCTTGAAAGCTGGGATCGCGCTGTGCAATATCCGGATGTCACACCCAAGCGGCGACGGTCACAGAGTCCCAGCACAGCCAATCGTGGAGAATCGTCCACGACCACCAACAGTATATACCCTTCAACCTGGAGGAGAGACGAAAGACGCAGGTATCGCAGGCAGCCTTACGAATCGCGTCGGTTACGGAATGACCAGAGATTACGAGAGGCGACAGAACGCTACTCGGTTGATTGAGCACTGATAGCACAACTCGAACACGATGATACCCTTTGGTTCTGGCTTTACACGTATTTGCGGCGGATCCTTTTGCGGAACTATTTTGCGCAGTGGATGACACAGGATACAAGCTTTAGACTGGCCTGTGCTTTATTAGCTTGCGACTTTGCAAGGGCGGCAGAGCGGCAGGGCGGCAGGGCCCTCGGCGGTGGTAATGAACAAGGGGGCGTAATAGACTCCACGAATCATGAATGCAACGTAACAAACCAAGTGCCGAAATGCAGAGTGCCGAACGCCATCGGAACCTTCCCAGACCCGCCTTCGCCGACTTTTGCTTCGGCTGAATAATGGCGGGTGTGGGCTCTCTTGTGCTGATGAAGAGACAAGACGGGGTAAGCTCGCTCGATATGGAGGAATCCCGCCGGCCTTTAGCTAAATGATTCCGGTCGGATCGGGCTCCGGGTCTGATTGGTAATCAACTCAAAGTCGGCGCCAGTTACGGCGGAGTCCCGCCGTATTCGATCGAGGCCGAGGCCGAATTTTACGACATATTTGACGTCTTTGATTCCCATGCCGTAGATTTTGAAAATAGACTTTATTTTACCATATCTGTGTATTCAAATTCTCCTCCATCGTCGCGTAAGAAATTCGAAGAGTGAATGAACACCGCACGCCAAGCAAGCAAGATGTCCACCATTAACATCAAAGTCATATCAGACCCTGTCTGCCCCTTTGTAAGACGCCTTTCGCCAAGTTTCGTATTTTGCCAAGGCAATGTCACTAACCTCACTCGCAGTGCTATCTCGGCAAAGCCCGTCTGAACAGAGCGATAGACCTCTACAAAAAGACGTACCCCGGCGGCAAGGACGACACCTTCAACGTGACGTGGCAAGCCTACTACCTCGACCCGACGGCGCCCCGCAAGGGCGTTCCCGTCAACGAGCGCATGGCGGCGCGCTTCGGCGCCGACAGGCTGGAGATGATGCACGCGCGCATGAAGAAGCTGGGCGCCGCGGAAGGGTTCAATTTCACATTCGGGGGCAAGATCGGGCACACGCGGGACGCGCACCGGACGATCCAGCTGGCCAAGACCAAGGGTCCCGAGGTGGAGAACGCGGTGGTGGACTCGATTATGAAGAGTTACTTTGAGGAGGACGGGGATGTGACGAGCTGGGATATGATTGTGGATGCGGCGGTACGGGGTGGGCTTGAGAGGGGGGAGGTGAGGAGGTGGCTTGAGGAGGGTAAGGGAGGGGAGGAGGTTGATAAGCAGGTGGAGGAGGCGTATCGGATGGGGGTTAGGGGGGTGCCTCATTTTGTGATTGAGGACAAGTATGAGGTTGGAGGCGCGCAGGAGGTGGGTGAGTTTTTGGGACAGATTGTCGCAGCGAGAGAGAGGGGTGGGAGGGCGGCCGGGGGACAGGATGGGCTTTCGTGTTGACGTTCTCATGGCATACACGCGCACACGGAGAATACGATCGGAGTGTAGGATACTTTTTGGGTCATGATGGAGCTTTGTTTGAATTTCTGGGGTATCATGTCGTAAAACAACCATGGCAGTAGAAGCGCCCTCGTTTAATATCCTCATTCCTTCTTTCCAACCAACATCACATGTTTAACAATGCTCCCAAATCCTTTTCCATCGCCCGTAAACGCTGCTGCAATTCCCGCTTCTTCTTATCAAGCTCCCTCACAAACTCCTCCTCGGCCCGAAGATCCTCTTCTGTCATGACATCCTCGCCCGCCTCTTCCTCCTCATCCCCCTCGTCATCAAAATCCTCGTCGTCGCCCTCCCCCATCCAGTGATCCTTATTCATCCTCTCCACCGCGGCCTGGTTCTCGGCAACCTTGGCCTCGTAGTACGCCAATGTGTTCGTCTGGTGCGCGTACCGCGACCTCAGCTGCGGGATGCGCTCGAGGGCGCCGGGGAGAGCATACACGCCGCACAGCTTCGTTGCGCCCTGCAAGAGAACCTCGACGTCGACATCGCCTCCTTTACTCGCAGCCTGGCGCTCGCCGCGCCGCAGCTGGGCGTGGAGGTCGCCTCCCAGGACGGCGGAGACGGCGGTGTGCCGGCGGGGCCCGCCTATACCGCCGCCGCCTGCTGCGCGAGAGGTTCCTGGCGGGGGACCGGTGGTGACTTCGCCCGAAGCGACGTTGAAGACGGTTTGGCGGCGGGAGGTAGTGGGTTTCGCTTCTTGGTTTTGTGCGGAGGATGATGATGTTGTTATCGGTGGTGGGGGTGGGGGTACGGAGAAGAGGGCGCGTTCATGGGCTTCGGTGTCGCGGATTAGGGAGGTGATGTCGGTGTTGTAGAGCATTGCATTTGTGAAGATCTTGGGGGGTGGGAAGCTGGCGTGGTATGTTAGTGAATGTCTTGGATGGGGGCCAAAGGGAGGGCATCTTGGGGAGGGTGCTTTGATGAGGAGGGGTGATGCGTACGGGAGCGAGTCGATGCCCTCGCAGGAGAGAGCTATCTGCTCGAGGTGGATTGCGAGCATTGACATAGTGGCGTCTTCTTCTGTGATATCTAGAAATTTGACCTTGCGCTCTGTAGGCAGTCGACGTTGGATGTGTGATGTGTTGATGTTGGATTTGGAGCTTTCCCAATGTCAACAAACTGCCCCACCAAACACATGATTTGTTTCCCCAGTTGGAGAAGGAGCTCTCTCCCGCGACCTTGCTTGGTGCACGGACCAGCTCATGTTTATTCCCAAAACCTACAGCTAAGTACTCCGTAGGGTGGGCGTCAACTGCTCCTTCCTCAACTCTCACTCATCAACTCTTCAACAGCTACGTGCTGTCATCATTCTAACCATCGTAGGCCCAGGCGCTACCAGAGTCATGCATTCTTTCGATGAGATTGAGGCTTTGAATAGCAGGCTATGACGGCTGAGACCGGTGATTCTACCGAGGCTCAAGGCATCCCCTCGTTGGACGGCAGTACGAACACCAACGATGCCAATGAAAGATGAATAGGAGCAACTGCGCCAAATCTGACAGCTAAGCCTCTCCATGTCTCTCTCACGTTTGAATCACTCGACGGACATGGAAGTAAGAAGTCAACTCACAAAAAGTTTTGGTGATGTATAGCTGCACGCGGTAGGACCCAAACAACACAGCTCGGTATCTGCCAGATCGCCATCCCAGCCACCAGCCACTCACTTCCCCTAGACGACGGTCAGACCTTGGGCATTATTCACGAGGCTATCATTCCGTACCAAGCACATTTGATATTCAAGGCTGCCTGTTGCCTCGCCGGGTGAGGATCGCAATAAGCGGCTTGGACCCTCGACGATGTGACTCTATCGGGCTGAACGTGCCGATTAGCTGGGCATACAACGTCAGAAATGACGGCAGATGGACACTCTCATTGGGTCCTATGCGCGTCTGCTGGCTCTCCTTCAAAGGGCTATCTATTGGCGCATGTGGTGGTGTACTCTTTTTACGGCAGCCTGTAAGACGCCCACATGCACCTCAAACAGCCCCAACAACGCAAGGCATAAATAGTTGCTTTCTCTGACTTGTTGTCATTTTCTGTTTGCGACTCTACCGGCGTGACCGTCATCTGCTTGTGTACTCTGTCACCATCTCAGAGCCTTGCATGATAAATTACCAGAGGTATGTTTTCGGTCTCTTGGTGCACAGCCTGGATCTGACTGCATCTCGCTCTCGCGCATCGCATCTTCGCTTATTCGCACCCCATCTCAGCCCCCAAAAACACACCAGACATTGTCAATCTTCAAGGCAACAGGGAGGGCAGGCAGCGGGGTGGCGCCCTAGCCGCTACGACCGACCCCCCTAATTGGCGAGTGCCCCCTGGTCGAGTGACCAGCCAAGATGGAAGATGGGCGCCGTCGTCTATCCCGGCCCGGGTTCAGGCCAACTCAGCCCTGCCTGCACCTTGTGTCTGCGGTGTCTCTACTTCTTTTCTGGAGCAGAAAAATGTCTTACCCTATTCCCCATGAAATGCTAACGACCGCTACGAGGGGAACTAGGATCTCTAGTTTGTGGTTGGAAGTTTGTTCGTTTGTCTGACCGGCGCCGCCCTCCATCTCCATCTTCCTTCCCCACGATATAATGCCGCGTGAGCACCCACCGTCCGTCTCCCGTTGGTCACTTGACCACATTCCCTTTCTGTCATCACCCTCTCTGTCATTTTCACTTTCGCCATCTGGCTATTCTTGGCTCTATATTGTGCTAGCCATACCCGTCGTCATGGCCGCCGGCCTCTTCTCCATTCCAGGTTTGGGCGACAGGTTCGCGGTGCGGTATCGATCACGACAACAGAAACGAACAGAGCTGCATAAACAGAGGATGGGTTCGACAAAGTTTCTCGGCTCCCAGGTGGGAGGCAGTTCCGTCATCAGCTACTCTTATACCGATTTTCCCTGGAAACTGCTCGCATGGGACATTTACTACTTTTTCCAGTACATCTGGGCGCTTCCATGGATTGTTTGGCCTATAAGTCCAGCCGATTCGGGGGATCTCGATGAGTTGGCCTTCACGAGGCAGAACCTCTTTTGTGTGGGAATGCACCTATTTCTCTGCGTTTTACAAATTGCCTTCATCTTGGCGTTGCCATTTGCTGTCTTATTGCCCATTTGGATCGCCGGCCTCGCCTTCGGTGCCTTCTTCGCCGTCAACTATTTGCTCTGCCTATTGCTGAACGGGCCAACCCTCACCTACGCCTCGGATCCCAAATACGCACCAGAGCTACCGGAGCACGCTCACGAGAAGTGGATCTTTTTGAATGGAGTTGCCGTTGGGTAAGTTGTGATCGACTGCTATTATATGTTCCCAGTACATTTCAGCATGCATATACGGGAAACTAGATGGGGGTATAACAGACTGACTAACACGGCATCAGGGACCACTGGATGAAGAACAATCTGAACAGACTTGCCCTCACCTTCAAGCGGCCAATCCTCGGTATTCACAACCAGACTTCGGGAATCCTCTTTGACGTTGTCGAATGTCTCATCCAACGGAACTTGGGATACGCGACCTACGATGTACGAATGTGCTATCGAATTGTCAAGGAAACGCTCTACAACCCACAATACTCCAAGGTGGTCTTTGTCTTGCATTCGCAGGGAGGTATCGAGGGTGGCCTTGTTCTCGACTGGCTTTTGCAGGAACTGCCGCAAGATCTTCTTGCCAAACTCGAGGTAGGTGACACCGGACATTCTGTATAACAACACTTCTAACAATGTCCAGGTATACACATTTGGCAACGCCGCAAACCACTTCAACAACCCCCATCGCCACGCAATGTCCCAGGCTCTCGCACAAAACAACCCAGCTGCCATGACCTTGACCACGACCAGCATAACCCACGGCGACTTCGTGGATAGCCCCATATCGCCAATCGCCAACAGCGGTCAACAACGCCTCGTCTCCAGTCACAGCACGGGGAGCCAAGGCGAACACGGCAACCCACGCACACCCAGCCTCCCCAAAGAGTCGTCCTCTATTTCTTCTCGATCATCGACGGCCGCACTGGACCGCGCCATCGGCCATGTCGAGCACTACGCCCACACCACGGACTTTGTCGCCATCTGGGGCGTCTTGCACTTCTGCACGTCCCTCACGGCGGACCACAGCATGCCGCGCTTCATCGGGCGGCTCTTTGTCAGGGCCTCGGAGCGCGGTGGACACCAATTCTGTCAGCATTACCTCGACGGCATGTTCCCCCTCGCAAAGGACCCGGAGACGGGCGAGTTTATCGGCGCCGCAGAGGAGAGCGAGTTCATGGAGAGCGAGATCCAGGTCGGACGGCAGGGCGATGCCGGGGCCAACGCGCGTGAGGCCTTTGAGGTTGCGTATTTGGGTCGTGATGTCAATAACGAGGTTGAGTTCCATGGGGAGCATGTCAAGGGACGGCATAGGAAGAAGACGGTCAAGGTGAAGGATCTTTCGAGGTTGTGGCTGTACCGGAATGGACGGAGTCCGCCTGAGACGCCGCCTTATTTGTATACAGAGAATGGGATTGTGAGGAACGCGACTTTGTAGATGAGTGAATGAAGTTTTGTGTTTTGGTGTGTAGGTAGTTCTATAGAATGATACCCTCTGGTTGTTATTGCGCACATTCGGCTCGTTCATTATATAACGACGATTATTGAGGATGGTATCAGTTTCCTTGTTTGACTTACATAGTTCGGCGCTCCTACTTGTGTACGGATCGTCGTCGGGAAGGTATGCTGATAGAGTGATATACTATCCAGCAAAAGGACTCGGTTCTACTGGCGTTGAGGCTGCAATTCATTTCCCCATGCACATCACGACGACTGGGTAGTAGGGAGACATCAAGTGAAAATAAGAATAAAAAACAACAATGGGACGACTAATCGAGGGTTCGAACTTGGATCCCGAAATAGACAGGAGACTTCACGGCCTAACCGGGGCCTCTGCAGCTCGAATTGAACCCCTCTACCATACGACCCAGGTGCTTATTGTTGAGGAAATGGTGATGAATGATTGGATATAGAGCCTCGTAGGCGATCTGGGTCGTTTTCTGGGAAGGTACCGCAGGAATTATTGAGAAGGCGAGGAAGGTATGGATTCCACACTGGCACCTGCCTTTTATAGGTGCCGAGATATCTACTACCACGTCTTTCGTCTTATTTGTATTTGTAACAGGTTTTGGATCACAGAGCTCTCTCTGTGAGGACATATAAGGATGGGTAATGCGCCAGAGACCTGTGGATGGAGGCAAGGCATCACGCTCACCTGAGATTCCGGTGCTATCGTAGGGCTGTAATCCGAGATCTAGAATCGAGCCATTCCTTATTGCTTGGATTTTTGCATTTCTCTTAACTGTGTCTGACAGTTTTAAGTAAAGAGGGGGAAGACATTCCATCTGAGGGTCTTGGTCCTTGGCTCGTGAGTATTCAGCAGTGTATTTGACCAGAACGAGGTGGGGTTGCCGAGATTGGCTGTGCGATGCGTTCGTTGTCTTAACTTGGGATGTAGAAGATTGTGGCCTTATTGAGTACCTTTCTGCATGCTGAGGAGCAAAGGATAGAGTAGAGACGCAATATGTTGCTGGGCAACAGATCACTAGAGATTCGACTGCTGCTTGGAAGATCAACAGGTCCTGCCCGCTATTGGATGCGGATTTATACTCGGGCTGCCGACGGGCTTCAAGAACAGAGTCGGAAGCCAAAGGCGAGATTGAATTGAGAGTCGGGATCTGGCGTGAAGGGGTGGGGGACGAGGAATCCCCCACTCTGGCCCGCAATCTATAGCAATGTATCGGTCTGTTCCTGAAGAGGCGATGGAAAGCAGATGTGATGTGTGGCCACCATGCCCTCTCTTCAAGAACATGAAACTTCAACGAATTTTGATGGTCAATTGTCTTTTCTGAAAGAGCAGCTCATAGTTTGCAGATCTAGCCTTGTAAGAAAGGATAGAAACGGCTGATACTAGACTGAAAGACAACATGCGATAGTTTCAAGAACGAGTATCCACGCAATATTGTAGCCGGAGACTCGTGACTTCATTTCTGGGCTTGTGTCAATGGAGAGCAAACTATTGATCCAAGTTAGTGTCGAATGTAACTTGAAGCTGGTGTTACCGACTTTGGTGATGTTCCCCTCGGTGAAAGACCCTCACCGAAATGTCAGACGGGCAGCGGGCCGAAAGGGGTCCAGTGTGAGGTGAGGTGCGTGTGAGTGGAGCCTACCTTATCGCAATGACTCACCGAGTGGCGGGTAGTGGGTCTGCTCTCTTTTTTTTCGCCTGCAAGCTGCCCGGCTGCGGCCTTGCCCCTGTCGATGAGATGGGGACCCTGATAAAATCGGCTGGGAAACGACGATGCCAGCGCAAAAAACACGCATGCCCAACGGGATCCATCATTTCATGTCGGGACCCATGTCTATCCGTAAGGTATCCGTACTCCGTATGTGAAAAGTAAAATGTTCAAATCAAATTGCTTGGGCTTGACATGTGCCCGGTCACCTCTTCATTTTGGTTCCCGACCATGAAACTCGGCCTGGTTCGATTTTCTGTTTCCGCTTGGATGACCTCCTCGACCCATTCCAAGTAGTTCTCCTTATTTAAGCAGTGGCATGATACTCGTCCGTCATTCAAATTACTCACTTCCGTGTAAAAGCGGATGACTGGACTAGGGACACCGCCTCAGTGTGAAGATATGTGCAATGTCAGAGCTATTTTGATCAAATGCGCAAAAAGCAAGGCGGCTCGCGCAATGGTTGTTGTGGCGCGCGTCCCGAGAGAGAAAATGTTTCCTCCCAACAAATGGACAATGAATAATGGATCCATGTCCGAAGCTACCTGCTTTATAAGGTAATGAAGATAAGTCACGGTGAAGGAGCTGCCGCAAGCTATCCGTCGAGCTAAACCAGTAAAGCTGTCCAAGACCGGAAAGCAGGGGACCTCGCGCATATCTTAGCTTGGCTGAGAACGGGAAGAGAAAAAAAAACTGTCAAGAATAGGTCCGCATGCCTCAGCCCTGGCATCTGGTTCGCGGCTCGCGCCATCTTGGAAATCTTGTCAATCATTTTATTATCGGGCCGCCGAAAATTGACGCAAGCCGCTCCCTGCGCCTTCGGGTTACCCACCGATTCCACACACCTGTTTGTTTTATGCTTGGGAGGGGCCCATCAGAGCGGCAAAGGAGGGTCAAAGGACTCAAGAAGGCAACTTGTGGTCCAGAACGGTGTGAAGTGGCCCCATAATAAAAACTGGAAATAACCCGAGCCGATCTCGAATTGGTTTCGCCATCTCTGCGGCGCCGCGCATTTTCTGCCCTACGCGCCTCCCTATCAAGGGTCAAAGGCCTATCTACGGAGTCCTGAGGCGTCGCTTTTTGATAAGTGACTCGAGGGCGAGAAATTTGTTTTCATACAAGAGGAAACGCCCTCCCTCGCAACTTCCATTTTGACAGTCAAACATCCACTAGGAATTGTTTACCCCCCAACCCTTGGAGCTTCCTTGAAGGCTCCTCACATCATCATCAACAGCAACATCAACAACACCGCCTAAAGGCATCATACACACCACCAAGCCATGCAGTCGGTCCACATCAAGCACGGCTCAATCCGACAGGGCAAGTTCGACATTTACTGGAGCAAGGACAATGAGTGGGCCATTATCGACGAGGAGGAGGAGGAGAACGAGCGCAGGCTGAAGGAGCTTCATCGCCTGAGCACGCGATACTGGAGCGCTGGTCTCTTGGTTGTCCTGGTGCCCGCTATGTGCGGTCTACTATGGTGCTGCCGGTAAGCATTCTTGTCTTCCACCTCACTTATCTTGAGATCTCACTCACTAACACCTCACGTCAGATTCAGAAGACGCCTCTAAAAGTGTTCGCGGGTTTTCATCACTCCACTCAACTCTTTACGATTGAAGTCTTCAATCGAATTATGACTATCCTTCGGGCATGTCACGCCCTTCAGTAGAGGTTCTATCTTGAACCGACTGGGGCGAAATGAGCGATGTCGTCGAACTACCAAAGATCAACGTCGCCATGCGTTCGTCTCGACGTCGAAAGCTCTCATTTCTTTTTCGATTCCTCACTCATTGAACCACCTCGTCCACTTCCTCTTATCAACCTCTCATCAACTTCAATCTTTCCTTGCTTGGCCTGCGCATGCTCAGCCGCCGCAACGCCAGCATCAAGCCCAACATGAGCAACCCCCTTAACAACACCGTGCGCCGCCGTCGCTGCTGCCGCGCTCGAAGACGACCCGCCGGTGCTCCCCACCAGTACATCAGCACACACCTCGGCCCCCTCGATCGCGACAGCGCCAAACGTCACGCTAAGCGCCATCGGAACCAATAAGTCCCCCTTCTTCGTCTTCACCGCCAGGCCCCTCTCGACGGCATGCCGCTCGAGGATCCGTCGTTTCCTGCGCGCGTTGCGGATGCGCGCCGCGTCGTAGGGGACCATGAGCCAGCTGAGCCCCGCGGTGACTGCGCCCGCTGCAGTGTGGAGCGCTGTTGCGGTCGAGCTGCCCGCGAGCTGGCGGACATAGTGGGATCGTCGGGCGATGAGGGCTTCGTTGGACATTTGGCGGCATTTTAGGTCGTATGCTTCTGCGTTGAAGGGCATTGTCTTTTTGGTCTTCAGGGTTTGGAGTTCTCGGTTAGGAGATGGTGAAGGGTTATGACGAAGGGAGGGGTCTGATATGGAAAGAGGCGGGAATCGAGGATGAGGCTGTGTGGTACTTATTCCATCTCCCTCAGATCTAGACTGAGAATGTGGTCCCTCGGGAAGCACCTTGCAGTTATAACAACATCTCCAGCTATGGAGATTGCAATCGACCTACCGTCACAAGTACTCAGACGAAGATGGCCTAGGCGGACAGAACCAAACAGAACGCATGAATTGCATAGAAAGAATAGAAAGAAAGGCCGCAGCAGCTCGCACTGATGGAGGCTGACGGAACCTTGAGCTTATCAGACCATCCAATTTTTTGTTGTCAGTTGTCAGTCGGGGGGAGATAAGTCCGGCCCCGCCCATACCCATTTCTAATGTCCAGGACCGACTCCGAAGAGGGGTAGACCGGGGCCGGTTCTTTCGGGCCCCGGGATAGGGGGGTGTGGATCAGTGCGCCGGACGATCCCGGTGTGGCGGCAATGTGCTCCCGTCTCGACATTGGACGGACTGGGACCGGGGCTGCGGAGGTTCAAATTGGTCCGGCAGTATTCGAGGAGGCGGCGAATCGAGGCTGGTTCTAGTCTGTAGAGCTTTCGCTGCGAAAGAAGAAGTTTTGCTACGGGCCAGCAGTCAAAAAGCTGAATAGACATGGTCTCGTAGTGAGTTGATCCGGTTTCCTATTCAATATGTCCGTTCAGCTTATCGACTGCTGGTTCGTGGTAAACTTTTTTTTTATTTACGGTGGAAGCACTTCCTGACTTGTTCACGTCGTGGCGCCGAGCCTTTTTCTGGGGCGGAGTTTCGGAGTCCGGCTGCTTGAACGTTGGTCTGCTGACGGCCCGGCGCGCGGCCGTGGATATCAGATGGTCCAGGCAAGATTCTCAGGTACAATTTTCTCGTCATCTGAAGTCGCGAGCGAGTGGACGGGAAGGTTGTGGTCAAGGAGAAGCCGGGTTCGGGCGCCACGTTTATGATTATAGGAAAGCTAACGAAGTAATGAAGTAAAGAGTAATGAGGTTCTCTCGCATTATTAGGTCTTTAACATTATGAGGTCATGAGCATCGTGAAAAATTTCATCCTCTCCTTTCCATCCTTCCATGAGCCTCCCGTGAGCCTCCCATGAGCCCTCCCATTCCATAATTTCCCATCCGATGCTGTACAATGACCCCAATTTACGGGATCCGATTCGTCGTGGTCCCGCCACGAACGTCTCTTTAAGCTCTCAACTCGGTATCCCGCCGGTACGTCCACGAGTGAGCGTCCGAGTACACGGGCTTATACCCCAACACGCCCTCGACGAGCGAGAGGATAATGGTGGGCGTGAGGATGAAGGCGCCGCCATACTTGTGCTCCGAGACGAGGACGAGGCGGTCGATGCTCGCGCCCATGCCGAAGGCGCACTGGTGCAGCTTGACCTCGACGGCGGGAGGCTGTGTTTCGTTTGTAAGTAACCGCAACTTCATTCTCTTGTGTGATAAAGTCTCGAGAGAGGTTCTTACCTTGCTGCTAATCTGGTTATTCGTCCTCCTCCACTTCTTGAAGTAATCCGCCAAAAACCTGAGCGTCGCGCTGTGGCTCCCCTGGATCTCAATCTCGTGCGCGCCGCGGCTGTACACAATGAGGTGGTACGGCGCCTTTTGCAACAGCTCGTCCGGGCGCGGGAGCGCATCGGCTTTAGGCATGAAATCCGCCTGAGGTCCTCTCGACGCTGTCGAGCTGATGGAAGCGCGCTGACGGAGATGACCCGTACCGCCTATAGAGAGACGGTTTAGACGGGCGTCCATTTCCAGGTCGGCCCAGTCTTCTGTCGGAGAGGCGGAGTAAGGGGGCAGCTGCTTGTGGTGGTCGGCGAAGCAGTCCTTGATTTCGGATTTGAAGAGGGGGTGGAGGTCCATTGGGGTTACGAGTCGGAGTTTAGGGAGGGTGATGAGGAAGCCTCCTTGGTCGTCGGACCATACTGTTGAGGCGTGTTCATCGCTGGCGACCTATTTTGCATGGTTAGTCGGGGTGTGATTACAACACGGATGTGGTGAAGAGCTCACTTCGACAAAGAGTCGCAACCTCGACCAAGTGAGTCTCAGCTTGTCCAGGAGAGTGTTAGTCCACTCCTCATTCTTCTCGTCCTCGAGAAGCTCCGTCGCGGCGCGGCACCATGCTTCGACGGTGCCGGCGACGGCGGCGACGAAGTCGATCCTGTCTGCGTACTCTGTGTCGAGCTGGGTGAGGAGGATCTGCCAGTCCGGGTTGACGTCTACTTCGAGGCCGAGGACGTCTCGGAGGGCCTTGAGGGCTTGCTGGAGGTAGCTGTCTTCCTTGGTCCAGTGGTCACGGATTGCAACCTTTACTTTGAGGGGTCTGGGATTGTGTTAGTCGACTCGTGATACCCTACGAGTGTGAGAGGCAACTTACAGAGTTGTCATGCCAGGCGTGAATATGTTATGGATAGTGAGTTTCTTGATGTGTGAATCTGAGTGTCAGATGAATGAGATGATGATGATGAGTGAGAAACAAGTGATCTCTCTTTTCTCTTCTCCGTCGTTATAAGAGGAGTCATCCGGTGGTTGATATTCACCTTCCCAAGCAGCACGAGTGGAGCCGCGATGCAACTAGACGCATCAGTCGATAATCCACCCTGGCCACTTGAACACACTTTCTGCCTCCCCCCCCCCCCCGGCGCCGCCAAGATCGGGCGCCAAGAGGTGCCCGGCAGGACGGTGGCATGCAGCTGGGCATGTGGCGTCACACTCATCCCAGGCCGTGCAAAATGGCAACAAGGGGGGAGGCGGAGTACCTTTTCCACGTCAATCATGCCATATGCGACTTATGGAAAAAGAAGGAAAAAATAAAATGACACAATGCACGTGTACGGTGTAGTCGGGTGGGTTGTAACTTGTTGATCTGGGTTTCGAGAGAATACGACGTTGCAGAAACCTTGGTTTGGTAAAGTGCGTGCTGTAAGCTCCCGAAAAAGAGAAGAAAACCAAGCGCTGCGTCTTTACACCTCATAGCTTACGGGCGGTACGGAGCCTTCGTTACGAAGTTACTAACAAACCATCCCTACCCAAGGTGCTAAGTAGTATGCAGTATCCGTAATGAACCAGGCTACCACTTAAGACCCCACCCCACACGACGGATCACCCCCCACGACGGATTACCTAAAATGGACGATTTTCTAGACTTTAACTTTTCGATATTATAACTACGAATTCGATTATTAATAATATAATATTACTAAATCTAAAATTCTAAATATATATTAATAAATTAAGCTTTTTTATATTAATTATAAGCTTTAGAACTATAACTAGGCGCTATGAGCGAGCCTTAACTTCTTTTTTTATTTTTATAATAGCCTCGATTTATATAAATTATTTATTTAGATTTTATTAAATTTTTATTTTCGTAATTAGCTTATATAACTCTATTTAAGTTTTTAATAATTTAATAACTAATTAAGTATTAACTATGGCTATATTTTAAATATTTAATTACTTATTTATTTTATTAAATATTAATTTATAAGTAATAGAATTATAATTAGTTTTGCCCTTATTTTATACTTAGAGCTTTTAATACTTTTTAAAGTTTCTTAATTTTTTAAGGGTAATAATATTATAATTTTAAGGTATTTTAAGGGCCTTTAGTAATAAAAGTTTTTATAATAATACTTATAAAATATTTATAAGCTATATTATAATAATAAATTTATTAAATAGGGGCTATTTTATATTAACGGGCTATAACTTTATTACCCTCTAATTAATATATATATTTTATTTTATAAATACTTATTTTTAAGCTTAGAAATAATAGTAAAAGAAATTCTTTTTTTTAATTAATACTAAGCTAAACTAAAAATTATAATTGTTAAGCTTATTATAATAATATATTTTAAAAAATAAGAATACTAAGATATTTAAAGACTACGTAACGTAATTAAAATATAGTAATAAATAATATAAATAAATACTTTTAAAATAATATTATTATATAAAATTATTAAAAACGTAACTATTATAATTATTAATAATAAGTAAATATTTAAATTAGAGTTTTTTAGTTTTTATTTCTATTTAAGAAATAAATATTTTAAGTAATTATTTTAATTTAATTATATTTAAAGTCTATTTATTTAAAGAGGACGTAAAGTTTTACGAAGTATAATTTAATATTTTTTTAGGGAATTATTATTATTATATAATCTACTTTTTAAAAATAATTAATAATAAAAAGTAGCGGCTATTTATAAAAATATATTTAAGTATAAATATTTAAATATAGTCCTTAGGGGTCTAGATATAAATAAATTTCTTTTTAAAGTTATTTAGTATTAAATAGTCCTTATTATTCTTTTTTATTAATCTTATTTTATTTATATTTTAATAAAAAGACCTTAGGATTTTATTAATATTTAAAATTATTAAGATTTTTTAAAAGGCTTTTATAACGTTAATAATAATAAACTTAACGTACTTTAAATCTATATAACGGGCCCGTAATATTAATAATATAGGATTTTTTTATAAAAAGCTATTTATTTACTTTTTTTTAAGTAGGTATTAGTTATTATTTTATTAAATAATTCGTATTATAAACTTTTTAACTTAAGTATAAATCGGAGTAAATCTTAACTAGCTTTATATAATTACTTAATAAGTAAGGGATTATTCTTAGTACTTATTAAGCTTTTAATAATTCTTTTTTAACTTTTTAATTATTATAATACTTTTTAGCTATTTTAAAAAAATAATATAAAGGATTCCTTAGTTTATAATAGCTTTTTAAATCGATTTACTAAAACTAACGTCTATTTCTATATTTTTAATATAATTTTCTATATAATTAGGTATAGCGAATTTATTAATAATTTTAGTATAATTTTTATAGTTTTTTTATTATTATTTAATATTTACGTAGTATAATAATAATAGTATTAAATAAAGGAAAAAGTTAGCTTAATTGAGCGATCCGTCGTGGGGGGTGGGGTCTTAACGGTGCAGTTAGTCTGGTCCGGGGCACGGCGGCTGGATCTGCAATGGGTGGGACGCATCAGGTCAGATGATGAGCTGATGGTTCAGCGCGGGTCCCCATAAGCGGCCACCCGCGTGAACATGCCACAGCCCAGCGGTTCCATCGGCCGGCCGGCACGCCGCGCAAACACACACAACCCATCAATGATCCATCAATCCAAAGTGACAACAAGCAGAGTTTTAGGACGTACATCTGAGCCTCTCAGGGGGGGTGTTAGATTAGGTGTCAATGACCAAGGCACGTGCCGGGTTGCAGCGGTCTTGTTAACACGACATCCCTGCGATTAAGAGTCTCGAACTCTCGACAACTCATCTACGGTCAGACTCATACAGACGGTGAGAGAAAGAAAAGGAACACCAAGACCGGGGAAGAGACAACAATAGCACCACGGCGTCACGGCCAACGGTCCGGTCCGAACAAGAATTGTCGGATACAGACGGACGGGCACCAGGGATGATGATGTCACGCTTTTTCAACCACCTCACATCTCATCCTAAAGTAGTGTACTCCATATGAGCTCTCCGGCGTGTTGGCGGCCTCCTTCTCACCCGACAAGTGTTCCCGCCCGCGCCCGCAGCTCCCGGGTCCGCAGACATAGTTCAACACTTTAATTAAGAGACGGGCGCCGGTTTCGAGTGTGTGCCGCCGTTCCTACGCTGGATTACCAATTTTCCTATTCCGTACACTGCCACAGCCCTCAAAGTGGCACCCAAAACTCCGCAGTGATGCGTAGCTGCAGTGCCGAGCACCATTTGGTAAGCCGATCGAATATCGATGTTTACACCCTTACGAATTACGACATGCGAGACTCGTCTCATGGGTAATGGACTCATAGAGGCGGCTGTTGATCGACATGTCACCCCGCAATTCCCCTCACTGCTCACTGCTGAGTGATACCCATCTTTACCTACCGCGTAAGTGCTAGTTTAGATGGTTAGGTAAGCTAGCTCTCATGAGCAGTGAACCCCTGAATGACTGCCTGAGCTGTTGCACGATGCACCGCGATGCGCCACCACTAAAACTCAACGAACCTCACCTGCTCATATCCACAACATCAATATGAGGAGAGAAGAAGCGACGAGGCTAGGCAGATGCCAAAGAATAACCTCCACAACCTCCACATGTGTTCCGCCGTTTTCTGTTTAGCCTCGTCAGGCTGAATACTTAGTCGCGACTTAAACCCTGTGATTGAGCGCGACTAGTGGCCGTTGGCGGGCCAAGAGCCAATAGTGAGGCTGTTTTCATCCTTCATAAGGAGGAGCTGAGAGGAGGCTGAAAAGAGAGGGGGAAATGCGAGACACTCGATCGGATGACTCAAGCTAGGCTTCAGGAGTTTGAAATAACGGGATGAGAAGGATAAAATGCTGGTATTCAGACTTGACGACTTCTCACACTAGATGAATTTGACCTCATCAATCTAAATAGAACTTCACTTTGTATAATCATCTGATTAATCGCCATGTCTCGCTTGCCCCCTGCCGAAAAGCTCCCTCTCGCAGTGCGGAAGAATAGTATGTACTCATATCCCAAATCAACACTCACAGTTACTGACCACCTCCGAGTCCGCGATGAATGGGAGAACAAAAAAGAAGACCTCCAGAAGCAGCTCTCTGACGTCCTGGGCGCCGAGTGGTCGCTCAAGGACATCAATTACAACGCCCTCTACCCCTACGCACAAGACGGCTGGGCCAGAGAGTGCCTAGGAAGCTGCATCGAACAGTAAGATCTAGACGCGCATATACGTGGGAGAAAAAGCAAAAGAGCATTTCAAGCTCTCTCATCTAACAATCAAAACCAGATACGTATCCGGGGCAATCTACAATCTCAAGTCGTTCGCTGAAAGGTACGGCGAAGACGGCAAATCCGAGCTCAACTCCATCTGCCACGCCCGCTCCCTCATCATCGACCTCGACGACCGCCCCAAGGGCGAGCGCGTCTCCTACTCCGGCGTCATCGTCAAGGAAGGCGGCGTGCTGGCGATCGTCTTCTCCGAGGGGAATCTGGGCACCAACGTTGGCTCCGCCATCGAGACGCAGGGTCTCCTGAGCGCCTTGAATGCCGCGTCTCCCGCCCCGGGGTCCGCCGCGGCGATGAGTTTCGCGGCCCGCAATGCCGTGAGGCAGGACTATGATCCGCAGATTGAGGAGACCAGGAAGTCGTTGGCGGATATGCTCGAGAGGCCTGATATTGCGCTATGTCCCAACTTTGAGACGAACTTTGAAAAGATGAAGGCCGCGGCGGCGACGAAGGGGAGCGAGGTGAGGAGTGACTGGGAGGCGAACTTTGGTCTGTTTACGAGGATGTACTTTGAGGGGCTTAGGTCTCAGATGAGGTATCAAAAGTTTGATGATGATGATATGTTGAGGGAGGGGTTTAATGAGGCTGCTGAGAAGGGGCAGATTCACTTCCGGATTGTGGACAAGATGGCGTATGCGACATATGGGGAGGTTGTGTTGGAGGATGGGCTTATTTGTCTTCAGGTATGTCTCGTCGACTTCACGGTTGAGATCCTTGCTAACCAGTTTTACCAGACCCAAGCGCATAACTTTGGGACGAATGTCGATTACGCGGCAGAGAAGCTCTTGGACCAGCTCTAGGCGGGTGTTCGTATGTGCTCAAGTTGAGCCAACGAGGCCAGGGATATTTGTGAAGTTCAGACTCAGCATTTGCACTTCTTACCACATCATGTCAAACGCAGCCAACTCGAGCTCCACATTGGTGAGACCAAGGTTGCTAGTATATGGTAGAGCCGCTAACAGACGGGTTCTCCAACAGACGGGTTCTCCAACAAGATGATGCCGATCACCGAGGCAATTAGATAGACAACAGAACAATCTACTGCTCAGAACAACCTTCGTCCCTACCTCTCCTACGACTTCTATCACTACCTCTATTATTGCCTCTATCACTAAATCTATCCCTCTCCTTACTACTCCCTTTACCTCTATTACTATTCTCTACTTCTCGGAGTGTATTCTATGAATAATATGCCTGAAGGAATGAGCACTTGAGATAATGACAAGGATATCAGCATAGATATAAGGGAGAAAGCTATCAATGATGTATTAACCGTCGGACTATTATGTCACCCACTGAGATACCTATCTACCGGGCTCTACGGCACCACCGTCTGCTATCGACAAGCGAGCGACACATTGACGTCTCGAGCAAGGCACCCATCACGCCACCAACGAGCGCACCTCCCGCATCGCCTACAGTAACAAACCCTAGACTGACCTCCCGAACAACCGTGTCCCTCCCTTCTCCGACCAGCCTTGCCAAAACATTCACATATAAAGACCCAGCCGCCAGACCAATCAAGAAGACCAAGAAAAAAGCGAGGTGCGTTGAGACAAGGAACACGGCGTTGAAGAGGGCAACCGCCGTCCAGACGCATAGAGCCGTCAGATGCAGTTTGAAGTTTCGCGCCGGGAGAAGCCTGAGCGAAGACTGTCCGATCCAGACTCCTAGCTGTAGGGCCATGCTGTACGTTGCGAAAAAATGGGCGAATGTATCGAATATTGTGCCATCGAGCGGCCTGGCGAGGCCGTGTTGTGAGAAAGATATCGCTGCGGATGCTGTGAAGAGAGGCAGCATCTCTGAATGCATGAGATTGCGGAGCATCTTAAACCTGCTTCGCTCGTGAGTCGAACCGTCAGTCCCGTCGTGCCATTGGAAGGATTGTCCTTCCTCGGCAATGGCGTCCTCACGTTGCTTCCCTCGCGCGTCATTCCTCGTACCCCTTTTCGAGAATCGTTGAGGCAGTATGAAAAAGTGAGCCACCAAAAACAGAGCCGCAGCATAGTAGACATAGGTCGTGGCGCTACGCAGAAGCTTCCCGGCACCGTACGTCAAAAGAATCGGCCACACGGCGTTCTCGAGTACCCCCGCGCCGGTACCGAAGCCCCACCCCGCTAGCCCCGGAAGCCCGGCGCGCCCGATCATTCCGAGACAGGAAACCTCCATCGTCGCCGATGCGATAGATGCAATCATGGTTGTCGCAACACGAATTGGCGGTGGCACGTTTGGTGGCGTGTCATCTGCAATTCGCTTGAGAACGACCCATACCGCCGCGACGAGGAGCGGTCGGATTCGACAGGGTATGCGGTGAATGATGAACGGGAGGGTTAGTTTAGTGAGGAGTACCGGCGCGACTTCGATGAGAATGACGATGTGGCGGGGGTATGGGATGATGAGGTAGTTCGAGGCATGGATGAGGGACGGTAGGACCGTATTGGCTAAGCCTGTGGTTCGTGTGAGAGCATGTCGAGATATGGTTGCGATACAATGCTTGCTGCCCGTCATCAATTAAACCGTAAACTCACCTATCATAGAAAAAGCCAAAAACGTCCGAAACTCGTCAAAAGACCAGGCGGTCCGGGCCGTGGTCTTACTTTTTGACGCCATCGCGAAAGCGAGGTCTCGGAGTATCTCTAAGGTTCACGACATCCTGCAACCGCCAACCGAGACATGGGGGTTTCCCTCTAAAGAAGTATAAGGAAGAAAGACTACTGCGGCCTTATTCGACATCAACTAAGGGAATTCAATCGTCACGGAGCATGTCGAGGAATCAATAATAGAGCTGCTCGACATCCACGTGTTAGTGCTTTGAGAATCAAACGTGCATGGGTGGTGAGTGGGTTGTCCGGAACCCGGTCCGGACGAATCGAATCCACCACGTGGGATGGACCCGGCAGTTGATAGGGAATTAGGGCCCCGCGTCGGACCCGCCGATCCATATGACCGTAACGGCAGCACGCAGCTATGCCGGCCGATTGTCATCTTATCAGCGTCGTCAGCTCTGATTTCTTAATGCAATGCTTGCCAGACGCGATGATTTAGGCGTTCGTCTGAAAAGCAGAACGCGCCGCAGGCGGCAAAGCCATTCTCTCATCCATCAGTGTCTACCTCTGCGAACATGATGATACCTGGAATGGCGCCTAGTATGTTTCCATGGCGTCGATGGTCGAAATCAAAGATTGAGACGCAAAGCAGCATGTGGGATGGCGAAGCTCAACACCGCCGCCAGAGCCCGGTTGCAAGGTCAGGTCAATATTGTGCCGCTACTGTGAAGTTCATCCTACCTGTCATCATCTTCATGGGCGCCTTTGGCTTCGTCTTGACGAACTTTGTAAACTCCACCAATCTATTTTGCTCTTATGATACTGCTAACACGAACTTCATAGTTCCCTGCAGAGTTCAGACACTTCATCCATGGCAGTAACACAGAAAGAAGAATCACGGGATCAGACCTAGAGACCCTCAAGAGTTCAACCCATGTTGACACAGGGGGCTCACGCCGACTGCGACTCTTCATGCCCGCCGACGGACCAAACATCAACCTCTGCAAGACGGTCATGTCTGCCGTGGCGCTAGGCTATCCCATGCCCACACTTCTAAACTGGAACGGGGAGTTCAACAGGCCCGACTGGCACTTTGCCGGTTCCCACATTGCAAAGCTCGAGTCACTTCTGGCGGTCATTGATGCGCTTTACGAAAAGGATGACGGGGGCGATGTTAATGAGAACGACCTCATTCTCCTTGTGGATGCCTACGATATCTGGTTTCAACTTCCGCCATCCGTCTTGATTGAGCGCTTCCATCAACTAAATCGCAAAGCCAACATCCGGGTGCAGAGGCAATGGGGGGAAAGTGGAATGAAGAGTGGGTTTCCCATTAGTCCCCCGACGCAAGACATCATCGTCACCACGGCCAAAGATTGCCAGCCGGACTGGGAGTCAGGGTCCGATCCGCGATACGACTACTGGCCAGACTCGCCCCTTCCACGAGACTTCTACGGCGAGAAGACTGACCAAGTGCTTCCTTACGTCTTTGACTCGGCGAGGAAATACAAAAAGATTCGACCGCGATGCGTCAATAGCGGGATGATCATGGGTACTATCGGATCATTACGGGGCGCGCTGCGCAAGAGCAAAGAGAAGATTGAGAAAGCCGCCGTTAGCGGGCGGCAGCTGTGGAGCGACCAGGCACTCTTTGCAGAGGTTATTGGAGACCAGGAAGTTTATCGCCATTGGGTCCGGGGTCTCTCTTCAACGTGGAATGGCTTTGTTTCTCAGGAGAATCTGGGGAGCGTGCCGAAGGAGGTGCGGAGGATCGCAGACGCGGCACTGGCTGGCGAAAAGTTTGAATTCGGGATCGGGCTGGATTATGGCTTTGCCACGATCCCGCCTACCTGCTCCTCCGAAGACGACGGATACTTTGTGGAGCTCGACGATGCCGAGTCCATTAAGAAGGAGTCTGAGAAGGCTGCAGTCCCGGGCGAGGTGAGGATTCAGGGTATTCCAGAGGAATTGCGCGACGTTCCTCGGCCTCTGCCTGGGTATACCTGGGGTAACGTCTCGCTCTACACCGACTTCTTCTTTGGTACCGCGCCTGTGGGCATACATCACAATGCCTACATCTTTGGGCTGAAGAAGTGGCGGCTGGAGAATTGGTGGAGTCTGACCTGGTTTTACCCTCATTTGCGTGATCTCGTGGTCCAGGCTCTCGATGCGAACCGGAAGTTGATGCCCCTAGCGAGACTTCTCACTCGTGGCGACAGCGGGAACGAGATGATCTACTGGGCGGCGGAGGAAGAGGTCAATGGAAAGAAGAGTGTCATGGTGTACGACGGCTCGAGAAAGCCGGGCGACTTTTCAACTATTGGATGGGATGGAGTCTGTCAAAAAGGAGACGAAAGGTGGTATGATGTGCTGTTTGGAGATGGAAAGGGGCCGCTGAAGGTCTGATCTATGTAGTGAAAAAGCGTAATGAACTGTGAAATTGGTGATGGCGGGGTAAAGCCATCGCTTTCTCGAACTCGTACTTCCGCTAGCGGTTTATGATATCATGCTTCTTTGCGTTTGACTCAATATCTCGCCATTAACCTTCGCCACAAAGCTTTCCATAGATAGCTCCTTTACTATGTGAGAGCTCACTCTGATCCTCATCCAGCCTCATCCAGCCTCATCATGTCAGCATATCATAGCAATCTCAAGTTTCTTTGGATGATTTCTCGTCTAGCTACTATATGCTTGATTACTAGCCATTTCATATCGTCCCATCCGAGACCGAAAAATGACGCATCGTATTGGATTGTCTTGCATTGGACTGAGACAACTTCCATCGTAGCGACGGTGAGGGTCTACTGGATAGCTCCACCTATTGAGCCCTGGCAGCCACGGCTTCCTACGCTCTATTTTCCTGGACAAGGTCGTGTCTCTTAGATTGAAGCAACATAGGCGAGCGCTAAGATGGCTATGTATTACCACGATAGACCGAATACTTCGTCTGCACAGTCATCACGAGGAACACTAGTATCGTGCCTGATCCAGGCCGATGAAGGTCAAGAGTACTTCAAAGCCGCAATGGTCTATCAGCTCACTACGTGGACTTTGGTTCGAGGATGAAGTCCCAGAGACATTGATTGTATCAAAATGCCTCTGTTGTGCCAAGCTAGAAAGTCCCGGATATGTCCTAAGCCATTGACGGTGATCATCATCGCATGAGGCTATGTTGATGGAAATAGGAGGTCGAATTAGAGACCTCGTTTTCGCATCAAGAAGCGTGTAAACAATATTCGGGACAACCGGTAATGAATGTCAATCCAACTTCAATATACAATGACGAGGACTGCCCGTGATCATCCAATAGGGAGTGTATGCGAAGATCAAATAGTATACAGAACAATGGAAAGAGACCCGCGTAGATGATCCAGTTGAATAGACGGCGCATACCTGAATTAGGCATGTTGTCGTATTTGAAGTTGTCTCATTGGCTAGTCCACAGTTTCTTGGCTGTGAACAAGCCCCCGTAATGCAACGATACTTGTGGGAATACTCGGACCCGAGGATCTTAGGGGGAGGCAGCGCAATAGGCCTGTACTTGGATGTTTGCTTAGATGGCAATGCTGTAGTCCATGACAGATCATCTCGTAGTCGTAATGAGGTTCTATGTTGTCATCGATTTGTATAAGTTGACTACATCTCCCTGCCGATGAGATGCCTCCCTTCTCAACAGTCAAGGACAACGTTCGCCCACTCAAACTTCCTCCTAGTCCTGTTTCTCCTGATCACAATTGACTCTCTTTTCTACTCCCAAACTCGAAAGTCTGAGCCTCGCTAGTCTCAGAATGAAGCAAGTCAACATCTTCACCGCGGCCATGGTAGCCTGTATGGCCCAGCTCGTCGTAAGTTTCCCTCACTCACTCTCTACACCCGCAACACCACATCTCACCACCTCCTTCATTCCAAAGGCCTCAGCAGACACCGTCGCAGACTCCCAAAACGTCACGGCCCCAGACTTCATCGGCAAAGCAGCCACATCCCAACCCCTCCGCCCAAAGGAACGCTTCACCCCCGACGCCCTCCACGCCCACATTGACGGCGGCAACACCCGAAGCGATGACTACATGGGCCCTCTCGGCATCTCCCCAGTTGCCTCCTCAGCCGCCGTGCAAACAGGCTACATGTTCTGGGAGAACAGCACGAGCCTCCTCGTCGCAATGGAATGCGTCTCCGCCCAAGCGCCCATCGGCTTTTGCCTCGCGGCGCTGGACCCGGAGACCATGGACGTCCTGGTCCAATGGACCGCTTCCGAGGGGCGTACAGCCGTCTCGAACTACTGGCAAGTCGTCGACAACCACGTCGTCATGCCCACCATCGAAGGCTTCATCATGGAAATTCAGCGCCTCGGCACCGGCGCGTCCACGACCTTCACCCAGGTCCGCGAGGTCGACGTCTCGTCTCGTCTCCCCTCGGGCTCCATCATCGCCATGGCGGGGTACACGGAAGACGAGAACCTCTGGTTCGTCGCCACGCCCGTACCGCTCGTCGGCCTCGAGGGGACCAACACCACTACCGTAGGCTACGTCCAGCCTGATGGCACAATCTTCAGCACCGCCTTGGAAAGCCAAATCGTCGAGAACGGCGTGGCCGTCAACGGGAAGAACATCTACGTCGTCACGAGTCCCTCCGGCTCTGAAGACCACGCCGACGCCCGGGGTCACTTTTACGCTTTCCGAGCGGATACCGCCAATGGAGGCGGCGTGGTCGCGGCCTGGCACGAGACGTACCTCGCCGGCAGCGGTATCAAGCCGGGCGGCCTCTCCCGCGGCTCCGGCGCGACACCGAGCCTCCTCGGACAAAAGTACGTCGCCATCACGGATAACGCCGACACGCAAATCAACCTCAACGTCTACCGCCAAGCTTCCGCCATGACCGAAGGCCAAGAATCGAGCTTCGTCTGCTCCGTCCCGCTCTTCTCCCCCGGCGCGAGCCTCAACGAGGCGTCGCTGACGACGCACTTTGACGGTACGACGTACAGCGCCATGATCCCCAACTGCTACAACTCCCCCTCCTTCCTCGATGTCAGCGAAGATGATGTCAACGGCAGCTATAACAACCTCACGCAAGTTGCTCCCGGCGTGGCCCGCGTGCGGGTGAATGCGGACGAGAGCTGCGAGTTGGTGTGGGATTTGCCGATTGTGGCGACTATGGTGACGCTGTCGACGGCCAACGGTATCTTGTACGCGTACACGCAGGACCGTGAGCTCGCTGTGGGCGGGGAGTACGTGTGGTATATTGCGGCGTTTGATTATGTCTCTGGCCAGGAGATTTGGCGCAAGAGGGTGGGTGCTGGTGGCGTGTTTAACCCTGGTCCGTCGCATATCCAGCTTGGTGCGAATGGGAGGATTTATGAGGGTATTTTTGGTGGTGTTGCGTGGGTTGAGGATTCTCCTTTCCCTTAGATGGAAATTCCTTCGTTGCTGGTGGTTCTGGTGAGAGAAGCTGCTTGGCATTGTCAGTTGGTGAACGGCGGTGGTCTCGAAAGGGGGCAAAGCTATGTAGATGGAAGGTTGCTAGATTCCACGCACACTAGAGTCAGATTGCTTATTGTCCCATCAATCCAACTTCTTCACCACTACTTTCTGTTCCCGAGAACGATTAGAAACATCTCTAAAGGGATGTCGTGATTATACTTACATAATGTAGCCAACTTTGGCATTAGCCTTGTGACGATCTATGAATTCGAGTAGAAAGCTTACCCACCCTCCCTAGGGTAATGCAGAAAGCAGCAATGACACCACTTCTCCCCATCACCCTCATCATACAATGGCTATAAAGCATAAGACGCCTATACTAAACTCTCAACTCTCAGTCCAATCAAACTCCTCAATAGCCCACGCCATCTTTGGCCGCCACTCCCCCGGCAAAACGCTCATCACCCCATCAAATTCCTTCTCCGCCGCCCCCTGCGCCCACCACAGATGCGTCGCCCTCCTCAACAGCATGAAGAAGTAACCCACGATAGCCAACGCCCTCGGATCCTGCATCTCCAGCAACTCAACGAGCCGCGGCGGGACATGCGCGGGGAACCGCAGCAGATCACGCTGCAGAGCTGACCCCTGGATCTTATCGAGGCTGTCGACGGCGATACGATACGCTTCCAACGTCTCCGGCTCCGTATCATCTCCGTCGAGGCCTTCCAGCAGAAAGTCGAACATTCCTGACCTTGCTGGCCCCGACGTCTCGTTTCGCTGCGATGAGGTCTGCCGCTCTGGTTTGTAGAGGTGGCCTATCCTACTATTCCGGATCCCGGGCAGAGCGACCTTTAACAGCGCGTTGACGTTTCGAAAGGGCGTGAACCAGTGATGCGGGACCCGAAAACCCGCCTCCGGACCGCTGCTGTCGAGAAACGACTGATTCGCGCTGGTGTGGAACATAATAATCGTACACGTCGCCATCACGACAGGGGCATTCTGCGCGTTGATCCCCTCGCGCACAATCTGTCTCGAATGCGCCTCGATAGCCCTCGCCATATACGCGTGCGAGGCCTCCGACACGGCTACCGCATAGGGGTTAATACAACTGCTGCTGCCACTGATATCATCCAACGCCGCGGACCGTCGGAGGTGAAACGCCGCAAAGCCAAGCACAGCGTCCATGAGAGTACTGTCCGTCACGGCGAGGTCCGTAATCCAGCTCGACCAGCTCTGTTGGTCAGTCGAGGGGTACGCGGCCGTCATGGCCAGGTAGTGCCGGAAGAAGCGCGCCTTGAGGCCGTCGGTCATGGTGTCTACTAGTACGGGTGGGCTGCTGGGCCGTATGAGAGTCAGGGATGTTACTGGTAATGCTGAGAACGAGGACGACGCGGACGACGCAGACGACGATGATGACGATGAAGATAACGATAATATGAATGGTGGCGCCGGCGGACAAGTGGGTTTCAGACTGAAGCGGGATTGCAAATCGATAAAATCACACCGTAGGTTCGCCTTCGTGCAACCTCCACAGGCGGGCCGGACCTCATCGCACTTTTGTGTATGGTCAGTACTGCACTTTGTATATAAGGTAGGTAGGCAGAGAGCAAGGTAAGGTATGCAGTCTCAAGTGGGAACCATGTCCCGCCAAACCTCCCGCAGCCGGAACGGGGTCGTAAGATGTAGCGCGGGACACGGTGATCACCACGGTCATCATAAGGTCGGGCCGTGTTCGTTCAGAGCTCACCTTGATTCGCCGCGTCTTGCAGCGCCTGCAGCCGAGTCTCGACTTGTGATGGGCTCGTCTGATTCTCTCCGTCATTACGACCGGGTAAGAGAATATAGTGGATCTTACTTCGGGTATTTGCAGTAAGTATTGGGTCTAGAATCCTTCTGGAAAATACAAGATACACTCCACGTAAGGGCAAGCAAGCAAGAAAAAGAACGTGGCCACTGAGATGTGACGGGAGTGTCAGTGAGGGAGAAGAGTCTGTGAGAGGAGGGGATAGCAGAAGGGGAAGGGGTTCGTCGCTCAGATGCCGTCGATGCTTAGACCCGGTCCTAGCCAATGAGAGGCGCCGGAATACGGTCTTGGATAGATCTTGGGTCAGGTAGCGACATCCCATCTCAATCAAACTCTATCCCTACCGCCGATCTATACCTACCTACCTTCTTTATCTCACGTGTAGGTAAATAACTTTCATCCCAGGCTTTGCTGTGGCTTGGTATTCATAAGTAAGCCAGACATGTCCAGTATTTGCTTCGGGGCTACTCTCTCTTTGCTGCTCATTCTTACCCGCTCCAGAAGCTGTGGGATCATCCGATATAGCTTACCTACGGAGAAGCTCCTGATCAGCTTTTCGTCGTACATAAGTGGCTGTCTCACTGAGTAACTCTGAAATATCACATCTTGCGAGGTTCTACTTTCCTTCAAATCGTTCCCACTAAAGTAGGCCGTGTGTCCGGAGTCCTGTTCTCGATATATGCCTATAGGAAGTCGCCTGCACATCAAAACGTAAAGAAAAGTAAAGGGGTGGTTCCGCGAATCAGCCACCAATCCGTTGTGTGTGTATATCGTCCAATGACGGAGCCAGTCCGCGGACATCAACCCGAGGTATCTTGTTTTCCTGCCATTTCTCCCGTCATCCAATTCTTCGTCCCCAAGCTCACATTTCTCTCATAGAGCCATATGCTGTCAGACACAATGCGATCCGACAAAGAATCTGATCGCTTTGCTGCACGACCGCCTCGCATGTTGGCGAACGAACCCTTCAGAGTCTCTTTGCGCAGACAGTTGAGCCCTGAAGGAGCGTGAAACCCACCAAGGGAATCCAGTGTTGTCGCCAGGAGACTCATGCCTGCATCATGCTTTTCCGCATGGGGTGCCGTGATCTTCACACATGGTACCGCATTACGACGAGGCTATCGCCGCAATGCTGGACCACTCCACAGCCCCTTGCTTGTCTCGACAACCTTGTTTTGTTCACTGCCTGGCCGCAAACTTGCTGGAACACTGCTGGGTGCCGGACCTGCATCGGACATGACCACATCATTCTGGCTGTCGGCTTCGGGTTGCGTTCCGTAGCCTGAATCCTTGTGGCCCCCATTGCCGAGGCTGATGGCACTGTCGTCCTTCCTTGCGTTTTGCTGAGTCTTGAGGGCTGCAGCGCCACGTCCTGGCTCTTTTGACTTCGCCCCGTCCATCAAATTGCTCTGGCCCTCGCGAAGCTTGTTGATGGCACGAACTGTGTCAATTGCAGCATGCAGCGTCCTACGAGCATTGAAGTTCTTCTTGACAGTGGGCAGCAAGTTCTGGCCTTCGCCTTCGCCATTATTGAGGTAGCCGGCAACGAAGGGGTGTTGCAGGGCTTCGTGCGCCGTCATGCGCTTGTTCGGGTCAATGGTCAAGCAGCGACGGATGAAATCCTTTGCGTGGTCGGAAACACCCCGCCAGTAGTCGAAGGGGGTGAAGCTGTAGTCGGCGTTCAAGATGGCTTGCATCTCCTCGAAATCGCTATCGCGGTCAAACGGCGTGTAACCGCATAGAAGGAAGTAGGTGATGACACCGAGCGCCCATACATCTACAGGCTTGCCGTGACCAATCTTCTTGAAGATCTCGGGGGCCATGTAGCCAGGGGTACCGCATGTCGTGGTCAGCACGTGGAACTGCTCCTCATCCATAATGCGGCTCAGTCCGAAATCGGCAATCAGGAGATCTGCGTTGTCTTCTGGCGTACGGAACAGGAGGTTCTCGGGCTTCAGATCGCGGTGGACGATGCCGTGGTCGTGCAGATAAGCAACGGCAGAGAGCGTCGCCCGGATAAGATCTGCAGCGTCGGATTCGTAGTATGAGCCTTTGCGGCAGATGCGGTCGAAGAGCTCGCCGCCGAGAGCCAGATCGGTCACGAGGTAGAGGTTGTTCATCGTCTCAAAGTAATCGACAAGTGTCAGAATGTTCTGGTGGCCCATGGAGACCTTTTTCAGGACTGCGATTTCATTGCGGACCTGCGAGAGGGGTTGGATGTCAGTCTTTTGGTCGACGATGCAGAAGAAGGTAGTCGAAGGCGTACCATATGCTCTCGTCCGGCCATCAATCGCTTGTTGATGACTTTTGCGGCATAGTAGCGACCGGTATCAATGTGAACGCACTCCTTGACGACGGAGTAGGAACCGGCACCAAGCGTCTTGCCGACTTTGTACCTGCAGGGCTGGACCTGAGGTGACGGAGATGCTCCGTTGGCGCCGTTGGAAGCCATTGCTGCGGCCAACAGACAATGTGATGAGAGTGCTGGAGAGGCGAAATAAATGAGGCCACGAGCGTCGCCCAACGGTCGAGGAGAGTCAGGCGATAGCTCAGGAGATAAAGGTCGGGGTTGCGGTCGCGAGATCAAAGGGTTGGCGGGGTAAGCCGATGGCGAAGATCGGTCGGCGGTTTTTTGGGGTCGGTTAGCCTCACTCGACGTAGCTAGGACCGAGATTACAGGTTGGTTCGACAATGGTAGGGCGAACGAGACAGGTAGCGAGATTGTCTTGGAAAAGATTTTGCCTCTATATCCAAGTCGCAGAAAGAGAGAAATCGAGGCTCGAGGTGGAAGTCTGAGAATAATCTGGCCAAGATTGCTCAAAGGAGCGAGCAGCTGACAAAGTGGGCACGGCAGGTGTTTGGCTGGATTATTGGGCTGATTTGATGATCGACGGTCCCTGGTCGTGTTGACTGCCCCTTGGGAGGGTCTCGCGGGGCCAGTGTGAATTGGATGCAAGGATCAAATCGGCACACAGCAGATAGATGAAGGGGGTGATGTGCTGTCACTATGACGCTATGACGCTGATCAAGTTGACGGGCGTCGAGCACGCGATGTTTGGTAGAAAGACGAGACGGTGTTGGGAGATTTCGGAAACCAAAAACAACGGTGGGAGGAAGTGGGAGTGAAGAGAAAGAGAAGGATTCGAGGTTGCGGAGATACATAGACTGGATGGGAATCGAAGAGATGAACAAGTGGACCACACGCCGCTACACCAAAGATACTGGACATATAGGTATGGACACTAGGGGCACTTTAGCATCTTAGCACCACATGCGCCAGGTCGTTCAGCTCGAGACATCAAGGATTCTCACTTTCACTCGAACATGGAGGGTCCCGCAACTTGGAGACAGCTCACTGACATTATTCCCAGCACAGGAGCTTCGGCTCTCATTCTGACCACTGATCGTTTGAGAATTGCTCCCCGCTCTGTCGAGGAATCCCCCCTTGTCCCCCTTCATACATGTATTTCTTTCCACGACAATTTATCGTTATTCGTTAATAATTGAAGCGACCCATTCAGGATGGGGGTGCTGGACGGATGCTGACGGCCTGACGAGGCGGCTCGGGCCCAGCCATGAGAACTGGGGTCCCCACCCCAGCTGGCAACTGCTCGGTGGGCGCGTTCTAGATTCTATTTGGTACATACTCAAAACCGCCCCCAACCAGTCCGTCAGCTGCTCGTCTTCAGATCAGACTTCCTCTCGGTAAGATTGGGAGTCCAGCCTTAGGTATTCATGTCCCAGGACAAGATAAGGGGAAAGCTGTGGATGATCTGGCCGAACTGCAAACGGTCCAGAGATCTGGCGGGAGCAGCCACCACCACTCTATGATCTGCTTCTAAGCGATTCTTGCATTTACATTTACATCTTTCTATTATAAAAAAAAAGTACACATATCCGTACATCTACCCATATCTAACACAGACTACGCAGATTTCTCTGCCGTCTTGAATGTTAAGCATTCAGTCCTTGGCACATGCTCTTGAAATGCCGTTTTCTGAGTCAAAGTTCAGGGTCCAGGCTTAAACCCCTCTTGTTTGCCAGCCGGCCGTTCTTTGGTGCTTGGCCAGCTCTGGACCCTTCCCCACCAATGTCTTCTCTGCTCCGTACTTCGACCTGCTGGCGGCCTGGTGTTTGCATGTCTCGGTTCCGCCAACTTTATTAGCTGGGCAGAAAAAGCGACTGGGCGAGCTTGGTGCCACGACTCAACACCACCCGCTAGGTGGCCAGATTCCATCCCCTTTTCTCGCCGGACCGAGAATCAGGTGTCGGCATGTTGAACATTTTCTAGCCTGCTCAGTCAAAGGAACGTCGACTCTGCTTCTTGGTGCTCATTTGTTTCTTCTGCCTCAGTCGTCCCTCGTTGAATGATTTTGCTCTACACGCCTTGTTAGCCCCCCTCAGGTACATTGGTGAACGAGAAGACAACTCACATCTCAGCATGCTTCTTCTTCTTGTCAGAACTTGTTTCGCCAGGGACTGTCTCTTGGTATATCCTCTTGATCTCGTCGATAAGCTTTTGCTGGTTTTCCTCCGAGTTGGCATCTCTCTGACGGTGCGTTTGAGCTTGAAATGTCAGAGAATCCGACCTAGCTGTGTAGTATTTTGATGCCCTGATGCCTTGGTGTAGCAATTTGGGTAAGACAGGTAAGATGTCCTTAATAGGCCAAACAGTGACTGCTTTGCTCTCCGTTCTATCATGACATTAGAACAGAGGTAGACAAAAGATTAGAAATACCGGAATATCCAGCGTATATGCGAAGGGCCTACTTGTTGACATGCTGACCACCCGGGCCGCTAGAGCGAGCGTAGGTTGTTTGCCCCTTGGGGAGTTGACTGCCGTTAAAGGATTTGTGCCATGATCTTGCCTTTTCCAACTCTTCAGGATCGAAATCTGCCTCGAATGCTTGAAAGCGAGCCCAGCGAACGGGCTGCAGGGGTTGGATCAAAGGACTTCCGAATGTTGGACGAACATATCGACATAGACTTGTTGCGAATTTCATTGTGGCGATTAAGTTGATCAAAGGAAGACGTCAAACTGATCAAGGCAAAAGTTCAGACCAAACGCCATCTGACTGGCGAAAATAGGAGAGAATAGATTGAATCTTGAATGTCAAGGTAGGCGATTCTTTGCAGAACTGTCCAGTCTCGTTCGAACAGTAGTCATCATCATCATCAATTGATAGACCAAGTGTGTGGATCTGGACTTTTCCTCAGTAGTGATGTACCGTGTTTAGGAGATCATCAAACTGTGAGCTAGACACGGTATCCGAATTTGGCTAAGCGCGACCAAGCTGCCAGATGAAGCTAGCGTCGGGCTGTGTGGGCTTCCAACCGTTTTTCCCACGGTGACATTGGTCAGGCCTCATTCCGTCCAGCGCGATCGGCCAGCCTTGCGGAGAGCAGACGGGAGCTTTGGCAGCGGGTGGATGGCACCTTAGGTTGTTTCCCTTCACCTGCAGTCCTTCACATAGCGATTTTTTCGACTTTTTCTCCCACGCGGCCCTCCCCAGGCTCCACCACGTCGTTCGTACCTGAGCTTTTTAACCTTTTTTTCCTTCCACCGCACATACTTTCACGCGACACCGCCGCAGCAGCCACCAACCACATCTCGGTGCTCATGGCCTCAAGGTTCAACGTTCCTCCTGCATCCTCTCTCCCACCTCGCCTTTCTCCCACTGCTGAATCGACACCCCTCCGACCTCTTCAGCACCAGAGGAAAATAAACTCCCGTCGCAGAGATTTCTGATTCCTCCGAGTCGAATCTTCCATCTGCTGTCACAACGCATCCACTCACCCAATTCATACCTTCTTACTCCGTACTCATACCGCCGCCTGCCCCCATCGGAGATTCCCCCGTGCCTGCAGCCTCTTTTCTTTTGCGCCTGCTTCCTTCCTTCCATTCCCACCCCGCCTTCCTGTCACTCTGGGTATCTGCTCTTACCCTCTCGTTTGGGTCCCCAAACCAACCGACCCAGCCGTGCTTGCCTTGCCTCGCGCTTGCCTTGGCCCCTAAGTACATGACGGCATTGCTGCGGCGCGACTGAATTTGCTGAAAACAAGGCGCCCGGTTGCCTCGTTCGTCGCTTCCACTCCATTGACATAAAGCCCATTCTTTAACCCACCCGCCCACAAGCTTGTCTCGTCAACCTCACACAAGCTTCTTCTGCCTATTTCGCGCAAGCCTTGCCATCGTCGACATCAGCAAGCTTCCACAGCTGTCGTCACATCGCCCACTCGCATCTTCAGGTCACTATCAACACCAGTACTGCTATTTCTATCATCGCCAACCAGTGCGCCAACAACCCCAATAGCTTGAATGCCCGAACCGGAGGCCACCCCCGAGTTCCAGGCTACTGCCGCCGACCTCTCGCCCTATTGTCCATCTCCCCTCCACTCCGCCGCTCCAGCCGTTGTACCTGCTCTCCAGGATACTGCTGATATCCTTGATGCAATGACCGCCCACACTAATGGAGTCGCTCAAGGCGACCTAGACGCACCTGCACATGCGCAAACTTCGACCGAACCGTATGCGCAAGCTGCTACAGACAACGCAGACGCCGAAGACGACGTCGACAGTCTGGACGATGCCTACGGCGAGGAAGAGGAGACACACACGGACAAGGTTCAGGAACAGCAGGTGGAGCCAGATGCCGGCGAGGATGATTATCTTAAGATCTTCGACTCTCCTCTCCGGGACGCGGATCAAGATGGCGCGGAAGAGGATGATGTATCAAAGGCACCAGAATCCATTCAAAATTCCGCCGCTCCTGATTCTTTGACAAGCCCTTCGCAAGTGGCCCCCTCCACCGTCGCTGCCGCTGATTCCTCGTCGGCCACTGCTACTACTGCAGAACACTCCGCCAAATCCGCGCCTTCCCAACCAGCTGCCGCCCATCCAGGAGCTGATTCAAGCGCGCCTCATTCGACTGCCAACGGCGCCTCCTTCAACGCACGCAATGACAATGCTCCCGAGGATGACCCCGCCGTTGATATCTCTCGCCTTGTTGCTGAGATGACAGGCCAGGCGAGCGAGCCCAGCAACAACCAATCTCCCACTGGCTCTACTCAGAACTATGATGCTCAGCCATCGTCCAACTTAACCTCGTCTGCGTCTGCCACTCTTCCTCCCAGACCTCCGTTGCCCCAGCAGGCGGCTCCCACATATCCATCTGAAGACTATCGAGGCTTCCCTCCTCAGACCTCTGCTTCTCATGTCTCTCCCAACATGATTGCTCCGCCCACGCCAGGTCAACCGTCTACTTACGTAGCTACGGGTGCTCCCGGTGCCCCTGGTACCGCATCCGACATCTATGGCAGCCTCCCACCTCCACCCGCCAACGGTTTGAACGCGGCCATGCCCATTACTTCAATGAACGCGCCTCCCTATCCCACTCCTGGCGGCTACCCCGCCGGCCAGACGGACGATACTGCTGACCGCCAGAAGCTTTGGGACACCTTCGTAAACGACGAGCGCCGTTACATGGCTGATGCCAAATGGGATAAATTCCCCGATGGCTCACGCATCTTCATTGGTTCGCGCTCTCTCTCATCAGGCAGACCCGACGGCGCCATTGACTTCTTTTCAGGCAACCTGTCGAGCGAACGCGTTTCCAAGCGGGATGTCTTTGATATCTTTCACAGATACGGCCGTCTCGCTCAGATCTCACTCAAATCCGCCTACGGCTTCGTCCAGTACCACAACCTCGAAGATGCCCAAGCTGCCATGGACAACCTGCAGGGCAGCGAAATCAAGGGTCGCAAGATTCGTAAGTGGCCTTTAACAACATGCGCTGAGAGAACTCTACTCACTTTTACTAGATCTGGAAATCTCGCGCGCCCAGAAGAAGAAGGACGGCAACGAGAGAAACCGGTCGCCTGACCGTGGCGGCCGTGGAGGCCGACAGTCAGGACGTCAAGATCGCCAGGACGGGGCCAACTCGCACCATGACAACCGTCGTAACCGCGATGATTACAGACCGGGACGTAACAGCCCTCCTCGACGTGGTCATGGCCGTGAGGATAGTCACGGTCGGGATCGCTACCAGCAGGACTCTCATGACCGCTCCCGCGGTCGTTCGCGGTCCCCACAAGGATATGGCCGCCACAACGATGGATACCGTCGGCGTAGCCCCAGCCCACCTGCGGCCTATGGTCGTCCTTCTGCAGCTGACGACCGCCTCGACATTCCTCGCCGCTATGGCAATCAGGTCCCTGACGTTCAGTTCTTGCTCCTCCAGGATCTTAGCCGCGACTTCATCACCTGGGTCCAACGCGGTTTCACCGATCGAGGCCTGAAGGTTGACGTCATGTTCCTCCACCCAAGCTTCCCTCGTGAGGCTATTGTCCAACGCCAAGTCATCGAAGGCGTACACGCCATTGTTGATCTCGACATACAGGCACAAAACATGGGTAAGATCCCTCTACGAGTCTTCGACCGCTCCGGAGGCGTCAGTGCCCGATACGATGATTACCGAGACATCGACCCGCCGATCGCGGCAGAGCTCGTCCTCCGGGCCAAGTCACAGGCTGTGCCGGCCGCACCTTATCAGAATGCCCCGCCTCCCCAGCCTCAGTACCCAGGGTATGGACAGCCTTATGGAGGGCAGCCTGTGCCTCCTCAGGCACCTGCTTATCACGGAGGCCAAGGTCCGCCACGTGGGCCTCCTATCCAACAACCCCAACCACCGATTGGAGTGCCAGCCGACCTCGCCAGCATGATGAGTGGTATCGATAATGCGACCCTGCAGCGCTTGCTGGTTAGTTTGAACCCCCAGGGTGGACCGGCAGCTGTCAATAATGCTGCCGGAGCGGCAAATGCTCAGCTGCAAGCTCTTATGGGCGGTCTTCAGCAAGCGCCGCCTGCGGCACCAACGCAACCTGCCTCGTATGGCGGACAGGCCTTTGCTTCCAATGGCGCGCCACCCCCGAATGGCCCGAACGGCCACCCTCCTGCAACTGGCACCGGTGATTCCGCAGTCCAGGTTCAGAATATCATGGCACAGCTGGCCAGATATCGGCAGTAACGTGTGCGGTATGGGAGCTCATTTTACCGGCGCTTGATGAAGATATGATGTGGAAGGGGTTGGTTTATTTGTTACCCGGCGTTACGGGCATGCAGTCCCATGAGGCTGCTCAATAGGGCGGGAAAACTGTGCTTTTCTTATAGATCTGCAGAAGCCATGCCCAACAGGGCGGGTTGCTGTAACCCAGGCATTCACTATTACATAAATACAGTATTTCAAAATAGGTTTGTTTCTCCAAAGTTGAAACAGTCTCTAGAGTATGACACGTGAGAAATTCACAGCTTCTGAGTGGGCTTATTCAGGAAAGCTGTGCACTCAATCTCGACATCAGTGCCCAGCGGTAGCTGGTATACTGCAACACACGTACGGGCCTTTTCAATCCACAGTGTTAGCTTACATATTCTCTCAGGTTTCTATATCGTTTATGTCCTGCCAGAAACGACAGGTAAAGTGAACTTTTAGACATGAATGAGTGGGAACTTACAGGCTTGGGATCAAACGTGAAGAACTCATCATACGCCTCATTCATGGTGGCGAAGTCGGCCATCTTTGTAATGTAGACGTTGACTTTGACGACGTTGCGGAGGGAGCTTCCGGACGCCTCGAGGACGGCGGTGAGGTTCTTGAGGGCCTGGCGGGTGCGGTCTTTGACTGTGCCCTCGGCCTGGACCATGCCTGGCTTGTCGGGGAGGATGCCGATGTTGCCGGAGCAGTAGACCATGCCGTTGTATTTTACGGCTTGGGAGAATTGGGGGAGGGGCGCTGGGGCGGCGGTTGTGAGGACTTTTTCGATTTGGTCGGACATTTTGGCGGGTTGTGGTTGTGGTGGTGAGGAGGGGGTTGTGGGTGGTGATTTGGGCGGGCGATGTTTAGGGAGGAAGATGGAAATCTAGAGTTATTGAAGTCTCAGTGATTTCAAGATAGAAATGATTTAAAATGACAACGGGAGCCGTGAGCTGGATCAATCGATATAAGATGGGTTGGAGTAGCGAGAATGATAAATCCAACGACGGTGAGATTACACCGGCGCGGGGTCGGAGGTGTGATGTGGGTCCTTCTTCGCCGGCGGGTTGGTGGGGGTTTGATAGCGGGCACGTACAGGAAGGGCGCGCAGAGGATGGAAAGGCGTGGATGGTGGATCTCTTCTGTGCTTTGCATGCATGGATTATTCAGTGGATGAGGCTCTTTTTGACTTTTGGGGGATTTTGCCGAGAGGCTACTGAACGTTACTTTGGACCTGAGGTGACGGTATATGTATTGAGCTGGAATAAGTTGCTTGCATTATGCAGGGGTGATAGGATCGGGCTTGGGAAACTTTGTTTCGCCTTGTATTCGTTGGTGAGCAGCACATCGTTTGCATTTTACGATCTAGATCTATACTTTGCTCATGGGATTTCTTTGTCCTGAAGCTATAGACGGCTTCACAGACACTTGTCGATTACAGAGTCATAGGATGCGAGCGTAGGGTATTCTGAGCATGAGTCTGCCGATAGAAAGCGCCTGGCCCACTTTGGCGGGGTTGACGGAGGACTTCGCCGCGGGACGGTGATGGCGGGGTAATTTTGGCTGGCCGAAGCCGGCGCCATACTCCGGGGTACTAGACGTCGGTCTTGCGACGTCTTTTAAGCACCCAGATGATACCCATGCACAGTTGGCCGAGATTTCTGAAAGCTACTCAAATTATAATTCCTCTCCTAACGCCTTGTATGCTAATGATAATGAAGTAAACACTGCGTGCCCAAGCGAGAGACACAAGAAACACCACCATCAGAGCCTGGAGGAAACCTGGAAGCCAGCGTCTCACCGGAGAACATACAAACGTGTCAAAACTCATGGATCAACACCTTTTAGCTCCATTGCTTCCTTTAAAAGTTCTGCAATGGCACCAAGCCCCCGCCGAATAGCCATGTCAAGTAAGTTTTGATCGTATGGGCCGGGTTCTGTGGCATTAGCACCTCCTTCAAGAAGACTATTGACTACGACTGGGGCTGTAGTGTAGTGTGATGTAACTGCCTCAAATAGTGGCGTACGACCGTTGTTGTCCTTCGCGTCGGGGTCGGCCCCATGTCGAAGCAGAAACCCGACGAAGCGATCGCCCCCTACTCTAGCAGCGTTCATAAGGGGAGTCCGTCTCTCGCAGTCTCGTCCGTCAATTTCAAGACCATTCTCAACGGCCTTTTCCAAATCTTCGAGATATTCAGGATTCGCACTGTATACCTTACATACCTCATGGAGGAAGTTCTGGCCCAGATTATCGCGATGAGTAGGAACCAGACCTGCATTCAACAAGTCCTTCAGGATTCGGCCGAGCCTGTCGGGTCAGACCAAGAAAAGAGCGGTCTGCCCGAGCTTGTTTACCGTCTGCCTGAAATCAGAAGTTCCACTACCGAATTCTTGTCGCGACTTTTTAGGAGAGAATGTGGTTCCGCCATTATCTCTTTGGTGTTCAAGAATGCTGTGTTGCAATAGCAGACCCACGCTAGAAATCGCATCATTACCTACGGCAAGAAAAAGGGGAGTATAGCCATCGATGTCCTGTGTATGAACATTCGCATCTTCCTCAAGAAGAAGCTTTACGGTATCGTAGCCATATCTGTTTTCGCAAGCGATGTGGAGGGGTGTTTTCCCAGATGCGTCTCAGACATCTAAGCCGCACCCTCTCTGAATCAACAATCTAATGATTACTACGTTTGCAGATCTGATTGCCCAATGGATTGGCTTCATCCCTTCCGATCGAGATCCCTTATAATTTCTGTTCCATTATCAAGAAGAAACTCGATGAAGCGAGTTTGACTTCTTTGGACTGCCGCTACCAGAGGCGTTTCGTCAGACTCATACCCGGTATCGATGCTAATACCCGTCTCAAGCAGAACTCGCGCAGTGCCTATGTTTCCGGTTCTGGCCGCGCTGACAAGGGCCGTCTTGACGTCTTCATGTTTGTTTGCCGATGATGGTGGTTGTAGATTGGTGTTGGTAGCGACGCTTTGTTGCAATCTTGATCGCCTTTGGAGAAGGAGCCTGACGAATGTTTCCTGTCCCTTTTCGGCAGCGCGAACCAGAGGGTTATGGAAGACAGTCTTCGGGAAAAGGTTAGGTCGCGCGCCCAGGTCGAATAAGATTTCGGCGATGTCGACTTGCCCTCTTTCTGCAGCAAAGTAGAGGGGCGTACGTCCTTCTTTGTCTGTGCATTCAATGCTAGGGTGGACTTGGCTGCTATTGTCGAATTCTGGGGTATTGTATGATGTGAGACTCAATCTCTCTTGCAGAGCTTGTAATATATTGCAGCAACGATCTTGCGACGTCGTCTTGACCCTCCTTCAAAGCCGCAAGGAGTGGGTAGCCATGTCGACCTCCGTGTATCTCAGCATTCGGATTATGGTGAAGCGTTGTCTCGACTAGTTTCGTAAATCCTCTCTCCGCAACGATATATAAGAGGTTCGTAGCATCATGCTTCTGCCTTCTAGTTTTATGCTTTTCAAAAATATTGTTTCTCTGGATCCATTGTTCTAAGGGAAATTGTTGGAGAAAATCGGTCTGTGGGACGGTCCGGGCAGCGGCATTGGCATGGCAGAGTACTTGCTTGGTTGCATACTCTAGGAATGGAAAGCCACGGTCGATCATGGCTTTGAAATCGACGGATCCCTTTTTGGATGTGCGGAATAGAAAGTCATCGTCTCGCCAGTATTCAGAGATGTTGACTTGAGCCGAGTATTCATAGCAACAGTCCCTTAATCGATTGTGGCTTTGGGCCTCGAAATCAGCGCCCATCTCTGGCCAGAGAGTACGCAACCCGTTGTCCTTGATAAGAAAGTCACGTACTGATTCGTGAATGAATTGAACAGTCTTATTATCGGATCTCGTTGTTTCAGCCAGTCCCTTGGACGAACTGACAATTAGACGATCCATGAATTCAAACGGGATCGCATTGGGATCCCACTCTCCCAGCGTGTCAGGCTCCAGGCCGGAGGCCAAGGCGAAATAGTATTTTTCGCGTTTCAGACGTCGTACGCTGTAGAGAACCCATTGGATACAAAGAAGCAGATCGTCAAGGTTCTCTTGGTCTCTTGTCAATATATCCTGGAAGAGCTCGCTCAACTCGGATGGAATTTCTTTCAAGCGACTTTTGACTGCGAACAGGCGACCCCTAAGGTATTCCTTGTTGAGAATGTCGACCACCAGTACGACCCACATAAAAACACCAGAAAGCTTTCCGTAAGATTTCGGCGATGACCTCTTCACTCTTGGGCTCAGTGCCGGTCTTGAGACTAGTACGGACGTACTCTGCGAGATCTCTTTCATGACCGATTTGATCCTCCAGGATGAGCTTTTGGCCGTATTGTATATCGATATAGGGGTAGTGGCGACTGGAGAAGCAAATGTAGAATCGGAGATCGTTCTGAACCGCATATTGTCCTAAGTCTTCAAAGACCCCGACCATCTCTCGAACCTGACTCTCGGCGCACTCGTCAAGGGCGTCAATGAAGCAAGTAAGTTGCCGTTTCCCGAGTTTCCGAACGGCGCTACGGAAGAGGGTCTTGGTCTTCTCTAAGTCCCACACTACGAACTCTTGTGTGCCGTCGTTTATGTCGACTAAAGCTTGTAGATCGGGAATTTTCTCCAAGAGCTGATGTAGCAGCGACCAATACATTCCCAGCGTCGACTTCTCGAGCCCTTCGCCTCTTGCATTGAAAAAGAATGAAATGGAAGGCCCAATCGATGCGGCTCTCCTTCTCGCTCGGCTGAAGGCGAATTTCATGATCGTTGACTTTCCCGCCCCAGGTTTCCCCCTGATCCAGAGAAAGCCGTGATGCTGAGAGTACATCTTACGATCTATCCAAGTGGTATAGTCAGGATGTCCGAGAAGCCACTCGCAAGTTTTTGCATGATTGGTCTTGATATTGGCGTGCCGCTTGTCAATCTGATCAAACTTGAGTGAGTCTAGAAGCCTCTTGAGATCTGACGATGGTGTTGCTGTGGGACATCGTAAGCAGAAATTAATTTGGTGCGAGGAGAGCGTCATTGACTTACCAACAATCTGGACTTCAGGCCGCACTCGAGCAGTGGAGTTTCTTTGAGGTGGCGTGATGAGAAGAAGCTCCTTTGCGTATGCTGCGGCGGTAGCAGCGGCATATTTCTGCCATCGCTTTGCTTTGTGGGAATCCGAATAATCACAGATGCCGCGAATGACAGGGCATGGAAAATTGTCCATCAGCCCTGCAGCTTCCATCTCAAAGCATATCGATCCAAGTTCTTTCGCCAATCGGTCCCTCGTTTTCGCATGTTTCATAACCTGATTCCCAGAGGCAATGATTCCGTAGTGGATACTTGTGTTGCGCGTTGGCCGTAGATCGCGTGGTATAAGCTTCGATCTGTCACAATCGTCACAAGTTTCCCCAGAATGTTCATGTGTAATTCTAACCGATTTCGAAGGATAAACATCGAGGTTACAACACACCACAAACTGCAGCATTAGGAAGGAAGTACTCTCGACAATACGTTGGACCATTCACGATTCTCGAACGAGTAGGACGCCTCGCATACAGACTCGACTTACCCAAACACGCAAAGATATATAACGTAATTTCAATAAACTACTTAGAACCAGCACCACCCCTCGACATCTACGGAAGGATATTACCAATACTAACGGCGATTTTACCAACTAACCTACCAAGAAAAATCATCGACGTACGACAAATCAAGAACAAACTTCAATTCTTATCACAACCGCAAGGGCTAAGCGAAGAGTACAGACAGTGGTTAGACCTTCCTTCCAAAATCATCGCTACTCGACACCAGCTTCCCCAGGAAAAGGAATATCTTATCCAGCCTGACGACTACACTTTCTCACAGTAAAAAACAGCACAGAGCATTCCCAATTTCAAGCAACTCCTCAAACAATACCTCAACTGATCGCTCTTGCCCACGATTTCACGCCTACGTCAGGCCACTACTTAAGCCTCATCTTTGCGTACTGTCAACTCACACTCTTCTCTTCCACAAACAACTACAACATGGCAGAGCCCGACAAAGACTCCGCCGAAGCGGTCCTTCCTGGCAACGAGGAAGTCGAAAAGGATGATGCCGTCGACGAAGAAGAGGAAGGAAGGGACGACATTTTTCATAGCCTAATCCAATCCAATTATGAAAATAATTTGCGACGCGGCCCCGGAATCCTGAGGACCGAATGGAACGAACAACTGATGGGACCGCGCCCGGAAGTCTTGTCTCAGGCGCTGCTCCCAAAGACGAACAATGGCAATTCCCTCCCAAAAAGTTTCGTCACCGGAACAAAAAAGAGAACCAACGACCAGAAGAAAGCAGAGAGAGCAGCCAAGAAAGCCAAGCTGAGAGAAATGGCTAAGAGAAGGCAGGAAGCCGACAACTCCTCCTCCCCGGAATCCGACGAAGAGATGCCGACACCTGGCAAGGGTGCCACAGGAGCAGAGGACGACGGAGGACTGCCTACAGACAACGATGACGACGTCGTGAAAAAGAAGGCAACAGGGGCAGACAACACCGCCGGAAAGAAACCAACGAACAACACACAGGCGAAATCGGCTACCAACCCAAAGGCTACCAACCCAAAGACTACCAACCCAAAGACTCCCAAGCCAAAGAAGGGCGGCAAAATCAAGATTTTCCCGACAATGTTCCAACCCGCTGACGACAACCCTGATTGGCACTACCCAGACGATGACGATCAAGAACGGTTGGGAGATAAATTGATCAGCGCGCTGGACCTCGCAGTAGACATATTCAATAATGACAAGGAGGATGTCGTCTTCAAGAACACGGAGAAGATCGCAATTCTCACGACACTCTTCCAGACACCAAATGTCACCCAGAGGGGAGGCGACTTATCATCCTACCCGGCATGCAGGAAAATGCGCAAAAGAGAAGAGAGGGAGCCAACTTTCGTTGAAGCAACTACAGCACTACTCCTCTACCAACTCAAGCCACCAACGGGCATGGGCGATTGCGACGAATGGATCGAGATGTTGAGACACATACAGGTCTCCGACACTTCGGAAGACTGTGAAGAACTGGACGACCTTCTTGAAGCCTGCCATCGCACACGAGGCGGAGATGCGGCTGTGCTCGCACAACTACCCAAGCGCGCCAAGGCCAACGTAGTTATCCTTGACGACACCCCACAACCGGACACACCAGTGAACGACGACCAACAAGAGTTTTTCAACTTCGCCAAGAAGATCGACATTACCACCACAATGGAAAATCGCGCCCGCATGAACTACCTAATTCAAGAATTGAACACCCGCAAATGGCATGATCTGGCGACATACGCCGCAAAGATTATCAACCAAGGCATCTCGGAGGACGACAGGAAGACGATTCGCACGAAGGTCATCTCAGATCTCAACGCCAAATTGCGAGGCGAACCGGGCACATTGTTGCCAAAGCATTACACTATTACATGCACTAAGTGCGGAGAAAAGAGAACATTTTAGACGACTACAGCAGGCGAACATTTGAATTGGGCATATGGAAGTATTTTCAATCAATCGGAGGGCGAACATGGCATTATTTTACAGCGGGCGATGAGGACATCGCTATTTTTCGTTGGGGGGAGTTGTCATATGCCACGCCACCTGTGGCTCACAACGCCACAATTACCGTGGCGCAGCCACAACACATAGGGGCTTCGGCCCACATAGTTTAGCCAAATCAACCTTTACTTCACACATCCCTACCATACGGTAGCACCCATCCTTTCTCGAACTAATCGTCGTCGGTTTTGGTTTTTCCCTACCTTGTTGTCATCCGCTATCGGAGAAAGCCGATCACAATGTTTCAAGAATGCGCAGACGACTCTGTGGGACAAACGTTGTTCAAAATCACACATCGGAAGAGCTGTTCCTTGTCGTCCTTTGCTATCAACCCGGACCCACAACCTTGCGATTATCTCGAACAATCTCAAGGCCACAATCGATCAATATCTTAGGGAGATATGGACCAACCAAGGCCGCCCTCGGACAACGAAAAACAATTATATTACCATGGGCTCCCTTCTAGACCGATTTTAGTTGCACGCTCTGATTCGTTAACCAACCCTTGGAATCTTGTCGAGCAAAACGGTTGGGTCCGAAGAAAATGCCTTGCCGCGGTCGGCACCAACCATCTGATCGTTGGACTCTGGAATGACCACAACGGACCAGGGTCTCTGACCGACGACATCGTGGCAGCCCTCACCAGATACAATCTGGACTGGAATGCTATCGACATACTGAGAGTCGGCTATCTTCAAGACAACGAGGCGGATTTCCCAGTTACCATGTTCGTCTCGGCGAGAAAGGATTGTACAACGTGGCGAACCGCATTTGAGGCCGCCACAGAGTGTCATCGAGTATTAGGAGAACATGGGATTTTCGACGTAAACTGCGAGATAAAAGAGGCCAGCACACAACAAATGGTGTCTCCCTCCGCAACGCCTACCAGTCGGCCTACATCGGTCACCAACTTGCCCGACCCAACCGTGTCAGTATTCAAGATCAACAACACGAAGTGGACCTGGCCGTACCTCGAGTTCGGCTATGATCTTACTGATGGTTTGGGAGTGCCTATCGCAACTCGTGAAGTGCCCGAGCGACAAGGTACAAAAGGTATTTACCTTCGTGTCAAGCATTCCAAAAATGAGTCGGCCATGTTCGCACTTACGTGCCGACATGTTTGTTTCTGCCCCGACGATGTTGACGACTGGCTCCCCGAGAACGAATGGCAACAGACGACCAAAAGACTCGTGGTACAACCGGGCGAGCCGCACCAACGCAAGAGAACTCAAGACTTAGAGTATCATATCGCTCATATCTCCAAGAGAATCGTGGGACTTGAGAAGTCGGCACCGTCCCATACCGAACGGCAGAAAGACGAGTACCCAACTTACCAAAAGTCGTTGGCCACACTCCTAGACATTCAAACACACTTCTCAAGCCTTGAAAATTTGGACGACCGAGTTTTCGGAGAGGTTGCTTATTCCCGAAATTACAGTCTCGGAAGCCATGGGGAGTTGCAAGATTGGTGTTTAATCCGGCTCCATCAAGCCGCCCACCAACAACCCCTTGACCAACTATCAAACAGGGTGATGCTCGGCTCTAGTTCCACTCTCAGTCGGCTTTTTCCGTTTGAAGAGACTGTGCACGAGAATGGAGTCCTCAGTCTGACGTCTTCCGTTGTATCAGCGGCAGAGATTATGACTACAGTCCCAGCGTTGTTGGTTGGAAAGTACGGAAGTGGGAGTCAGGCCACGGTTGGCGTTTTCAACCAGGTCAAGTCTGTCCGACGTCACCTGGCGAAATCAGGCGAATACTTCCAGTCGAAGGAGTTTTGTGTCATATCAGCCAACGCCTCTGTCGATGTGCAAGCCTGCTTTTCAGTGGAGGGCGACTCTGGTTCGGTTGTGTTTGACGTAGACGGACGTGTAGTTGGAATCATCACTGCCGGGATCACCCGAACGAAGATACTTGAGGGATCGGACGACTATGATCTTGATAGAGCCGTCGATGTCACGTACGTTTATCCGATGGAGTATATCTTGGAGGACTTGAAGAGTTGCGGGTTGGAGGCCGAAGTCGTTTAACAGGTGAACTTTGTTGCCTCGTTATCAGTTAATTATTTCCCTACAAAAGACTTGGCAGTTTGAGTTGCGCCTTGCCCATGTACGACTTTCTCAGTGAAAACCCAACTGTTTCTTCAGTCGAAATAGATCAAATCCACCCGTCGTGGGAAGTGGCCGGAAGGGTGAAGTACATATATGAAGGGCGACCAAGATTGGGAAAGTAATGCCTTGTACATGTCTAAAATAAAGCCAGCCATCGCGACGGCTGCAGCCATGAGTAAACTGGAATATTGTGGTAATCTAATAAATGAAACCTTTGCTCTAAGGCTCTGTCTTGCAACATTGTGAGAGCACGACTGACCGATGTCAAAGACACCAGGTCTTGACTCTACATGTGTCTGTTCCTGACCACAAGACAGTGTGCTGCTTTCGCCTAATCCTTCTTTAATGCTTAGTCCAGTAATCCTCTAATGGCTTTGCCATTGCCAAACTCAATATCTTCTCGTGTGTTCGATCTTTGGGAATCCGTCAATCGAAGTAATTCGCACCCACCTGAAGGGCTCAGACGATGTCGGTAATACCACAGAAGAGCCGTTACGAGTGTTATCGGAACTGCTACAACCCAGTATACCCAGAACTTGCTCGAGACATTCCACGAGTCTGCTCCCGAGTCGTAATCAAAAAACGAAGTGCTGAAGACGGCTGAAACGAAAGTTGACGGTAGGAAGAGTAGTGTGAGAAAAGCCACGGTTTTCATGGCCTCGCTGTCCCTCTGCGTCGCGCGACCGATGGCTACAGAAATCCGGGCGTCGGACTGAGCAACCATGTTGTATGCGAGCGAGATCTCGTTGAAGTGCCGAGCCTTATTGGAAGCCGAGCGCTCTTGAAGGCTCGTGATCATCTCTTCGAAGAACTGCAACCGCTGATGCGTGTAATTCCAAGCCCGTTTCCATGCGGTGGAAGACCTGGATTGATCGTCAGGGCCAACCTTGTATGCCTCGTGTTGTAGTAGAATCTTCCTAGCAGCCTTGACGGCCAAATCTAATGTCTCTGAAACATGTATAGCATGTCGTGCAGTTTCGTGCAAATGACGAAAGTCGGGCGCAGTCTTTGAGGTGGCCGAGTTGGAGCCGTGGATTATGTCCCTTTGCTTCTCTGTGGTCCTGACTGTAACACGAACAGCCCATACAGCGGCATCTTGCAGAGTGACGACCTTCTCCAAGATTCCGATGTATATCCAGTAGGGGTCGAGGAAGTAGTCCGCGTTTGGTACGTTGTAAATGGGGTCGGATTCATCTTTCGGGACCCTCTTCATACTATCCGCCGCTGGTTGAACGGCGTCGAAGACGATAAGGACTGTTTGACGTGTCTTCGCCACCCAGTGCGTAATCACATTAGTCTTTGACCATTCATATCCTGTATGTCCTTCGTTCGTGAGCTTCACTGGAAACCGTGCCCATGTAGCTGTTCTCCCGTCAGCCAGCGCCCTTGGCCCTAATCGTCACGACTTACTCAGTCCTGCAGTATTTCCGTCCTCGTCAATCTTTGTCTCGCATCCAAAGTAGCCGTTAGAGTCTCTGCAATACCGTTTCCACCAGAGGTCTGGGATCAGGAAGGCCTTAGCATACTTCTCGCGGCATGCTGAACATTCGCGTATTTTCTGTGCAAAAGCATTGCTATCCGCTTGTCAGCATCGTGCTGTCACCGAAGCTATACTAAGCTTACACGATGCAAACATCGAAGTCTTCCTGGTCTGCTAGGTTGGATGCTGATTTCTTCTCACTGGCCTTCGTAGCCGATCTCCATTTTCGATCACCTATTTCCTGTTAATGTAGCTCCTGGTTCAATGGGATTCTCTCTAAGCGGACCTTTCTTCCAGTATAACACTTCTGGTTGCGGGCAAGATTCACAGCACATTTGGTCCATGTTGATTGATCGCATGGTAGTTGAAAAAAGTAGCTTATCAAATGCAGCATGAAATACTAGCCCTCTTATAAGACTAGATCAAAGGACTCGGCTGTGAAGATTGCTCAAGAATGGTTGCATTGTACATCAGGCTCTGAACGGGAGCCGCAAACCCCGCTTTAAGCGCCGATGCAGGCTGCATGGCAGGGCCTCTCGATACCCTGAGTTAACCAACCAGCGATTTGAGGCAGATCTGCTGCTGCAGGCAGGCGTTGTTTTGGACTCTGTCCCTGTGAGGAGTCTGTTCCAGAGGACTTTCCATCATATGAGCTATGCAAGCTGTGTAATGTGATACCGAAATTCATGGCTGAGCCACCAGCCTTGCCGTCCCGAGTGGAATGACTGGAGGAAGCCTGGAGCTAAACATTGCGGCCCGAATGCTGCGGTTCTTTGGTCCGTCCGTTGAGGATGTAACAGCTCCATACCTTGCGGTGACATGCAGAAAAGAAAACAAACAGCAAAGCTGAGAAGCAGTCGGCAACAACTCCAATGCCTTCTTTGTGGATCGAAGTGAAAGCGCGATGATGCTGCAGACAGTGGAATGAATGGAAGGGTCTTTCGGCAGGGTCCTTCCCGCCTGCCCACGAACAGCCGGGATGTTCGCTGAAATATCACCGACGCCTGCTTGGCAATGGGGAGCACTTGCCTCCACCAGAGACGGGAAAATTTGGGGGAAAGCTCAGGGGTCACCTCCTTAGCTTCCTCCTTCGGACCAATCAAGACGTGGCTTACCAAGCAATCCATCGCAGCTGGTCGATACACCTATTGGAAAACGAGCCTAAGCCAACCTAAAACCGCCTCGACTGCGAGGTGAGACTTTGGACGAAGATGCCAGCTGTAAGGTGTTCGTTCTGCCGTGTGTAGTCGGTTGCCCAGGCACACTTCTCGATATATGACAAGTGACGGGAACCTTCGCCAATTCCCACTGCAACTCCATCTCGTCTTCATTTGTGTAATTACCCGCTCGGTCCGAGCTTGCGGACTATCACAACCTTTTTCTGTCTGTCTTGTCTTTTGTCTTCTCATGTAACACCGAGCTCCATTGAGCTTCCTTCTTGTCCAAGTCTACCTCGCCATTATCCGCGTCACCCGTGAAAGATCGACCGCTATGAGTTGGCCCTACCGCTTTATCGACCTGTCCAAGGAAGAGGTCCAGATCCGGAGACAGACTCTGGATCGCTATGGCAGTTATGCTCAGTACTCGGCACTTACGCCAGTCATCATTGCTTTGCTCTTTCGGCTCGGGGCGTATCTCAGCCAACGCTGGCAGTCGGGAGCTTCCTACTCTGCTGTCCCGGGCTCTCCTGAGCTGAAGACAAGAAGACAGAGCTGGGGCCACAGCTGGGAGGCCACAATCAAGAAGTGGAAGTGGTGGCTCGCCGACGATGTCTACTTTATGGGGCAGCATTGGGGCCAAAAGGATCAATGGGTTTTTGGTTCGGCCTGGGCCTCATGGCTGCTGGTTCTGAGCGTGTTGGAGACGGGCGATGGTGAGTTGTGAATCCCCTCAATTGGATGTCAAACGTGATGAAACTCCAAACTCGACCTTTGAACCAACCCCCCTAGAGACTCAATTGAGCCTCAATAAAGTTGGAATTTGGTGCTCAAAAACACTGCCATTCGGACCGACCAAAAGAAAGGCCATGTTTCTAACTAGCTGTAGATTACCTCCATCTCACCAAGCGTTTCGGCATCATCGCAGTCTCCCAGATCCCCTTCCAGTACCTGCTGGCATTGAAGAGCTTCAGTCCCATCGCCAAGGCTTTCCGCACATCTCACGAGGAGCTGAACAAATGGCACCGCGTTCTCTCCCGTGTGACGCTATCCCTTCTTGTCCTCCACGCCGTATTCTACCTGAACTTCTTCGTGGCCAAAGGCATCGTTCAGAAGCGCCTCTTTGCACCCGTCGTCTTCGCCGGTGTCGTTGCATTTGCAACCATGAACATGATGACTTCAACAGCGGCTGCCACCGTTCGAAGGTACTCGTACCGCATCTTCTTCATCACCCACCTCATCGGTGCTTTTGCAATTCCGGTCCTGGTCTTCTTCCATGCCAAGTCGGCTCGCCTGTTCATGGTCAAGGCTATCATCGTCTTCCTCATCGACCTTACCGTCCGTCGTCTCCGGACTGTAATGGCTCTTTCGAAGGTTGAGACTATCCCAGGCACGAACCTGATTAAGATCTCTGCTTCGATACCTCAGCACAAGATCAGTGCTTTCCATACCCGCCCAGGTTCCCACATCTATCTCAGCGTTCCCGCTGCAGCACGACCTGGAGCTGGCCCAACATCCCCTGATGCAATGCTCTTTGAGTTTCTCTTTAACCCCTTCACCGTTGCATCCGTAGACGAGGATAACGGCAGCCTTACTCTGGTAGCTCGTCAACTTGATGGCCCACTCACACGGCATCTCGGCCGTTTCGCAAACGCGGGCACCGGCATCGAAGACGGCAAGGTCCCGCTCTGCATCGAGGGCCCCTATGGTGCCGCATCCCTCCACTTTGACAAACTCACCGGATCCTCTGTCGACCGCTTCCTGTTGGTTGCTGGTGGCGTAGGTGCAACATTTACAGTACCAATCTATCACGCCATTCTCCAAGACAATCCCAGCGCCAAGGTCGAACTCGTCTGGTCCGTACGCGGCGCCAGCGACGTAACCTGGGCTACGGCCACCGACAAGTCCGTCTCCAAGAGCGTCCTAGACGACCCCAACGTCCGTGTCTTCCTTACCGGCGAGGCCCTCAACTCGGACTCTACTGGTCCCATGGCCGGGCTTCCTGCCGAGACCAACGCCGAGGGCGAGATGGAGATGAGCTCGCTGCAACGTGACCGAAGGCGGAACCGTCTTACGAGCGAGAGTAGCCGCAAGCGTCCGGACTTGCGCAAGATCGTTGACGACTTCTTCAGGCAGGGGGCCGAGGAGAGGGTTGCGGTGCTTGTGTGCGGACCGGCGGAGATGGGACGGGAGGTGCGGGAGTATGTCGGCGCGTGGGTCATGAGGGGCCGGGACGTGGTGTGGCACAATGAAGCCTTTGGCTGGTAAGGACCTGTATGTTCGTAGATTTGAATACTTTGAGTCGATAGAAAGATATGGCCGAGGCTACTGGGTTGGCGTTTCTGTCTTGGTTATTCGGTGGTCTGCCCTAGAAATCATAGCCATCGTTCCAAATTCTTCGTCTCTTCCCCTGCTCAGTAATCGTGTTCTGGTCATCTCGATCCAAGAGTGAAATTTCCACAGTATGCCGAGGGGAAAGAATGTCATTTTATCTATTACGAAACACGCTGCTAGGATGAAAAGCCTCCCTAAACGCCAAAAATCGTAACTCAATGCTCATCCGTCATACCGCACACGTTTCCTTGGCTTCCTCCTTGCTAAAGAGCTTTAATCAGCCCGCTTCTTGGAGTCGCCGATATCTCCCGTCTCCATATCCTTGCTCTTGACTTCGCCAATATCGCCATCGCCATCTTCCTCTTCCCAGTCGTCCACCTGGTTCTCATCCCAGTTATCCACTTCCTCCTCAAGTGACCTACCCCCACTGCTGGCACCAACACCAACACCAGCACCCCCATCCCTCGCACCACTAGCCTCAACAACACCAGTCTCATGTCCCTCGCCAAGCTCCACATCCTCCTCGTCCTCCCCGGGGACAGCCTGATACGTCTTGGTCCGGCGCTTGCGCTCGAGCATGCGCTTGTGGTACCACGAGCACAGGCCGATGCCGGCGAGCGAGCCGACGACGTTGGCGACGATGTCGTAGAAGTCGAACTCGCGGCCGTTGGGGAGGAAGCCCTGGAGGAACTCGGAGCCGACGCCGAGGATGAAGGTGCAGACGGTGAGGGTGAGGTTGAGGGTGCGGCGGCGGTTGGTGTCGAGGATCCAGTAGAAGACGATGGTGAGGAGGAAGAAGGTTGTGAAGTGGAGGACTTTGTCGTTTACGTATTGGCCGAGTTGGAGGGTTGTTAGGCCTGCGTAGCCTGCGACGAGGAGGAGGGCGAAGAAGACGCCTGGAGGGGAGGAAGTGTTAGCTTAGGTCTGCGTACTTCTGTTTGCGAGGTTGGGCTGGAGCTGATGCTCGTGCTGAAGCTAAGGTAGAGATGAAGCTGAACTGGAGCTGGAGCTGCGTCGCCCACTCAGCTCTTGGAGGAATCGATGAAGATCCAGAACCATGGGTGACCGTGGTTGGGCTCTTGACGTACCTGCAAAGGGCAAACGTATCCGCATTTTGAAGAGACCTGCAGCAGCTCCTGCAGATGGTGGTGTGATTGGTAGCTTGCGATGGGTAGCTAAGGTAGCTAAGCTTTTGGAGTGTCTCGAACAATTATGGGCGTCTCGAGTGATGGAGGTGGGCAAGGACGTTCAGCTACAAGCTGGCAGAAGAGAGAGGTCGAGGTTCGTGTTGTGCGTTTGCTTCTCAAAGATGAAAGGGAAACTGGCCAGGGTTGTTCGTAATGGGGTCATGACGGACGAGGGTGAGGTGTCCAGCTGGCCGGAGCTCCCAAGCGACTGGATCAAGCGAGGGAGAGCTTTTTTCTGCTGCGGGAACGCGAAAATGGAGTTCAGCCCACTGACGGAAGGAGATGTGCAGCAGTGGTGGCGCCCCCCAACCCCAGGCTTTACTGCGTGAGGTACGGGACCTTCTTCGAGGACAGGGGTAGGCCCCCGAGGATTTTGGAGCAGATAGAGGGGGCCCGGTTTGGTCGGGTTCAGGTGGCCCGGGCGGAAGATGCCGTGGGCCGCAGTTAGGTACTGTCGCGATATGGATGTCTGGGGGTGCCAGACGCGATGCGCGCCCGTGGATGCGGATGAGGTCACTGGGGGTGGGTGTTGGGAATTGAGGTGCACGCACGGGATGATGTGTAAAGGGGGTGAATTGAGATACCTGGTGGTGCTGCGGTGCGTCGCTGAAGAGTTTCTGACATTTGCAACCTCTGGAAATCACATAAGCATCACCACTCTGTTCGGCAATAAAGTACTTCCAAGTTCCTCCTCCCCCCAAAGCAAACTCTCTGTGTTGTGTTGCTGGTCCGTCCTGCTGTGCTTTGGTGCCTGGGGTGCGCTTCGTGGCTCGTTGCTGACTGCGACTGGTTGGCTGGTGCCATCACGTGACAAAAACGTACGCGATCCGATCGCTCAGCGCTGGGCCAAGGGGGGAATTACGGTGGCCTCCGCTCGCGCCGTCGTCGGCATTGGAAGTTCATGTACCTGCATCCCGCAATCGCGGCACCCATCATCACCCCAGTGCACCTCATTTCTGGGTCCGAAAAAAAGGTAGATGAATTGACGAGCATACTGAGACCTTGGAGAATCATTTTTAAGTACATGCGACAGCCTTCGTGGTGGTCTGTGCTGCGTAACTCGTGGTCAACCAAGGTTCCGTGTACCGCTAGCAGCGGCCAACTCGCCGTCTTCAGGCAAGGGAAAAGTTCCATCGCGTACTTGCGTACGAGCCTCTCCAAATCCTCAACCTCACCTCTCGGAACCACCCAAAAGACCCCTTATTCCAATCCATCAATACACAACAACCACAACCCGTCACGTCTCCGAATCGCGAAACTCATCTCTATCGATGTCGCTCTTTCTACTGATGCGCTCATAACGACCCTTTGCCGCCCGGACTCGGTCCCTGACGAGCGCATTTCCTTGCGCATGGCGACACGCCGCCCACCTGTCGCTATCATCAATCCGGGCCCAAAATGTCCCTCCCCAATGGCCACCACGCATGGCAGCCGCCGTCCCTTCATCACCAACCCTCTAGTCGCCTGTTCCATCAACTTGATGATGGCCCTGCGCGAAACGGAACCCCCGTCGACCATTCAATGTCCTTGATGCCTGAGGCACAACCTGATATTGAAGAGGAACGACGACGCGCCTTGTTCAAAGATCTCTATCATAAAAGCGAGGCAAAGATCTCGCTGCTGTTCGCCGACGATGGATCATACAACTATTCCGCCATCGATGCGTTGCGCCGCCCCTCGGCCCCCTCCCCCTCCATATTACCCCCTACCACCGACCATGCGCCGATCCAAGAGCCTCCATTAAAGAAGGCCAAGCGGGTCATCGACGAAGACGATTACGGCGATGACGATGACGAAGATGAAGAAGAAGACGCGGCCGCAGCCGATTCGAGTAAACCCGTGAACGGCATTGCGGCCGCCGGCGCCGGCTCGCTACTCTCCCCCTCAAAGTCCGGTAGTTCGCCCGTGCACTCCGTCAGCTCCCCCGGCAAACAGCTCGAGAAACTCAAACAGGCCGATGGATCTGGAGACAGCACCAAAACGAGCGAAGATGCGCGAAAACAGCTGGAAGAGGCGCGTAACGCGACCGAAGAAGCGGCGAGACGGAGCTTCCATACCATATTCTATACTCTGGAAAACGACCGGACTGCTATGCTGGAACAGCAGCAGCTGGAGGAGTCCGAAAAACAATTGCAGGCCGAGATGGAAAACAACAATAATCACAGTCAGACAAATGGCGCCCAGGCCGAGAACCACGGTTCGCTCAGCAGCGCCAACTTGGGCGCGTCAAGTTTAACCCTCAAGCACTTGATTGCGAGGATAGACATGAAACGCGACCAGGTTCGCGCCTCTGACGCAGAATTGCGATCGCTTATGAACGAAGTGCGAAAGAACCGAAGTAAATGGGCCAGCGAGGAGAATGTCAACCAAGAAGAGTTGTACGAGGCCCTCGAGAAAGTTTTGACTGAATTGAAGGCACACACGGAGTACTCAACGCCCTTTCTGCAGAGGGTGAACAAGAGGGATGCGCCGGATTACTATAACCGTAAGTTGCCTCCAGGCAGACAAGTTTGACTCGGATTGGCTAACCACCCTTGGCACAACGCAGTCATCAAGCAGCCAATGGACATGGGATCTATGACGAAGAAAATAAAGTCCCTCACGTATAAATCGAAGGCGGAATTCGTCACCGACCTAAACCTGATATGGGACAACTGTCTGCGCTACAACCAAGATATGGGACACCCTCTGAGGCGGATGGCCAATGGCATGAGGAAAGAGGCCGAGAAGCTTATTCCTCTCATCCCGGACCTCGTCATCAGGCCGCGAGCTGAGGTCGAGGCAGAAGAGCGCCGTAAACAGAACGGTGGTGAGGAAGACGGTGGTGACGACTCGGACGATGAACCGATCATGTCATCTCGCGGTCGTACTGCCGGAACTAAGGGCGCCAAGTCCCGGAAACAACCCACCGATCAGAAGGAGGGCACCCCCAGCGTTGACCAGAAGCCGGTGCTGCAGCTGAACGGCCTGCTGGCTAAGGGCCGAGAAGGCTCTGAAGCAGTTGACGGCAGCGGATTCGGTACGCCCATCGCTGGCTCGGCAACACCTGGCGGCGTCAACGGACACTCAGGCATCGGAAGCAACGCTGATGCTATGGATATCGATGGACCCACGTTGAACGGCATGGCCTTGGGACAAGCTCTCAATGAGGCTGCAGAACAGGCCTATGAGGACGAAGAGTACAAGATCTGGAAGCAAGTGACGAAGAAGGACCGCGCACTCATCGCCAAGGAACGTTATCAGCTTTTCAAGGACAACAAGCTGAACACTGACGCTCCTGCTCTACTCCGAAATAAAGCCGGCATTCGATGGTATCTGAGAGGGCAAAAGGAAGCCGAGGCCCTGGGTGTCATTGGCCAAGCCCAGGCGGACTCGTCTGCTATTGCTGCTAAAGAGGCCGCGAAGCCTGCCGAAACTCTGGCCGAGGGTATGGAAGGAGAAGAAGAAAAGATCGTACCAGCGTATTATGAACCTCTGACAGTTCTACCGGACATCCAACCCAAGCTGCAGTGGATTGAGGACGGCGAGGGCCACGTCATCAACCAGCATGAGGAATATCTTCGCATGATCCCCGAAGGTCACTTCAAGGCGCCAAAGAGCAAGTTTGCCAGCAAGATCGACAGCAACATCCATCAGATCCAGGAGACGAGGAAACTTTCGAGCAAGATCGGCGTGATTAAGCAGATGCAGATCCAGACTCAGGTATATACAGGTGTCGCCGGCGGGTGTATTAGTCTTCTAACTCGTGTGTTCTAGGTTTACAACAACCAGTTTCCCAAGTCCAACTACGAATCTTTTGTGGAGCAGGATGCGGAGCCATCCTTCATCGCAGATGATGGCCCGGTCATTGCACCAGAGACTTGCCGTAGTGCCTTGCAGCGCTCTGTGGCAAAGATTCTCTACCACACCGGTTTCGAAGAGCTTCAGCCCTCTGCTATTGACACCATGACGAGCTTAGCATCCGACTACTTCGAGAAGATCATCAAGACCTTCAACGTGTATCGTGAGGCGGAGAAGATCGAAGCACCAGCAACGCGTGTCGAAGGAGGCTCTCGATTCCAGTCACGTTTTACTCCCGAGGAAGTTATCTTGCACACGCTCGACGAAAACGGATGCGACCTGCTCAGTCTGGAATCTTACGCCAAGGACGAAGTCGACCGGCTCAGCTCGAAGCTCGGCGGCATACACGAGCGTATGAAGTTCCATTTGACCGAGCTTTTGCGGCCTGCCCTTACCCAGGAAGCCGGACAAGATGGTGTCGGTGCCTTCAAAGACGGCAGCGAGCAGTTCGTTAGTGGTGACTTTGCTGAGGATCTCGGCGAAGACTTCTTTGGTTTCAAGGCCCTGGGTCTGGACAAGGAGATGGGTCTTGATATGCTCTCGGTTCCTCTTCACTTGCTCCAGTCCCGTGTTCGCAACCAATTCCAGATGCAGACACAGACGGTTGGCGCGGAGGTCACCGACCTCTTCGAATCCTTGCCGCCTGTTGAGCCCATTACGACGGAGAACATCCACGGCCAGATTGGTCTCGTCAAGAACTTCTTCCTGGCCAAGCTACACGCTAACGGCGATACGCCCTTGGTCGAGGACGAGGAGCTTCCTGTTAAGCAGAGGCGGCCCAGACCCCGTCTTGGCGCATCTGGAAAGATTGTCTCACCGCAGAAGAGGCCGCCCAAGGAGCAAATTGCCCTCGCCAAGAAGAAGAAGAAAATGGAATTGGCGGCGCAAGCCAACAAGGATGCCAATGCTTCTCCAGAGAAGAAGGGCGAGACTACACCGGCAAAGAAGGTCAAGCACGCCAACATCAATGGCACCGGGCCCAATCCAGCGGCGATCGCGCTGCCTTCAAGCATGGAGCGGAACGAGAGCATGCAAAGCCAGGGCAACGCCAGTCAGACCGACAAGGACGAGCCTATGGGCATGATGAGTCCCGAGAGTATTGAGAGATGAGACACAAGGACGTCATGAGACTTGCGATTTCTCCCATATATATATACCCGTTTTCCATATACGAACATGGCAACTTATGGCGATCCTGCCACTGAGTCCGCAGTGGAACCGGGTTTCCATTACCACCTTTTCAGAAGCATGTCGCGGAAGCAACCAAAAAGGCTTTGCATTCATCAGAAGCAGTCTCCTTGCAACCTTCACAATCCTCAGACATTGCTTGGCATCGTACACCTATTCAATATACGTTTTTGATCCACACTCCCTTTTTTTCATTTCACCAAACATCCCTCGGCGTTGAGGTTGGATCGTCGTTTCATCGTTCGGGAAGGGAAGATATAATGCTGCACAAAGAAAACCCCCGAATTACATAGCTCGGCGCGGCTATTACTAAGACGAGTGGGATACCCAAAAAGCCAGCAAATTGGCGGTCGTTCATGGAGGGGATCGTTATCAGAGAAGAGGCCGAAAATGTACGGTTTGGTTTCTTGTCATTTTCAACAGTGGAAGGGTGGATTCCAATTCTTTCTTGTCCGTTGGCGGTACTGCAGCGCGGGAGATATTCCGCCCTCGGACTAGAGAAGGGCAGGGTGGCTTCTACTTGGTCAACGACTTTTTGGTGTTTTTTGTTCATCTCGTATAGTGCAGAGGATAGGACCGCCACCTTTTATGATGGAAAGCCGGAAGAGAGTTCAGGAGGTTGTCTCATTTGCTTTCTTGTGGTTTCGAGACGAGGGTGATATACGTGAGGGAACCAAGTAAGACTCTGGGAACTTGGACAGATGACCGGATGAGACATGGCTATCCGCACGTCTTTCGTCATGACAGCATTTTGGTTGATCTTGATTATTCCTCGTCTTTGTGTCGCGTGGAGTTTCGATGACATGCGTAAAGTATGGAAATTGTTCTTTGTAAGATTGTTAAACGGGAACGCGGGGTTGAGGGGGGGGGTGGATGCATGCTGCTGCCTAGGGTTTACTTCTTCTTTTACTCTCTCTTTGAGTTTGTTGATACAATTGCGATGCGATGCTCGCTTGGGAGTTGATAGATGGCGTGTTTTTGTTCACCAGTCGTAGTAGTAGTCTTTTTTTAGTTTTTTTTCTCTTGTAGTAGGGCCGCTGCTGTTGGGCCGAGATCAGACCGAAATGAAAATATGATCAATGAGTTTGATGTTTCTTCTTACGGGATGTGTTGGTTGGAGAGAGAGATGCAGGTTGTGCTTGTGGTGTCCGAGGTTTAGGCTGTTGCTGTTGGGAGCGTAGCCGGGTATTGGCGCTTTGGGGTTTTGGCGTGTGCTGAACTAAGTTCTCCTACCTGCTTGGAGGTCTATGCTAGAAAGCCTGGGGGCAGTCCGCGTCGTAAGGAAGCTGGAAGCACTAAGAAACGGATGAGGAAGCATGACAAGTATGAAATAGGAGGGGTAAACAGATGATTGTGATAAGGCGATTACGCGTGTTCAGTATAGCCATCACGGTATCGTTTCTCATACTATACAGACGAATCCCTCCAGCTTCATCATCACCAACTGTTCTACGCAACCCCAAAAGGGGTCAAGAATCACCACGATCATGAGAAAAAGTATCCTTAGACTCTCTTTCGGCTTCGTAGGCGTGGCAATATGGTTTTAACCGCGAAGAGCCTGCCATTGAAGGTGAAATATATTTGGATGAAGCTATATGACTCTCTCTCTGTGATTCGTGTGGCTCGGCTGGGCAAACTTGATGTCAATGTTGTTTTCCTCTTTGGTATCTCTGGGCATTGTTAATAGCCCGATGATGCCCGGCACTAGTTTCCTGTCCTTCTTTGCTCGCGGAGTAGATTGTAGGTACAGATGGGTTGACATCCGGTTGGTATCAGGGGGTAAGATGGTATGATACCGGGACTGCCTAGCTGTCTGGTCATAGAAAGGCTCAAGGAAGGTGTCAATGTACGAAATTGCCGACAGCGAGGGTCCGGATGCTAAGTCGGTTTTCGTCGAACTTTATTATCGACTACATCTACCATAGTTTACCTACTACAGACGCTGCAATGAAGTGAAGGGCCGGAGAGATATCGAATGGGGCAGGCACAGGCTTGGCTTTCCTCCCACGCAGAACAGCCCTGGTGTAGTCTGTCAAATCAAGGGCTCGTCCGACTCTCAGAAAGATGTGTTCACCGAGTGTAGGCACTGAATTAGCGCGTTCGGAGCGAATGGCAAGAGTGTTGACTACTGGGAAGCCATACTTAAGACCGAGAATGAAAGCGTCTGTCTCGGAGATGGGACCAGCAGTGACCCTGCCAAAGAGTATACTGGCCATTACAATCAAAGCCCTGGTCCCTACAGTGCTCGACCGAGCTCCGGGGAATGGCAAATACACAGGACCACGGCACGAGTTCATGTCGACGCATATTTGCCACATCAATCTATCGAATCAACGAGAGGGACATGTCAAGCGACTGCCCCTGGCATCTTGTGACTGAAAAGAACCAGTCCTCGCTTGAATTCCTCGCAAGAACCACGGCATGGCGTGTCACTTGACACATCAAGTCTGCGCACAGTTGTCTAGACGAATCAAGCGGGGCCCAAGGTCGACGGGGACACTCATGCTGTCTTGGAACTAGCGATCTGCACGATACATCCCAATGACACGGTCAAATGTTACAGAGACTTCCATATGCAATTTGCAAAGTCAATCACTCGGGTGATTTGATGGTATTGGCTCTTCTATGAATCTTCAACGCATTCCTCTTCGTCGCCTGGCGTCAAAGACTTGACATTCGGAACCGGTAATTGTGATTCAGCCATGACTAGCATCAGCTTCTTGTGAAACAAAGACTCTGGGCCACCAATAAGCAAAAGAGCTTTCTCAAGAGAATGCAGTACATCTCTGGCTCCCAGAAGCATACTATTGCATCCGGGCTGTAGGGAATTAGACAGCCACGGGTTGCAAGCCAGGATGTCGATGAGAGCATCGGCAATACGGAAAACTTTCAGCTCCTACAAGAAAAGAAAAAAGGGGGCACATTGTTAGCGGTCTTCACGCGGCCAGAACCTCGGTAGTGTGAGTGGTAAATACTTACTAGGCCATATCCGTGGGTCCGAATGGCCTGCTGGGAAACAGACCCGAGCAGGCGCATGGTCTCGTGGGCGACCTTGGCAGGCTTCAGCATGGAGAGCATTGCATCATCCATACGGCTAGACATCTGGTAGTGGCTCAGAGCGAACTGCCACCAGAGTATGTGGATCCAGTTCCCCGTCATCAGCACGTTCACTCGCTGCGTCTCTGGGAGGTTGGGGGCCAGGGCCGAGAAGTCCTGCTTGGCCATGGCTGAAAGGGCGCTGTAGAGATTGTCGGCTTTGCTGGAGTCGGGTGTGATCCCCCCTCTGTCTGCCGCTACGATTAAGTTGTCGTCGAGTAGGGTGAATAGTTGGGCGAGAAGTTGGAACGAAGCGTCTACTTCGCCGACTCCTTGGATGTGAAATCCGGAGAGTGGGAAAGTCTGTATCGGCTTGAGGCATGGTGGGAAACAGTTCTGAACGCAGAATGTCCTGATTTCTTCTCTGTCAATAATTTGGTGATCTCCATAGAGGAGGCTTATCGACTGAAGCGTCGCCTGTAGCATGAATAGGGGTTAAACTCACCTCTCGGTTACGAACACCAACCAGAAAATGCGTAACAGCAGTTCTCTTTGCTCTTCTTCGAGACTGACCAGGATTTCCGGACGGTGCAGACTTTGCAGATGTAATTGAGCAATTGCCTCGTGTAAGTATACTGTGGCTAGCCTGATGCGTTCTGTATTGGCGAAGTAAACATGCAGAAAGAACGCAGCCAGTAAAGACTCTGTTGTGTCTTTCGTGTAGTAAGTGCTTTGATGATACTGATTGCTCAGATTATGCGAGAGTTGAGAATGATGTGCAAAGCTTTCCGCAATGTTGTTGTCATCTGAGACCAAGTTATGCTGCTTGGAAAGCCGCAATTGAGATAGTCGTAGCTGAGCAATTACCGTAGCACAAATGGCCCCAGCTAATGCCCATGCATCGTGATCATCCAGCGAACCACTGATTCGGGATTTTAGTGATTCCACATTAACGATGGGCCAAACACATGTTAGATGGTCCCGGAACTTATCCAAGTATTCGATGTAAACCTCCAAAGGGTTTTGCTGGGTAGCAGTCTCGCTCTCCACGCCGGGAGTTGACGGCGATCTGGGACTTTGGGTTGGGCCGCGGGCCGGAAGAGGGAGTCCTGATCGATTCTGTCGAATTTGTTCTTGATAGTTGACCACCTTGTGAGTGGTGCTTGATCGAGGTCCCTTCGGTCCCCTCTTCCGTGGAACCCGAAGAAATGTGCATTCCACTGATCTTTTTCGGCACTCGTTGCAGGGTGGACTGCTTCCTTGTAAGTGGCATCGTACTCGCCGAAGCGAGCATCCATCGCAGGGATAGTTGGTACGCTTTTTGCCTTTCTCCATATTCCGATTTCAAACGCGATGATTACATGGAATGTCGGAAAAGTGAATTAAGAGAATCGCCAGATCTGGTTTCAATTCTGGAAGGCTGCAGTTGTCTTTCCTAAATACATTTCAGGCGAATAAATCAAGCGACTGAGTCTTGTGGGGTATGGATACCCGGACGCGGATTTCCTCTTTCTGCCCACCGGCTCCGGGGCCCCTCCTTGTCAAGGCCATCGGATTTCCATGGGTAGTCAAAAATTCCACGAGAATTTAACCGGGTACAAGAGTCTCGACCTTGTCGCTTGAACTTTTCGCTTGAAATATCCCCGGACCAACCCGCGTTATCCACATGGAACCAACACTACGGCCCTTGAGGGCTAGGTTGTCCGAGACCCGAGTCAACCACCACCTGATTGCCACGAGAAAAGTTGCAAGTCAGTGAAAGCCTTCCAAGACCGCGTACGATCAAGAACCACCGATGCGGGTTATACGTCGGACGATGTTGGCGCTAGCAAAATGTTTCTGGGGAAAGGCGGGTTGATGATTTTTCTCTCGGAAGTCAACCCACGCGAGCAAGATGCATCAAGATAAATAGTTCTTCATAATCCCAAATTTGGAAACATGTTCCCCAGATTTCCCCAGACTTCACTGCAACCCTCTCCATCTTTTCCTATCATCATCTAATCAGTCGTTCAGAGTCTGTGCTATCAATGGCGACTACCCCGGTCAACGTCGAGACTGCAAATGCACTCACAGACCCGAGTGCTGCAGAAAAACACAGCAAACATGAGCCGGTGCTTCTGAATCATGTAGCCCATGATGCCCAAGCGGCGACGGAGGGCCAGAAGAACATGTCAGTCATGGAGTCCTTCCGGGCGTACCCCAAGTCTGTGGCATTCTCAATGGTCCTCTCTCTCTGCATTGTCATGGAGGCATACGACACCTCCCTGATTGGCAACTTCTACGGCTTGCCGCAGTTCCGCCGAAGATTTGGAGTGCGTTTGGAGAACGGCGACTATCAACTTACATCAACATGGCAGTCGGGTTTGCAAAACGCTACTCAAGTTGGTCAGATGATTGGACTCTTCGTCGGCGGCATCGTCGCGGAACGCTACGGATACAAGAAGACTTTCCTCGGCGCCCTTGTACTTAACATCGCCTTCATCTTCCTTTTCTTCTTTGCGCAGAATATCGGCTACCTTCTCGCAGGAGGTCTGCTTTGTGGCCTCCCCTGGGGTGCCTTCCAAGCTTTGACGACAACCTACGCCGCCGATGTCACGCCCATGGCCCTTCGACCGATCATGACAACTTATACAAACATGTGCTGGGTTATTGGGCAATTCATCGGTACTGGTGTCCTGCGAGGACTCCTTTCTCGCCCCGACGACTGGGCTTGGCGCATTCCCTACGCCATCCAATGGGTGTTCCCTTTGCCAATCATGGTTGGTGTTATGCTCGCACCCGAGAGCCCGACTTGGCTGGTTCGCAAAGGCCGTCTGACTGATGCTCGCAACGCTCTGCGGCAACTGGCGAGTTCCTCGACAACCGATGCTGAACTCGACGTCAGCATCTCCATGATCGCCCACACGAACGAGATGGAGAGACTGAACTCGGAGGGAACGTCATACATTGACTGCTTCCGCGGCACCAACCTTCGTCGTACGATGATTGCCTGCTTCGTTTGGGTAGGACAAGTTGCCTGTGGCGTTTGGTTTGGTAGCAATGTTATCTACTTTCTTCAACAAGCTGGCTTTGACTCGGATAACTCTTTCAGCTTTGGTCTGGGAACGAACGCCATGGCCATTGTCGGCACCTTTCTCTCTTGGTTTCTCCTCCCCCATGTCGGACGCCGGACGCTATACGTCGTTGGTCTTTGCATTATGTTCATCGTACTAGTGACCGTCGGCGGCATGGGCATTCCGGCTCCTCGTCCAGATCTAGGCTGGGCATCGGGAGCCTTGTTGATGGTCTTCGTCATCACATACGACATGACGGGCGGACCGACTTGCTACTGCTTAGTCGCAGAGATCCCTTCCACCCGACTCCGAATCAAGACGGTTGCCATTGCCCGCAATGCCTACCTTGTGGCTAGTATCGGTGCGAACTTCTTGAACCCACCCATCATCAACCCCAGCGCCTGGAACTTGCGAGGAAAGGGAGGGTTCATTTGGGCAGGTATCTGCTTCTGCGAACTGGTTTGGGCGTACTTCTGTCTTCCCGAACCGAAGGGACGCTCTCCAGCTGAGCTTGAGATGTTGTTCGAGAACCGCGTGAGTGCACGCAATTTTGCACAGGCTAAGGTGGAGGTGTTTGCAGATAATGTGGAGAGGGATGAAAAGTACGATGGACCGATGGCGGTCAACGTTGAGGGCCGGTGAGTAGGATTAGCAGCTGGAGAAGGCACTTGTCAAATACAACATCATGAGCTTGGCCGAGATACTACACGAACTCCTTCTTGAGCCTTTCGCCGATGAGACCTTCAGGGAAATGATCTTCTGTGATGAGAAATGCAGCGAGACACTCGATAAGTCACTTAGTAGCTTTCATGGTGATCGGAGGTGAGGATAGACACGACAGCATTGTTTTCAAGGCCGTTTAGGCAGAATAAGTATTCCGCACGGGCATGATGAGTATCGCTTCCATCTTGGTTCGTATTTACAATCTAGTAGTCGTATACAGAAGCAACTTCCAATGCCTCAAACAATCATTGCGGCCGCGAAGTTCAGTTGAAGTATAGGAGGAAGCAGTGTCCTCCAACATCCAATCTGATGTGACAGAACCAAACGCCTTGGCCCAGAATTCCATGACTCAAGCAAAGATCCTGGACCAGTTTATCGAACCAAAACTCCGACCCAATACCTCCGTAGGGTATCATGGCCTAGAACTTCTCTAGCAATAGACGACTGCTCGTAAGGGGAGAGACACGGGCTCGACAGCTTAAGACAGTGTCACTGAGACCCACGTCTATACACGCAGTGGGGCAATCTGCGACTTCCACTTCTTGCCTTGAGGCTGGCGCCCAACACGCGCGACCTCTTCATCCGACAGCCAGCGCTGTGGTTCCTGTTGCTGTTGCTGTTGCTGTCGCAGGCCGGGGCTGGGGGCCACTAGCCTCGTTCTCTTTGCAACACGGGGTTCATCCTCGTGTTCCCCAGCCCCTTCGCATCTTCTCTTGGTTGAAAGGAGAGACTTCGGCTCGGCACTCTTGGGTGTGGGTGTATTCTTAGCCGAATGCTTAGCTGGCTTCCCCGGAGAGTGAGAAGAAGCGGGCGTGTTGTTCTTTGAGTCGTTCTTGTTCGGGGCCACTTTTGATTGCTCTGGCACCAAGAAGAGAATCTCTGACATGTGCCTTTTGATTTCTTCGAACCATTGAGAGCATCGTTTCGTGACGAGTTTCTTCAACCCCTGCTCAGAGAGGTAAGAAGTGAAGTTGCTCGCACTGGAATAGTGGTCTTCGAGGAGATCGTGGCGCTTGTTGTGCGGGATCTGACGCCAGACAGAGTCTGGGGGCGCAACGGACTTCGACAGAAAGAAATTGAATACACGCGAGTGTGCAGCAACGGAGAAGTGATCTTTAACTCCCGTTTCTTTGATCTTCTTGGCAAGCTGAGCTGTAAGGCATATAAGAGCCAGACGTTGCTCACCAAGTACGGTGTATGAAAACTGAGTTGTAGACATCTTGAGTGGTAAATGGTGGGGTTGTCCGGTAAAAAGAGGGTAGCTCTTGTTTCCCAGAGGTGTCCCAGTGGTGGTTATGAATGAGGTGAAAAGATGTATGGTCTGTCCAAGAGAGAGCTTTTAGATTGTAGAAGTGTGTGTGCAATGAGCAAGAGTGTGATTAATGCCGAACGAAGAGAATGAGAATCCATGTGGGATGAAGGGCGGTTTATATCAGTCTAGATGGACGAGTAGGAGAGTACCGCGACGGTCCAGGGCGTCAACCTTGGTTCTAACTGCAAAAGTTCGACCTGGATGTCGAAGTGAGTAAATTGGACAACAACGCCTCCTAGGCAGAGTCTGCGACATCGAGTAGATCATTGGGTGACCGGGAACTTCAGTTAGTTGAGTTTGAGGCTTGAGGGGTTCTCTAGCTATATAAAGTCTGCAGATGTGCCAAAAAGGTGTGGTGTACACGTTGAGAAAGCCTCTAGTCCGGGATGTTATCTTGAACGTGTATCTCCGAAATCGTTCTGACGGCTCCCAGCCGCGGCAGAGCGATTGAGATATCCTGGGGAGGACATCACGGTTCACGAGACTCAGTCGACCCGGGACTCAAGGTTTACGCCACTAAGCGTTATCCCGTACCGTTACGACCTTAACCAGGCGTTTGGGCAGGCACCCAGGAACGTACAAGAAGTCATCCGTGTGGTTGTGGAGAGTAAATTTTGACCTGGACAGACGGCATGCGTGAGCCAACGATACTGCGAAGCGTACAGTACCGCACCTCAGGTAAGGAAGAGAAAATTCCTCAAGTGGAGTACACTGTAGCATGGACCTCGAGATGAGAGAGCGCAGAGAATCGATAGTGAGCAGCTCTTGCTATCGTATGATATGCTCGTTCCACCACTGCATGACTTTCTACAGATGAACTTTTGGTCTATGAATCGACTGGGATATGAGAGTCCTATAGCCTTCGGACCCAGTGCGGCGGATCAGCCAACTAGGCCTAAACTCTCTCTTTGCGTGCCCCGTTTGAGGACTTCTGCGGTTAGCTTTCCGAACAACCAGGGTACCTGGGTCCTGTCCTGGGTTTGGCCGAGCAGGCGTCGACATATCTGGGCACACTTAAAGATCATGGTCTGGGTCGCTTAGGTATTATGGCATATACACAGTGAATCTCCCAAGACTAGAACGTGTTATAGACGGTCTGGATTGGAAAGATACGGGCATCAAGTTGTCATGCGAGCGAAGAAACGCAAATACCTGGTAGTAATCCTAAGAGTGCCCATCTCAATGAGATGACATGACCGACTTCTCCATTCGCCTCTGTCTAAAACAATTTCTCCAGATGAATTGGAAGATCTAACCGAGAGGTCATGAGAGGCGTATCATACTTTCGAAAAACAGAACGTCCTGTCAATCTACAACTTGTCAAGTTCAGTCGTGTTGGCGGCCCCATACTGGCCTTGTTTTCCCTGTGTCAAACTGAGTGTTTAGCCGACTCCGAAATTTGCGGCTCCGAGACTTTTCTCTTTCGTAGGCTGTCTTAGATGCAAACATACTCTCATTCTCCGGCTTCATCGCCGGAGACCGGGATACGTGAGTGGCCCGCTCTAGCCATCTGTGTTTGTTGGTTATTTGCTGCACTGACGTGAAAGCTGCAGAAAAGGAAGACGGCGATGATGAATTGAGATTTTAGTGGTAAGAGCGTAGCGTGAAAAGATTGGTTATATAAAACAACGTGGACTCGGGAAGCTTAAGGCTTTGTGCTACATGTCATCCGAGTTGTGGGGGCTAGCGGACTTAGACGCGGCCTTTAGCCGTGGCTGACACCCCTGCACACGGAGCCGAACGTCATAACCTCTAGTACGATGACTCGCTAGTTTCAAAAATGAAGCCGTAGAGACAGAATAAGTCACATAAGTCACGAATCTTGCATTCGGATTTACCTGTTATTGCCAGTGTATCTGCGGTTTGCTTACCTCTCGAGAGAAAATTACCAAACTAAAGCTGTAAGCCATGGTTCCGCTTTACGACAACGACTGATGATGATCCTGCACGAGAAGTTGTATAAAGTCATCTAGTCCGTCCCTCAATTTCTATCAGATGATGTATCACTTGCAATTCTACAAAGTCATACTCTTACTACTCGCCGTACCTACACATCCACCCTCTTCACTCCAATCTCATACCAAGATGGTCAAGACTCTCCCCTTTGGCGGCATCCGCGTCCCAGTGCCGGGATTCGGTGCCATGGGCATCACGTCGGCCATGGGCACTAGGCTCTCGGCCGAGCAGGCGGAGCCGGTGCTTCTGAAAGCAATCGAACTGGGATGTACCTTTTGGGATACCGCTGTAAGTCTGGTCCGAACGCAGCAAGTCTTTTCATGCCGTTTCCTTATATGTGTGTCAGGTTGCATACGACGCAGGTCTTAACGAGAAGATTCTCGGGGATTTTATTCGCAAGCACAACGTCCGCGACAAGGTCTTTGGTAAGTTCAAGTTGACTCGAGGCCTCTGGTTACGACCTAATACTGACTTTTACATGTCAGTTGCTTCCAAGTGTGGCTTTGATGTCTTCAATGACCGCAGTGTCACCAACTCGAGATCCCACATCCGGTCTTACATTGACGGAACCATTGAAAGACTAGGCTTCGCGCCAGACTTGTACTACTTGCACAGAATCGACCCGAGTATGACGTCCTCTCCAGCTTATTTCTACTCGTCTAACGAAGGTTATAGAGACACCTCTGTCGGAGTCCATCGCTGCTCTTGACGAGATCCGGAAGGAAGGAAAGACCAAGTATATTGGCCTGTCAGAGTGCTCTGCCAAGACCCTGCGCGAAGCTAACTTGAGTATGTCCCATCCGCCACAATAACTTCAGCTTCGTCTATTCTACGCCTAAAAACTGACACTTGAAAAGTCGCCAAGGTTGATGCGGTCCAAGCGGAGTACTCTGCCTTTGAGACCCTCCACGAGGAGAGTGGTCTCATCCAAACAGCCAAGGAGTTGGATGTTGCCTTTGTAGCATTCAGTCCGTTGGGCCATGGCTGGCTGGTTGATAACTTTGATTACCAGAGCCCGGAAGACTTCGCGCCCGATGACTTCCGTCGAACTGGTACGTAGTCACAGGCACTCGAAAGCCTTCCTTTACTTCCCTTTCAAGGACATATTTCTGACCTGCATCGTAGTCCCCAAGTTCCAAGGAGAAAGTTTCTACAAGAACAAGGCTATCGTGGACGAGATGAAAAAGATAGCTGCTGAAAAGGGCTGTTCTCTAGCTCAGCTTGCCCTGGCCTGGGTGGCTGCGCAAGGTCTCATCACCATCCCGGGCACCACTAAGCCGAAGAGGCTAGAGGAGAACTGGGCCTCCCGGGATGTGGAGTTGTCTGATAATGAAGTCCTTGCCATCAGAAAGCTGGTGGAAGCCAATAAGCCCGAGGGGAAGAGGTTCTCTGCGATGCACGAGGCCGCAGTCGGTCACTAGCATGGACCGCCGGGATCGTGGATTAGTGATTTGAGCGCCCGCTATAGATGACCTGCTATGGATCGCGGAACCCAAGCTCGAGAATAGGGATGAATTAAGATAACCAGGTGTAATTACCACGTACTCAGTTCCGCCTTCATGAACAACTCGCACACAACTGCGACACTCTCGGAGGATCAATTCAGAGCCGTTCCGGTGTCTTCATACAAGAGCTCCGGACGGCGGTCGGTGGTCGGCGGGGTTATCGGATCCACACTAAGCGGGTCAATCGGACCAGCTTCCTTACGCCATGCCCCGCAAAACCGCGCTAACCTCTGAAGCCGAGTACCTACCTCAGTATCCGGACGCAGAAGTTTGCCATGTGAATGCTGCACACGTTGCAGTAAAAACTCCATTGCCGGTCTGCGATGAATTGAATTTGAATTAATTGCTTCTCCCACCTTCACTGTGGAGGATTCCGTTTGGAGTACGGCGATGCAACATGTCTCGGCTGGCGACCTACAAGGCGTACCGAGGCCACGGTGGCCGTTGATTGCAAAGGAATGTTAGAAGCCATGGAAAAAAGTGCTTCACGCAGCTCGCCGTTTCTCCCTAGTGAGACAGGGTGTCAATGCCAGGGGTGGAAATCTATCTCATTCAGCACACGCGTCCAGCCACGTGTTCACGAGAGTCGCTGATAAGATATGATCTCGAGGCGGAAAAATGGATATCGCGATGTGAAACAGACAGGTCAACAACAAGACAAGAAATTGTGGATTTGATTGATCAAATAGACTTTGGAGGCCTGAGTCAAGACCGGCGAAGACGGGCAGTAATGTCGGCATCGGCGGAGCTCCATGCTATTATTTTAGCGGCGGAAATCAGACATTGTGATGTCCCGATGGTGCCTGATTGTAGAACGAAGAGCACGACAGCATCTCGGCGTACGGATACATGTGAAGGGCCAGATGAAGAGCTCTCCGTATGTAAGGTACGGGGCAACATCGTATTATTTACAGAAGATGCCTAGTCAGGGTCCACGAGCCGGGGGGGAAAAGGTCCCTCCCTTCCATCCACCTCATTGTGTCGTGCTTCAAGGTGGAGCCCAAGCCTCATGGCGCCACAAGAGCTCTCAACAGACAGACCTGGCCCGTGCACCACAGCTGGGGCGGTGCAATTTCCAGGCTGCGAGAAATTCCATTTACTGGCAGAAGGGGCCAAAACTTAGCCAACCAAGCAGGCCTTCGGGGAGATACAAGCAAAGGGCACACGACAGAAGCGTCAGACTTCCCCTTCGACACATTGCTTCATTCAACAGCTTGCTTCCATCGGCAGGATTGGATTGACTCCCGCCATCTCTTGCCGCCATCATAAAGGGTGTCCCCAAACTTCTGACACATAACCCACAAGTCCCATTTCAGCCCGCGCAGCAGCTGTCAGCTCCCTGGCCCGATCGCCGAGATAGGGAGAGAAAGAAAGCGCCTCGACATCACGACCGAGCGCCCGCAGCCTTACGACCTGCAAGCAACTTTCCAACACCTTGCTGGCACGTCCTTTATCGCCTTGCTATCCGGTGACGACCTGCGCGACCTGCGACGAGTGCTTAGCGTCTCATCTGCGACCATCGCTTGATCTGGCCCGAATCTCAGGATAATCCCCGAGCCAGCCCTACCTCCCTTTCCCTTTGACGATATACCCACGACACTACCCCGACATCAGACACAATGTCAGCAGCGGCAGGAGGTCTTACCCGGCGCCGTGGAGGCGGAGGTGCTGCGGCCGGTGATGGTGAGGCCAGCAATGGCGCCAGCCGGACCAACTCAACGCCCAACATCAAGGATAGCGCCCCCGAGACGAGCTACGAGAGCGGCGAGAACGGCCACAAGATCGCCTTCGACCCCCGTGATATCAGCGAGAGCGCCGAGCGCAGCAAACAACCCAAGCTGACGTTGATGGAGGAGGTTCTGCTCCTCGGTCTCAAGGACAAGCAGGTATGCCGACGACGAGCGCCACGCACCGATTTCCACAAGTGAAGCCAGGTCGCTAATTGACTTTTTTACACGGTGCAGGGTTACCTGTCATTCTGGAACGACAACATCTCATATGCTCTGAGAGGATGCATCGTCATCGAACTCGCATTCCGCGGTCGCATCAGCATGCAGAAGGATGCCTCGAGAAGACGCTTCCCCCTCGCGGACCGCGTCATCGAAGTTATTGACGACACCCTGACGGGCGAGGTCTTGCTCGATGAGGCATTGAAGATGATGAAGCAGAGTGAGAAGATGAGTGTCAGCTCTTGGATTGACCTGATGAGCGGTAAAGCTGCCCCCCTTTCCCCTCCCTGAAATGGAATGGAGCATGCGCTGTCCACTTCGCCCTTGGAAAGCACTCAGGCTGATGGGTTTGTTTACCTACAGGAGAGACCTGGAACCTGATGAAGATTGGATACCAATTAAAACAGGTTCGCGAGCGCCTGGCCAAGGGTCTAGTCGACAAGGGCATCCTCCGCACCGAGAAGCGCAACTTCCTGCTGTTCGACATGGCAACCCACCCCGTCGCCGACGGGGGCGCCAAGGAGGAGATTCGCCGCCGCGTCCGCAATGTTTTGACCCAGCGTACTGTCGTCCTCCCCGCATCCCAATTCCTGCCCGAGAACCTCGAATTCCGCTACGTCCGCACTCTTGCCATGGTGTGCGCCGCCTACGCTGCCAACGTGCTCGAGAACGCCCTTAGCACCCTCGGCCACGAAGCCCGCGAGCGCGCCTTTGCCCAGACAGACGAGCTTCTCGCCGACTACAGCCAATGGCCCTTTGGAAAGAAGGCTACCGGCAACGGTATCGGTGCCAACCTGCCTCAAGTCATCGCAGATGTATGTTGAAGACAATTCCTCCATGTGGCTATATGGCCTGGATCTAACAATTTTGTAGGAAATCAGCAAGGGCAAGGATAAGGAGCTGCAACTCGAGGTTGTAGCTGCCTGTCTCAGTGTCTTCACCCGTCTTGATTCCCTCTTGTAAACCTAATCGACCTTGACATCCTCGAAACCGATCATTCCGCTGCCCTAGCTTTGTGTAGGGCAGAGCACTGAGCGAATTTCGGGAACACGACTTCCCCCATTTCTCAATCCCATTCACAACCTAGACACATCGAAACGCCCCGGCATTGAGCTCTCCCGACCTTCACCAAATTCGAACCCTCACGAGAAATGATAAAATAAAGCAACAGGGGAATGCGACTTTTCTTGTGCTCCCCATTAAACCAAAAAATGTGCAGCATGTAAGGTGGTGGTGTGGGAGCAGGATATTGGGTTCGCAAACTTGGGGGCAAAATATCATGAAAGGGCGCTATATCCTTCTTTTGCCTCATGGGAGAGAAAAAGGTTTCCAGCAAAGGGAAAAAAACGAAGGATGATGGGACGGCGAAAAATACACACGCGTGTAGTTGGTTGGGTTTCAACTACTTTTTTCTACCGTAAGCGATCGTTTTAATGCAGAACACACTCAGTCCACGTCCCGAGAAACGAGAGCGCAGAGGGAAAATGAGTGTGAGAGATATCAGTTTGAAAGATCTTCGTGGGCTTATTCTACCGTCCGTCTTCTTGCCTTGTGTTGTTGTGCTAGCTGAAGTGTTCGAGATGTGAACATATATATCTGGCCGGCGTTAGTGAGAACTCCATTTAAAGATTTTTCTTCTCTACAAGACGTACCAACGTCGTGACGATAGCCTCAGCAACACTGGCTATTTATCCTCTGCACTGACGTATGGTAGTGCAAGTTCACGAAGCGAAGGAAGGCAATCATGACATGGCTAGAACGATTGAAATATGTATTCATGGGTTCCCTCCTACGCCGCCATCCCCCTTTTTTTGTGCAAAAGGAAAAAGACAAAACAACGTACAGTAGTTCTCTTTTTGTTCCCAAAACGCCGTTTTCCATCCATAGTGATGATGCAAAAAAAAAAAAAAAAAACCGCTCGTCGGTTTTCCTCGAACACACACACACACACACACTTGCGTCCTTCCTCCACTGCTCCGGGGGGGATATCGATTAATCTTCTGTATCGCCAACCTCCTCACACCTCTGCTCTGTTCCTCACAATGGCCTTCTCATGCGTTACGGCTTATTTCTTCTTCTTACCACCGCCAAAGCTCCCCTCAAACCCAGGACGCGCCTTGGTCTTCTTGGCCCCGCCACCGCCAACCTTCTTCCCGCTCTTGCGACCGAGCTTATGCGCCAGCTTATCATCCTTGCGCTTCTTCAAGTTATCCTCGCGCTTCTTCTGTTTCTCGCGAATGGATTTCGCGACACCGTCGCTGCGCTCCTTCCACGCCTTTTCGCTCTTCTTCTTGGTCTGCTCCTTGCGCTTGACGGCCCTCTTGAGCGCCTGCTCGTCGTCGCGCACGCGCTCGCCCTCGGCGCGTTTCCGGGCGATGAGCCACTGCTCCTTTTCGGCAATGTCGGCCTGTTTCTCCTTATCCAGGGCCGCGAGGCGCTTCTTTTGGTTCTGGATCTTGATGAGCGCCGTCTTGGGGTCCGAGGGCCCGCGCTTCTTGTGCGTGTTGAGCGCGTGCGAGAGGTCGTGCGAGAGCTTTGTTCCGTCGTCGAAGGCGACGCGGCCGAACGCAAAGTTGGCGGGTTCGCCATCTCCGTCGTCGTCGCCGCCGAGGCCGACGCGGGGGGACATGACGCTGGGGGAGTTTGACGCGAGCGTCTCCTCACGCCGGGCTTCTTCCTCGAGCTTGGCCTTTGTGCGGAGCTCCTTCTTGTGCTCTTTGCGCTGGGCCTGCTTGAAGCGGCGCGCCTCGATGAGCTCCTGGCGGGTGCGGATCGGTTTGCCGTCGGGCCCGTCTGCTTTGCGGGCGGCGCGGAGGGCTTCTATGCGCGCGGCGAGGCGGGCGCGGAGGGCGGAGGTGTCGGCGGGGAGTTTGATGTGCTTTGGCTTCTCGGAGGGCGGGACGGTGGAGCTCGTTGAGGTTGTGGTGCTAGCGCTCGCGGCGGTGTTGGAGGGACCGGCACTGGTGTCAAAGGTGGGCGAGGCCGGTGTCGAGGCGCCGCTGGACTCTGTGGCCTTTTGTTGTTGGGCGAGGCCGGAGAGGTCGAGGGGGTTGAGGTCGGCGGACTTGGACTTGGACTGTGTCGCGGGCTCGGTCTCGTCGTCGGACTCGTCGACGGTCTCGTACTCCTCGTCCTCGTCCTTGTCCGCGTCCCTGTCGTGGTCGTTGCTGACGGGCTGGGCATCCTTGGACTCGGCCTTCTTCTGTTGCTTCTTGCTCGACTCCTTCTTGGCGGCCGCCGAGGACTTTGCAGCCTTGGTATCGGCGGGCTTGCTGGACTCCTTGACCTCAGGCGCTTCAGCATCAGTAGCATCAGCAGCATCAGTGGCGGCGTCGCCACCAGCAGCCTCGAGCTTAGCAGCCTTCTTCTCAGCCTTCTTCGCCTTCTTGCTCGCGCGCTTCTCCAGCTTGGCCTCCTTCTTCGCCATTCTCATGAGCTGGTTTTGCGACATCTCGGCAGGGTTGGCGTCATCAATCGTGTCGATCGGGAGGTCGGCCGTCTTCTGCTTCTTGTAGTCCTTGTTCATCCGCAAGCCCTGGCCGGGCAGCTCCCTCTGCACACCCGGGATGGGCTCCTCGTCCTCCTTGTCCTCTTCCTCCTGCATCGCCTCCAGCTTGCGCTTGTTGCGCGCCGCCCGCTCGTCCATGACCTCTTTTGCGTTGCGGTTCAGCTCGCTGTCAGGGTCCAGCTTGGCCGTCTTTGCGGCTTTGGCTTCGGCCTTCGTCTGCTTCGTCCGCTTCCATTGTTCCTGTTGCAACAAAGAAGCGTAAGCAAAATGCGCGCTTTTATAAAGGATACCAGGGTGCTATTCAGTTGAGGCACAAGCGATGGAAGGGGAGGAGGCTGGGTTCCTTTCGGTCGCTTTGCGATTTTGCTTTGCAGGGCCATTGAGGATGTAAGAGACGGACTGGGGGAGCAAACGTACAGAGTTGTCTTCTCCATAGTACATCTTTGCCGGAATGAGGGACAATAGACCATCAAAGGCCTTTGAGTGCTCGCGCAGGCGATCCTACGAAGCATGTTAACGTTGTGCCTTTTGTGGCGATCTCACAGGATGATCACCACCGCCGGCAGCCTCTCTCTTTTTTTTCCTTCGGCCAGTGGCGGGGCACGGGCAACACAACGAACCTGCAGAGTAGATTCCGCCATATTCCCTTTGTTCTGTTCCTTGGCTTGTGAAATTCTTATTGAAAGAAGCAAAAGTCCTCCTATGTCTTGGCCACAAAAAGGTTGGTGGGAGTGCTGCAGAGCCAAATGAAAATCAACGGCTAGGCGGGTGCAAGCAGACTCGGTGAACAGAGACAGAGCTTTGATACTGCGGCGGTTGCGGGCGGATTGGCTGCGAATTTTCGGGCGGTTCGAAATTTTTTGGGGTGTGGAGAAATCGCTTATGCGAAATCTTGGCGCTTTTCTGCCGCCGGATCCTCACCTGTTACTCGGGGCGGTGAGCTGGATTTACACCCCGCAATGACATAGCGCCCCGATAAGCGCATCTTATCAAGTTCTCTAGCTTCAAACCTCAGGGTCCAAACTGCAGGCCCCCATCACCAAACCTCTGGCTGGGATTCGCTCATCTTGAAACATATGCTTATCTGACCACCAATGTGTTGCTGCTCTGCACTGCCTGCAGTGCTACACTCAGATACCCAAACCAAGTTATAACGACCAGTGGCATTAATCGCTGCTTTGTTTGGTAGCAAGTCTTTCTAAGCATACACGTCTACTCCGGAATACCATAACACAATTCGCAAATCTATCACACGGCTTGGAAACTCCACCGCCAGTGGGTAAGTGGAACCGCCCAGCTGTAGACCCATTCCGTCCAATAATCAGTCCTACAAGCCCGAACGCCGCATTCCTGGGATTCCCATGCCGTCCCATGCCGTCTGAGAAGCAGTGCTGCCCAGCCTAACCATGTCACTCTCAACAAAGTCAATGACCAAGAAAAGGGCATCGACATCACAACGCCTGTTCCGAACGTTTTGTTCGGATAAGACAACCGCCCCTTGCTAGTCTTTCTCAAGTCGTAGCCGCAACAGTAGCCTCCTTAAAGACTGCTCTCTATTGACCCACTTTCCGTTGTATGTTCGTTCGTTGCAAGCAATGTCTTCAAAGACACCATGCCCTCTCGACGAGGACATATGCCGTGATCATTAGCATCCATTGTGTCGTAGTGGAGGGAGTTTTAGGCGATTTACGCGCCCGCCATTCCAGCTGCAAAGGAGGGCGTCTGCGGCTGAAGTGAGTAGCCATTCGTAGACTTTGCGCTCAGCTCAGCCTGTCGCTGGCGATCGGCCTTTTCGCGCTCGAGCTGCTCCTTTTCCGACTTGGTGATGCGCGGTTTGCGAGTAAGAGAACCGCCTCTGGATCCGCGACCACCTCGGGAGCCTGGTCCGCCCCCACGGCCAGTGCCCCCCTCACCTCGAGTCGTACCGCCACGGCCGCCAATACGACCGCCTCTACTTCCACGGCCACGCTTAGGCAGTCCATCAGGTCTGGGATGTGTTAGTGAACTATGCAATATAGGAATAGAAGTGAATGCAACATACCTTGTATCCGCAGGCTTCTCAACCTCTGGCACCAAAGGTCCAGAGTACACAAAGAAGCCATCTCGGCTAGCGGCCGCCTGCTGTTCCCACAAAAGCTCGGAATCGTCGACAAAGTCATCATCCTTGTCGTACTCATCTTCTTTGAAGTTGCGCTTCTTCTTCTTCGGCTTCTCGGGAAGGTCGGCACCACTTGTCATACCGCCCATCTCCACGTTGCTAGCTTCCTTGTCTGAGTCCTCGGACATTTCGTCGCCAGATTCCTGGCCTGACGCCGTTTTCTCCAAGGCAGCCGAGGCAGCAGCAATGCGGGCCTTGCGATCTCGCTTTTCAGCCAAGCGAGGGTGCAGAGCATCCCAGCCATACTTCTCCTCAGCCATACGCATGACGTTGACGTAGATATTCGTGTCGCCGGGCTTGATAGGGATGTCCAGGACAATATCCGGAGCCTTGTACTCCTTGCCAGTCTCGGCTCTGCCAAAGTCTAGAATTGAACGATCTCCGACTATATCACGAGAGTCGTCCAAAGCATTCAGCTTCGGTGAGGAGACACCGGACTTCTGTGGTTTTTGCTTTGGTGAATGTTTCTTGCTGGCGACAGAACCAGTAGTTGACGCGGCGTCCTTCAGCTTCGCATCTGCCTTGATAGCTGGAACTGGCGGGGGAGCGAGGGCCTTCTTCGGCTCGGGTGCGGGTGGCTTCGAGATCGCTTGTGGGATTGATCTGGCAGGGTATGACGGAGATGCTGGCACAGATGCATTCTCAGTTCGTGACTGAGCAGCAGAGGCAATGCGGAAGTTTTGTGCGGAGGGCGAAGTGACACTCTGCGTGGGCGGATCTACCAAGCTTGCGATAGAGGGAGACGCGCTAGGTCGGTTGACAGTTTGTGTTGCGGGTCTTGGAGATGAGGCACTACCAAAGATGCCTCTGACAGGATCGTAGCTTCCACGGATAGGATCGTAACCCTGTCCGCTAGTACGCGTGGGGAGAACAGTATTCTGTGGTTTCGGTTCAGGCTCGGGCTCTGCGTTCAGAATGCTTTGCATTGAACGCGGCATCTCCTCTCGCTTGGGTGCCTTTTGCGCTGTGTGTTCGGGCTGAGCAGAGCCGGGTCGGGAAGAGGAGCTCATGCCAACGAGGTCTGTAATCTTGGTCTGTCGAGAGGGAGGAGGTGTGGAGGAAGATGCGGCTGCGGCGGCAAGGGACTTCGAATCTGAGCCTGCATCGGCATCCGCAGCAGGTGCCGACTTTCTCTTCCTTTGAATGGGCGGCGCATTGGGATCGCGAGGCTTTCGAGGTCGGCGCACCTTGGGCGGCTCGTCGGGGTTCTTAGGCTTGACGGTAGAGCCAGGTTTGCGACCAGGCTTCTTTCGTGGCAAACCAGCAGCGGTAAGGCGGACTTCCGGTTGAGGCGGTTGGTCTCCTGCGACGACACCGAAGCGAGGTTGGGAGGGATCTACTATGATCTCGTCCATATCCATATCGTTGTTGTTTGGCCGACTGATTAACGGCGAGCCTGGGTCTGAAATAGAGCCGGAAGGTGGTGATGAAAGTCCAGGTGAGGAGCTGTCGCGCATAGCTGGCTCTCCTCCACCACTAAAGTAACACCACGCCGAAAAGAGGTCTTCGAAGGTAAATTCGACAGACACCTGCACCTGGAAGAGGGTATGAGGTTGAAAAAAAAGTTCAAGGCAGTATTTTATACCGTGGGATTACCGGGAATCACAGCAGGTATAGTGCATCGAAAATTCCTTCGATTGTAGTCGCGTGGTGAATTGCTTTGAGAGGTTCGTCCTGAATGACCTCACTTTTTCCCTTCTGACAGGGAGGTGGGTTCGCGTTTTGGTACGTTAAGGTTACGTAGCTCCGGATTGGCTGAAAGTAGGTTGGGGCCAGACGCGGAATTATGTAAGGTAGACGGACTAGGTTGGCTAAGGCAGGAGACTGCTGCACCGATTGAGCAGTGGTCACCTGCGGTGTGGCCGTGCGGAGTTGGCAAAGGTGGGAACTCGTGAATAACCTCAATGATGGGTAGACGTGTTTTTTGACGACAATTGACACCTTTGATCGACAAAAAAGAGATGCTGTGCAGAGAAAAGAGGAGTTTGACGACCGTCAAAGAGTGCAGCTTGATGAGCCGAACAAAACAGTGTTATTTTGAGGATGTCGACGATGGGGATTAATGTCGAGATTGATGGATTTGGCGATTCTGCAGTCGAATTTGCAGTGTCGTGGTAGTTGCAAAGAGGAAAAAGGAGGAGGGGAATGGGAGGTCGAAAGAGGAGATGGGGATGGCTACGTTTTTGGGGGGAACAACAATTATTTTTTGGGCCGACATTTGGCTGCTGCGCAAGACGAGAAAAACGGGGCACCGAGCAGACGTGGATGGCCTCAGCAGGAGTGAATGGGAGGGAAATTTTATTATTAAAGCCGAATTAGAGATTCGGACTAGGCTGGGGGGGACATCGACGGGATCAGATGGCCTCAGGGCCACGAGGAACGTGGACGAGGTGGGCAAGCACGGCAAGGAAAGAAGAACAGGACGCGGACGGGGCGGGTAAATGGATCATGGGGGGGAGGGAATGGGAAAAGGATGGGAATGGACAGGATGGGATGGGGTGGGCGGTCAGTCACGGTCAAGCCAAGGTTAAAAGAGGGAAAAGGCATTAGGAAGAGAACAACTGGGAATGATGGGAATGGGAGCGGGAGAAGGGAAATGGGAATGGCAACAACATGGAAAGAGTGGACTACCGTACTGATTGAGAGCCAAAGGGGGGGCGTGAGCGATGGGATGGCTTCGGCTGCACCTCACCTCAGCAAGTAATGGGAGTGGGGAGGCAGGAAAGGGAAGGGAAGGGGGGAAAACACCAAGATGACAAGAAGCGATGGCACTTGGAGAACGGGCCGCCCAGGGAGGAAAGCACGAAAGGTCGAGACAGCCGGACCAGAGATGCAGAGAAATGTGTAAACCTCCAACGTGGGCCAGGCGCAGAAAGAAAAGATGGACGAACGGGATGACGGGATGGTATGGCAAGGAACCTCAGGTAAGGTAATAAGAGAGACAGGCTGACTGACAATGGACGGGACGGGGTGGATGGGAATGGGAGCACGACCACCCCCATCATTTGCCCATCACCGGGCAGGCAAGTACCACGAGAGAGCGAGAGAGAGCAACAACACACGTCGGCGGCTTTTTGGGGCTTTCTCCGCTTGACGATGGTGTCTCCTCTTCATCAGTCAAGGCATGTCTCGCCAACAGCCGACAAGGGGAAATAAACACCACTATGGCAGACCAGGGTACAAGAGGAAGGTACGCCGCCCGGAACCAGGCCACGCAGGGCAAAAAGCAGGGCGAGCGGCCAACCCGATGCGAGGAAGTTCGTCGCCTCCAGCTCAGGTAACTTTGGGGAAAGGGCGAACCTGGAAGTCAACCCGCTATCAACAGCCAGCAAGAACCGTCGTGGGCGATGAGACGGGATGGGGATTGGGAAGGGAAGTCTTGCCGCGGCAGGCACTCTCTAAGGTAGTGTTGTAGGTTGTCTCCAGCAATAAGGTACTACATTTGTGTAGTGCGGCACCTCATGCGGCGCGTGTGTGTGTGTGTGTGTGTTTGTATCCGTACGGTACACCTTTTGGATGCAGTAACATGAATTGGGAAGACATGGAGGCAGCGCGGCGCTACGGGGATGCGAGGGGGTTGCAGGTGGTCGATGGTACCTCATCCAGCCCAGTGCGTGCAGCCGCGTGAGGAGGGGAGCAGGAGCCGAGCCGTGGGGAAAGGAAGGAAAGAAGGGGTCGTGGAATTTTTCCCATGGGTGGTCATCGGCAAGCGAACAGGAAAGGGGGACCGCGTTGTGTGGTGCAGGTGCAAGTGCAGGTGCAGGTGGTTGCAGCTTTTTTTTTTTCGGAGCTAAGAAATGTCGCCAAAAAAGAGAAACACGGGTCCGGGCGCAGGTACCGAGTACAAAGATGTGCCACCTCTTGTTGTCCTAACAGCCTTTTTTCCTTTTGTTCCCGCCAATCTGAGGAGCGGTGCAACGTTCAAATGTGGGTAAGAAGTGGATCCTGCGCGTCTGACGTTGAACCACGTCCGGCTTCCATTTCCGCCCTAGCGTCCCAGATAACCGCAGCAGGTGCAAGGATCTTTGTGCAAACCACCCAACACCCACCCTGCTGAGCCCGACGCAGAGGTATCCGTCCGCAGCACATAATACTTGGAGTACCTTTCTATGATTACCTAACGGGTTTGGAGACCAAGAGCCAAGAGGGAACTTGGAAAGTAGCCAGGGGGAGGGGCTGCGAAGCGAAGAGATGATGGCCGGGGCACACCTCACCTCATGGTCCAGCCAGATCTCCGCCAGGCTCTTCCCCCACTGTTCAGGGGAGCGAACAACGGCGCAGGGCATACTAAGTATGTACTATTTCAATCCCCCCTTCTGCATGTCTGGCTGATCATGGCGGAGGGAACTGCAGGCCTATGAGCCTCATTGACGATTTCTGCGCAGTATTGCTGTAGCAGGATACATCGCCAGCTCATTTATTCCTCATATTCCCTCTTCATTGTCAATGTTGAATCTCGTGGAACAAGCCTTTCACTGCAGCCTAAATACTTTTTTCGGGGCAACACACAGATGCTGGTAGGTGGTACGCTACGGACATGAAAGACATGTTGCAGATTCTGCAACACGCCACAAGTTCGAAAGAACGTGCATAATCCTTCCTTTTGTCACCCGAACATTCCTTTCCAACAGCGAGACATAAACGACAATTGTGTGTATTTTAAGTGGCATGGTTGGCGGAGGAAAAGAAGCAAAGGAGGGGGGTTCAAGAGGTACACACATCTCCCAGCCGAAATTCCTCTCGGATGTTCTAACCTAATTGCACACAATAATCTCTCGTCAAGAGAAACACGGCAACACCGACATGGAAAGAAACTATGAATATACCTGCCAATATACAAATTTGTCGCTGTGCACAATTGTCGATGCATCTTCCGAATGAACTCTCAAACAAATCCAACGCGTTTCATCTATTCCATCAAGCAGCGACACTGTGCCAATCAAACGGAAACACAATGCTGTGGTGCACAACGATTCGCACCCCCCCCTCGGCATGGTCGCCTGCCAGTCCGCCTCTCCGCCCATCCAAAGTTTTCTGGAATTTTGCGAACGATCGACGCTAATGCAAAACTTGATGTGGCTCAGTCCCGCTTGTCAGCCACAACTCTAAAACGGCGCATTCTCGGGATTTAGGACGAGTCGTTTTCCACCCTCCCATGAGCCTCCATCTCTGGTAGCGTGGCCTGCAGCCAGCCGCCATCACCGTTGCACTCCCCCCTCTAGTCGGGACAGCTGAAATAATGATTGACTTCCTATTGCACCTGTCCCATTCGCGACCGGAGTGGCAGGCGCTCACAGAGAGCCCGAAATTTCGATATGCGGCAATTTTCGACCCCCAAACGTATCTGACCCCTTGGCGCGGTGACCCTGGTTCCCCGTCGTACTCCCATCTGAAAATGAGCTTGTGTTCGGGGTGCCGCACGGGCAGTTCCGAAAAAGGCATGGAGCCTTTGAGCAGGGGGGCACCTCCATGCCTGAGGGGTGTGTAATCTGATAAGGCAGAGCTACAGCCCGATAAGAAGGAAAGGTACGTCACTCTGGACTGCAACCGAAGGGGAAAAAAATAATTGGTAAACCCACCATCACTCCTCCCGGTGAATCGCCAACATCTCATGATCCTACTCTCTTCCAAGTCACCCCTTCCACCCCCCACAACGCAAACATGGAGCCGATGATGCTAGTCGGAGACATTGTCGAAAAGGAGACAGCTCCTGCGAAACCCGTCGTCTTTGACGACATCGACGCCGCCCCGACAGGCTTCCCCGCACACAAGAAGCGCGCAGCCCGCGTCTCGGCCTTCAAGCAGCAACGGCAAGGCAAGCCCACGACAGGTGCGCAAGCCGCGGCCGCGACCTCCTCGATCCAGCCAAAGTCCCGCGACGATGTCGCCGCAGACTCACAAAAGTCTTTCGAGGCCGCCGAGCGACGGAGAATCGACCGCGAGAATAGGCAGAAACTGGAGGATATGAGCCCGGAGGATATTGCACAGGAGAGGCAGGAGTTGCTAAACTCTCTCGACCCGTCCCTCATCCAGCGCCTTCTCGGAAGGGCCAATATAGACGAGCAGCACGGCCCGAATCCCTTTGATCCGCCCGCGGACGAAACCAAGAGAGAGCCGCCGGCACCAACACCAGAGATCAAGATCGAGGACACGTCTGTGCCGCCGAAACCCAAGCCAGCACCAAAGCCCACTACGGTTCCGAAATCCGTCTCATTCGCAGACGAAGAAGAAGAAGACCTAACGTCAAAGGCACCGCCAAAGCCCCCGCACACACACGAAGACAAGGCCCCCGCCGCTCCTCCGGCAGACCTCTTCCCCCTAAACGATCAGCCCGACAAGACGCACTTCCCACAGGCGCCCGCCCTTCCCGACCTCGACCCTTCGCACCCCGACTTCCTCCAGACCCTCCACGAAAAGTTCTTTCCCAACCTCCCCGCCGACCCGAGTAAGCTCGCCTGGATGGCGCCCATCCCGACGGCCGACTCCCCCGCCGACCGCGAATCCCCCTACTACCCGGGCCAGTCCTCCCTCCCCATCGCCGCTCTCCGCTTTGACTTCAAGGGCGGGCTGATCCCACCCCGCCTGAGCAGGTCGATCCCCACGTCAAAGGGCCTGCACCACCACGGCCAGGCGCCCGAGGCGGCGGGGTACACGATCGAGGAGCTGGCCATTTACGCGCGGAGCGCCGTGCCCGCGCAGCGGTGCGTCGCGTTTCAGACGCTGGGGCGGGTTTTGTATAGACTGGGAAAGGGCGAGTGGGGCAACGGCGAGGAGGATAGTCTGGGGCGCGGCATCTGGAGCAGTGTGCAGGAGGGACGCGTGTTGGAGAGCTTGTCCGAGGCGGCGATTGTGGACGGCGGTCACAGGGGGAGTCGGGCGTATGCGACGGAGGCGCTGTGGTTGTTTGAAAAGGGCGGGTGGAGGGAGCAGTGGTCTGGTAGATAGTGGCTGTTCTCGCGATTCTGGAGTATCTCTGCTGTGACTAGGCACTCGCCCCGAAATGATACCAATGTTTAGCAAGATTTCCAAAGGGTACATGACCTCTGATATGTCAGTTCAGACTAAACGTTCGCCACGTACATTCTCCCACAGTGAAGACCTCGAAGAACCAGAGTATGAGTATGTGAGTGACGTTGTTTCTACTTTCCAAAGTCAATGGGAAGCGCCGCCAGAGTCCCCTCATCTCCCGCAAGAAAACCCCATCATCAGAACCACTAAACAAACTAGCAATGAATGAGTCAGGTCTTGATCCCCGTCACGTTCTCGATATCGTAAAAGCCTACGAGTAATCACCAAAAAACCAACTCAAGCTTTTCGTTAGCGAGTCAAGTCCCACACCCTACTGATTCCCTCGTTGACAGACATTCTTGAACTACGGTAGAGGAGACTCCGACCCGAGCGGAGCCGGCTCCGGCAAACCTTCACGATACGTGTAGCTAGCTACCTTTATGCGCAGGAGCTAGGTCACGCTTTGACCTGTCGTTGGGGCACTTGTAAGGTAGCAGTCACTTGATCTGTCGCTTTACTTTACACAGTAATTATAGGCCGTTGAAGCTCCTGACTCACAGAGATACCTCGTCGTAGAGGGTTCACGATCCAATGGCCGGATTCGCGGGCGTACAGACATCGGCGACGGGCACTTTCTCCAAAGTCCTCTTTGCAGCTGTTGCCCAACGTCTCGTGTCCCCGGTAGAGAGTTGGACTAGCATCATACTAGCAACATCAAAGCCCTAAGCAAAGAGGACATGACTCTTGACCCTTCATGCGTCCGATGCCCTAGGCAAGTCAGCTTTACATAAAGATTCCTAGCTCTGTACATAGAACTCCTGGTCCTAAAGACATTGTTGCCTGAGAGCCTTCGATCCACAAGACCTCTTCCTCCGGACCCTGCCTCCCCGCTACTCGACACGTGCCATGCTCATCCCCACGAGCTTATCTGCTCAAACTCCGCGCCTTCCACGCGGAGGTGTTGTGGACTCTCATACCGGAAAGCGGTCAAGATTTGCCCGGTGCCGATGTGAACCTGTCGGCCGGATGCTTAGGTGATGCCACTGAGCCACAATGTGCTGATTCGAAGTTCGACGGCTTCTCTAGAAGTCAATTCTTGGGGAGCGATTCCGGCCTCGTCGTCTCTAGTTCCAGATCGGACGTATATAGCGGAAAGCTTCTGCCACCCCACGCAGAAGAAACCTACCCGGCACCCTCTGCTGCTACGCCAGCCTTTCGTTCGCTGGCTCGCGACTGACACATTGCAGCCTGGCCGGAAGAGGTCTACGAAAACCTTCATTTTCGTCATCTGCTCCTGAGGGAGTGTCTTGGGTTGACGGTACCGGATCATAACGAGAGTCACACCATCTCGCAACTTGGAAATGGCTTCATGATGCCGCCGAACGATTCGCGGCCTCGTCGACGAATACTTAGCTCGGCTCCTGATTATCTGATCAAGGTCCTCGCTAGTTTGCCCCAAGCTGCGTGGATGCCGTGCGGCTGCTCAACGGCAGCTGTCGCTGTAAATCTCGGGCGGTTTGTCTTGGCACGGTTTCGAACCAGACTGCCGGGCTCTATCTACGATGCATCGTACCCTGAGACGTCGTCCCGTCGAAAGATATCCCAACTCGAAAAACGCGCAAGATGCTAGACTGAGGCGGGCAAGTCCACCTCACTGTGCATGGCTCAACCTAGGTCCACCTGTCAACCAGCATGATCTGTTGCTTGTCCGCGCAGCCAAATGGTCCAACATTGCGAAAAAGACGTTTGACGACGGTGTTCCCGACCGAGAGAGGGTCCGTCCGTAGATAAGGTTCACCTCTGTTCCAGAACCTCTAGAGGTTGGGGTCGACGGGCCATTCATGGGTCTCAAGCATGAGACGAGACCTCTCCACAAAGGATAAGGATTGGTCAATCCACCCGGTGTTGAAAGAGAGTTCTCTCCCTCCCCTCCTTTTGGCATTCGTTTCCAAGGCTGCATCTAGAACTTCAGGCCGGAGAGTCTCTCCGACCGAGCCGAACGAGTTCTGGGCCGCGTTGGCTTACTCGCGTTCATCGCGGAGACCGTACCCCGTCCCTTTTCTGTGCTATCGTCAGTATTTCGAAACTCAATGCTAAGATGTCATGTCAACGAGCACATACCCCCCTCTCCAAGTCTCCCCTGCGGCACGTGTTTACCAGGGGAAGGTGAACTCCTCTGATCTCTTTATACACAGAGGGGTCCACGGTCCTCCGTCCTTCGTTCGGGTGGGATGCAATTGTCTCTCGTTCTCGTCTTGGAAAAGTCTGCTCCCGTGGTGAGGAATTCTGCCGCTTGAGCTTCCTGGACCCGTCGCCGTTAATCAAGGCATCGATATGCACAGAAAACGTTCCGTCATGGGCCGGAGCGATCAGTGATGAGCACCAACACAGGCTCGATAGGAGCGGCGCCACCACCGCCCGGGGAGACGCCCAACTTTGACAATCCGCGGGACGCTGGACATATGCTCCACATGGTGTATATGGTTCTCATCCAGATTGTTGTCGTGGTTTTCTTCGCACTCAGGGTCTACGTCAAGCTGTCAGTGAATGGAAAGTTTCGACTGGAGGATTGTAGGTCTTGACCTGAGGTACCTAGTTCGAATTATACTGATATGTGAGACAGGGAGTTGCCTAGTTGGATGGGTGAGCTCACGACACCTGCGCCAAATGACTTGCAGATGTTGACTGTGTTAGACCTTTACTGTACTCCTGAACTCGACCATTTTCATCAGTAAGAACTGCTCGCGTGTTTTAGAGCAAAACGAGCGTCCGCTGACGAGATGAACAGAATTACATTTCGGCGAAGGATTCCACATTTGGGAGATTACTGCTGGCAACTTCACCGAGCTCCAGAAGGTAAAGTAAATGGTGGAACACGATGGCGATTCCTGTACTAAGAGCAGCATCTCCAGTGGCTATACATCAGCTCCCTTCTGTATTCGCCGGCAGCATTTTTCACCAAAACGGCTCTCTTGCTTCTCACCGTTCGCGTTTTCTCTGTCGACAGGAACGTAGCTCGGATGCTTCACGCTCTTTTGGCATTCTTTCTTCTGTGCTATATACCGGCACAAGTCGCAAAAACTCTCGTCTGTATCCCGGTTCAGGCATTTTGGGATACGACTGTTGTCAACTTCAAGTGCATCGACCAGACTAAGCTGTTCTTGTACGACGGCTCCATCTCGATCGTGTCGGATCTGGTGATCCTGGTTGTTCCCATACCTTTGACATGGGCTCTGCGGGTGTCGTTTGCCAGAAAGGTGAAGGTGGTGGCACTTCTAGGCGCGGGTGGTGTAGCATTCGCCGTGACGGTGTATCGCGTATACCTCACCATCAAGTTCGCAGACACCAAAGACCCGACTGTGGACTTCATCCCTCTTGACTGGACTGTGTGAGTCTCCGCCCTTTGAAAAAGCTGCGTCCAAGGTAACACCCCTAACTGACACCGATTTTGCTAGGACTGGAGAGCTCGCCATTGGCATAGTCTGTGCTTGCTTTCCCTCAATCAACCACCTGCTCGAGCGGCGCAGCGCGATAAGAGTGTCGTCCAATTCTTCCACGGCGGGACTTTCTTGGTGGAGGAAGGCATCGAAAGATTGTCTAGACTCTCTGTCATCTTGGGGCATGAATCGTCGGTCTAGGCTAGCGGCGGGGAACAGGATAAGACTGCAAAACACGACAGCAGATTCGAATGCGAGGCTTGCGTCGACCCCTGGAAGTACTCCTGGCACAGAAAGAGATGAGCCGCAGCAGTCGGATTACGATATTGAGCTGGCCGTGATTTCGATGCCGCAAAGCGAGCCTCATCCGGGAGAGCTAGTAACGACAAGAGTGGGCAGCCGCAACGACGACCTGCTGAACCCTCTACCTGTCATTCGACGTAGTAGTCCTTTCAGAATCGAAGGCCCGTCTTGAAGAAGCCTCCCGTCCGCGTCCATGCCATGCGGTGAGAAAGGAGCCAGGCTCGTACAACGTCCAGTCGTAAGAACAGGTCGTTTAAACCGACTCGGCAGCGGGCCAGCAGGATCACCTCGCTAATCTGGGAAACTCGAGAAACAAGGCTATGGGCCATGCCGAAGCCCAACTTGAGTAATAATCCTGACCAGAGCTAGACACTCTTGCGTCATCAGGATGGTTCTTCGCGGCAAAAGTAGCTCACTGCCTGGCCAATCCCTAATTGCTGTCTTGATCAGCCTCTTGCGATTGCGGGCACCGTGGGATGTGGGCCATGCACAAGCTAAACAGGAACGACGGTCGATAGCTACAATGATCGATTGTGGCTAACTTGGCTACCGTCGCCAATGCTATCGATGCACCCCTGTCGTCAATCGAGATGAGGTTATCGTGGCCAGTCAATCTAAGGTTCTATCCCAGCAGGGTAGTTGGTGCTGGGATCCCCGCAGGCAAAGGGTCGAGAACAAGGGCGAGGAGCATGAGTGGATCGCAATCTCCGTTGCTCTCATGCGGAGGAACAATCGATACGCCCAAACATGGGCAATTCATGCTGAAGCCTGAGCGGGATGGGGGGAGGATAAGGACTACAGGCCTTGACTCTCGACCCTGTCGCAGCTGAAGCGGGTTGGAACCGGAAGAAGAGTTGGTACTTGGCTCGAGCACGGAACCCTGTAATTAGAGATCTTCTATTGACACAGAGGCTGGCAAGATGAACAGACGGTAGATGGAAGAATGGCTAGACGGTGGTTTGTTATTCAGGTCATTGGACACTGGAAGGGAATTGTAGTTTGCTGGAATTGGAACTGGTCAGATGTGGGACAAGAGAAAAATACAGCCAGCCAATAGATGAGGCCACGGAGAGATGAGTAAGACACGCCTTCCTGGAGATGCAGAATTGATACGGCAACGGCGCAGCATTTGGAGGTCTCAGTCTCACCTGCAAGTCCATCATTCCTGCCAGTGCTAATCAAGCTATTGTCTGGGGAGCAGTGGAAGGAACGCCCGTCTTTGCTGTGCCAGCGCCGTAAGCGGATGGAAAACATGTGATTGGCCACGCCTACACCTCACGCCGCCTGAGGTAAGGCCTTAGGTAATTGAAAGCCACACTTCACCTCCAGCTTCTCGCGGTGAGAGTGTGGGAGTGGGAGAGTCCACCGGCCACGACTGGACCCGGGATTCATGGGGTTTGGGGGACGACACCATACGCCGCGCTGCCCTGTCCGGCTACGGCCCGCGTTGGGAGTGTGGAAGTGTGTGTGTGTGTGGCTTGGCTTCCAAGCTGCACCTTGTCGCTCCAGCTACTCAACTGCTGCATACTAGGTAGTCAGCTGCATTGCCTACTAAGTTACCTTGCCTTGTTGCAGAGGCTTTCATATACTCGCTCAATGCTGTGAGCAATAGAGAAAAGGGCGTCATAGTGCGGCTCATGACTTAAGGTATCGCGCCTATCTTGGCTTCTCCCATATTGATTTTGACAACAAACAGCAAACAATTTGATACTTTTTGAAACTTGTGGGATTTGAGAGGTGCGCTGGCAGCATTACATAAGACACCTTATTCAGGCCAGATACGTATCCGTACCTTAAGGTATTCCTCCCATCTCTGAGTGGGCCGTCTGACCGTCGGGAGCCTAACATGATTGAGGACCGGGAGTGCTTGTGTGCCTCCCATCCATTAATCGTACAGCGTGTCAGCTCTGGAGTACTTCCCCAAGGCCCCCAAAGTGCCCTGAAGCCATTGTGAGGCGTGTAGTAAGCTCAGGCCGAAAAAAAGAATAAGAAAAGAAAAAAGTGGCCAGGGTGTGCCAGCCAGAGCCAAGGCGAACCCGCGCAGGCGACGGGACCAGGGGGCGCAACTGGCAAAGCAGAAAAAAATATTCACAAAATCCCACTTTAGCATTCTCTCCCCTTCCTTTCCTTTTCCTTTCCTCTCCTCCAGCCCACACAACAACACGCACCGTTGCACGCCAATCTTCCCCCCTCAGGGTGCCTCCTCCCATTCCCTTTCTCCCCTCTTCCTCACGTTCTTCCCTATCTTTCTTCCTCGGGTCCCTAAAGCCTCACGGCTCAAGCTCCAACCAGTCGTCGTTGCTGTCGTCTGCCTCTCCGTCCTCGTTGTCACTGCACGTGTGTTTGCATCTCGATTCCGACGCCGCTCTGAATCACGACTGCCCCGTCAGCCATCGACCATCGATTCACACGTCATCCGTCGACCAGCTTCAAAGCCAACATCTGACGCCAGCTCTGTGGTATACTCAAGTATCCATATCCGACGTTAGAACACAAACACAAACACCCTGCCATCAATTGCGAGTTAGCAGATCAACAAAGCTTCCTTTGCTGCAAAGAAAAACAAGACGTCGCCGGAATATCCGCCCCCCCCCGGTCAATCCACGGTTTCCGTCCATCGCAAAGCAATACAAGCAAAGCTCTCGAGCCATCGCCATCTACCCTTGTCCGTCTACCCCGACGACTTCGATCTCGACGACCGCCTCTGATCTCTGAGCCAACTGAAGAAGAACCATCAATTCCACCCAAGAACGTCAATCTTCCGACCCGACACTTTCTGCTCTTGATACACACTGTGACTTTGACTAGTTATGGCGTCCTCACAATTGCAGTTTGCCTACCGCACCCAGAAGGGCATCGGCCTGTTCGATGCTGCGCCGTCTTACCAGCCTCTCTCTGGGTTCGCCAATCCTGAAGGGAACCTCCGGTGTTGTGCATACTCGCCCTGTGGCCGTTACTTTGCCTGGGCGAGCCCCGAAGTTGTTACCGTTGTCGACGCTTCCACCGGCCAGCAGGTTCTTGCCCTCCCCATCCTCAATGTCCTCGAGCTCGGCTTCTCCCCTCTCGGCACCTTCCTCGTCACCTGGGAGCGACCTGCCAAGGACGAGAACGGAGATGCGACCAAGAACCTGAAGGTCTGGCGTACTGTCGAAGATGGCGTTGCCGGAGCCGACAAGCTGCCCTTGGGCAAGTACGTCCAAAAGTCGCAGGGAGGCTGGAACCTTCAGTACACAGCCGACGAGAAGTTCTGTGCCCGTCAAGTCACCAACGAAGTCCAGTTCTACGAAAGTCACGATCTCGGTACCGTCTGGAACAAGCTGAGAGTCGAGGGCGTCGCCGACTTTGCCCTGGCTCCCGGCCGTTCCCACTCCGTTGCTGTCTTCATTCCTGAACGCAAGGTAAGCAATCTCTGCGTTAGTTCCGTGAGCTTCTCAACATGCTTACAACTACTTTTCAGGGACAACCCGCTGCCGTCAAGGTCTACAACGTGCCCCAGTTCAACGCCCCCATTTCCCAAAAGACCTTCTTCAAGGGCGACAAGGTCCAGCTCAAGTGGAACCAATTGGGAACTAGCATTCTCGTTTTGGCCCAGACCGATGTCGACAAGTCCAACAAGAGTTACTACGGCGAGACCACCCTGTACCTGCTTAGTGTCAATGGCTCTTTCGACGCCCGCGTCAGCCTTGACAAGGAGGGCCCTATTCATGATGTGACTTGGTCCCCGAACTCCAAGGAGTTTGGTGTCGTCTATGGTTACATGCCTGCGAAGACTACCATCTTCAACCACCGCGCCGTTGCCCAGCACTCGTTCCCCCTGGGACCTCGCAACACCATCATCTTCTCGCCTACGGGACGATTTGCTCTTGTTGCTGGATTCGGAAATCTGGCTGGCCAGATCGATGTCATTGATCTCGAGAAGGATTTCCGCAAGCTCCACACCATTGAGAGTGGTAACCCCAGCGTCTGCACGTGGAGTCCCGACAGCCGTTATATCATGACGGCTACCACTTCTCCTCGTCTTCGTGTCGACAACGGCATTAAGCTCTGGCACGTCAGCGGTCCCCTCATGTACAACGAGGACAAGGTTGAGCTTTACCACGTTGTCTGGAGGCCCCTGGCTGCTGAGAAGGTTGCGGGCGGAGATCCTCTGAACCCGGTTCCCACCCCCCACGCCTCCGCGGCTACTTACTTGGGCTCCGTAAAGACGCCCAGCAAGCCCGCAGGAGCTTACCGCCCCCCTGGCGCTCGTGGCCTCGCCACCCCGCTTCATTTCAAGCGAGAGGACGAGGGCGGCGCGGCCCACATCAGCATGAACAACGGATCTGCGCCCATTGGACCTAACGGGTTCGGACGCCCCCGCCGTGGTGTGCCTGGTGCAGAGTTTGCGGTCCCTGGTGCTGCTCCTAAGGTTCCCGGAGCCGACCCGAACGACGATGAAAATTTGTCGAAGGCGGCGCTCAAGAACAAGAAGAAGCGCAACAACAGAAAGAAGGACGGAGAAATCAACCCAGAGGGCCAGAACGGCGGTGGTGCCTCGCTTGCCCCGCCTCCCCGTGACTTCGGCGCGGGTTCTGGTCACGAGGGTCGCAGCCCTGAGCGCCGTGGCGGTGCCGGAGGTAACCACAGACACCGCAGCCACTCTCGAAACCCCGGTGCGGGCCAGCATCGTAACAGGAGCAACACCCACCGAGGCCAGAATGGCGCGCCGCAGGTACCTAACGCGCAGCCTCAACAGGCCGCACCGGTGACTGTGACTAGCCCCGGCGCCGATAACTCGCAAAACCCGAACGCGAAGAAGATTCGCAGCTTGCAGAAGAAGGTCCGCGCGATCGAAGATCTCGAGATGAGACTGGCCGGAGGCGAGAAGCTTGAGGATACGCAGATGAAGAAGATCGGCACCAAGTCATCTGTGCTCAAGGAGTTGGATGGTCTCGGTGGCGAGGGTCACTAAAGTCATCATCAACGCTTAACGAGAAAGACCAAGGATGCAAAGAGTTTTGTAGGAGAAGGGGTCGCCTAATGGATACTGGAATACTGTAGGGGCCATAGCCCAGATGATACAGGTCCCATGGATCCCTGGCATTTTGGACGAGTAGAGTCAGGATTACGCGTAGAGGATCAGGAAAATGGAAAATGCAAAAAGTAAAATGCACGGTGCTCACACTTCGTGTTGATTCGTGCGCTCTTTTCAACCATGCGAGATTCATTTATGAATGAGCCCGTGAAGAAAGGGGATACCACATTGAAAGGGCTCCATGCTGAATGCGTGGAAGTCAGGCTGGCAATGAGCATCCGATATCCAACCTTGTGAATGAGAAGTAAGCTTGGTAAGTCTGGGAAACCGGGACATACTAGAACAAAGCTGTCCAGGGGCAAAGCTGTCGAGATCACAGTGGTTTATGGGAGGAGAGTAAGTTCGCAGTCTTTCTCTTGATAAGCTTATCCTGCCCTTATCCCTTCTCCTTCTCTCACTTGTTCGATTCTCAGCTCCGGCATAGGAATTACCTTGAGCGATAGACAATTTGGGTATGCGTATTCATAAGGCGGAAGATGGAGGCGAGCTAAGCTAGCGCTAGACGGGCACGCGGGGTGGTGAGGAACCGGACTGATCGGCACGGCAGCCCGGGCGTTTTGTGGGGGTATATGCTTACTACCTTAAGTCAGGATCGTGGCCTGGGGTCTGTGGTTGACATCGCGAGAGGGAGGAATATCGTCGACCCCTGTTTGCCCGTTCTGAGCAACGAGGTGATGTAGAAATAATTGAAGATGTTAACTCGAGTTAGATTTGCGCTGCAAATCTTGAACTTGGATACCGAATATTTTACCTTCGTGGGTACCTCTCCATTAGTGCATCTCCGTGATACATCTCCAGGAGGGATACAGGAAGGTGAAGGCCAAGGGTACTACTTATACCCATTCAACGTCGAATCTGTCACCAGCACCCCATCCGGCCACTTGGCCGGGTGGTTAGACTCTGACGCAGAGTCGATAGTAAATGAAATACTCCAATGACTTCCGTGCTGGAAATGAGGGGCGCGCTGTTCGAATCCGAATAGGGGCGTGAATTATAAGGTCAGTATTCCCCCTCCCTCGTTCCTTCCTTTTTGGTTTTTGACATGTATTAAGAGCAAGAAGCTGGAGGTTCACTTACGTCCGGACTTGGAATTGATCCGAACATAGTTGTTGCTCGTGAAGCTTCTATCATTTTCAAGAGACTATTTACTACCCGGCGTCTACGGGCATCATAAGGTGCTTAAGCTACCGCCATGATGAGAAGGTCAAGCTTGGGTAAGGAATTTATGAGTAAGGAAGCTCGAGTCCACTCAGGTTACATAAGGTTGCAAGAATTGGATTGACTGGAAGCCTGAATCTTCCGCGGAGCAGAGCAGGTTGGGCATGAAAGAGATGAGCAACTTAGAGGTCGACATGATTCTATCATCAATTGAAAATGCATCATTGTCAATTCACTTGACTCTGTGCCACTTATGATTATACTGACGATTATGCTTCAACAGCATTGACGCTTTGCCCTCACCTCTCCCCCATCAGCAGCAAACCCATCATCACTCTTCCCATCCCGATCCCGCTGCCCCTTCAAAATAGCATTCATCTCATTTTGTCTCCTCAACAGAACAACATCATACCCCCTCAACCTCCTCTCCGAAGCCTTCTCCATCCGAAACTTTTGCATCCTCACCCCCAAAACACTCCGAATCTTGCGCACCGTCTGGTACTCGGCCAGCTCGTTACTCGAAAGACTCGCCTGCCCACCCGAAAGATTCCTCCTCGCCCTCTTAATCCTCAGATAAAACTTGACGAGCGGCAGCACAACCTCCCTATTCTCCACGATCCACGCCACGTTTTCTTTCGTTGCGCCCGTTGTGCCACACACCTCGTCGACACAGGACGCCATATCCTCGTACCGCGCCGCCGTCTTCTTGTTCTCCCTGTCGAGCGGCTTCACGTCCTTGAGCACGTCGAGCTTCATCCAGGGCTGCGGCTGGCAGCCGATCTGTTCGAAACGGTCGTACATTTCAAGCTCGCGCACGTCGGCTTCCCTCTTGGCGATGGCGACGGGGTCGCGTTTGGGGTTGGGCGTTGCTGCGAAGGCGGTATAGACGGCTAGGCTGCGGTTGTGGGAGACTACGTCGGCGAGGGCGCTCGTCTTTTCGAGGAGGGTCTCGACTTCGTCTTCATTTTTGGGTAGTGAGATGATTGTTGTGGGCTGTGGTGGTCTGTCGTTGAAGTTGATGGAAGCTAGTGTTGCTTTGCAGCTGGTGGTGGTGGTGTCTGATCCTGGTTTTGATCTCTTGCGACTCGCTGCCATTGTTGCGGTGATTGACTCTGCCATGTTTGTACAACTTTTGTTTTGCCGCGCGGGTTACTATGTGTGATGCAAGAGAATGTGGGTTTGAGGCTACCTTGGGGGAGAATGTAACCGTAAGGGTAACGCGCGGATCTCATGGGAGAGTGAGAGTGAGATAAGGTGGCTCGGCATCGCACGTGTCCAACCTTCTTCGTCTGATGAATATCACGGGCGGGGGAAGCTAAACGCAAACAAACCCGGGGTCTTAGCACCACCACAGAAATGATCGCTGAAACGTTCCCGAAGGGTGGGACACAATGGGTTGGAAACATTGTTTAAGCGCAGTGACTCGGGTTCTGTAGGGCTTGGCGTCGTTCTTCGGTTTCGCGATGAATCGGTCTTTGCCCGATGGAAATTGTCACTGACCCCCCAGTGGTTGGTATGTGCGCAGTTTGAAGCTGCCTTTGCAAATGTCTTTATGGATTCACCATTCGTTTGCTTTCAGTATCCTTTTCTCTTTCGTGAATAACGGGTTGATGTCGCTTTCAAAGCTATGAACTTCATGCACTTTCTGGAAGCAACTTCTACTCTATCTCTTTATTAAGGTATCGGACTCTATCAGCTATGGCTGTTCCGACGAGGCGAAGCCCTTGGCCCAATTACCAAACTTTCCCACCAATGTGTTGTATCAAGAATCTCAAGTCTCCTCTACTCAGACTTAGGGACTTCTATCCATTCTCTTCGTCTTGGCCATCTTGCTCATTCTCTTCATCCGCTTCCCCATCTGTCTCAGTTGGCGATCCGCTAGCTCCCGCTCCTCGCCAGTAAACTGATCACGGGATCTATCGACGGACTCAAAAAGGTCCTCGAGGGCGGCAACACAGTTGTGTTGCTCCTTGGGCACTTCGACTGGCTCGGTAGTCGCAACCGTCCGAATCGGCGAGAGACCGAGTGGCGACGGACGCTCCATCGAAGGCTTGGGTGATTCCTTGCGTTTAAAGATACGACGCCCTCGACGTCTTTCCATGGAAAGGGGTTTCTGATCGTCCATGTCGCTGTCGGAGTCAATCAGGATCGTGGGTGAAGATCCGTCGCTTTGAGGAGGTGTGATGAGGGCATCAGCGGGCCATACTCTAGCAAGACCTACAGTTTTCGCCAGGGGTCGTCGGCGTCGCACAACGATATCGTCGTCGGAGCTCTCGAAGTCATAGACGAACTTGTCGACGCACTGATGGGTCTTCGCTCTTTTCGGTGTGCTGACTGGGCTCAACGGACTGGCCGCCTTTCTCTTCTTGCCTAGAGCGGGTCGTTCTGCAACGAAAATGACGTCTTCAGTGTCCTCTTCCATACCGTGCTGGTCGTTCATTCCGCACTGCTGTAAGGAGCGGGAAAGACTTCGAACATCGCTGTTCTCTTCGACAGAGTCTTCCTCTGTCTCCTCCTCTCTCACTTGAACGAATGTGTTCCCACACTCTTCGTCGTCGATATCGTCAAATGGTAAGAGTCGGGCAGCATCTTTGCGCCAGGTTCTGAGGATGTCGCTAGCCTTGAATCTGTTATGCTTCCAATAATTGCTCTCAAGCAAAGGATACATCTGAGGAAGAAGTATAGAAGTGGCTATATTGGCGTTTTCTCCACTCCACCAAAAGGAACGCGCCGTCGGCATCAAGTGAGCCGTGTAGCATTCGGATATGAGGCGTTGATCGTTGTCGTTCAGCAGTTGAGTAGCGAGCTGGGGACACTGAGAGTTCCAGTTATCGATTGCATTGGTCAATGCCAAGAAGGCAAGCTGCTGATGCAGAGACGTGCGGTTGCCTCTTCCGACGTTGATGTCATCCATCCTTTAGGCGTGCCGCATGTTAGTGTGGCTAAAACTTGGGGTTGGGGGCTGATGGATCCAAGTACCTGAATGTGATTCGCAGAAGCCGCTCAATACATGTCTGGATGAAGCCGAAGGGGAGTTGCAATGACCAAGAAGCTAAAGACATAGTTGACGGTCAAGTTAGGTATGAGCGACTCTCAAAACAATACACCATGGGATTTTCTTACCTCAAACGAAGGGTAAAGCCATCGGTGACCTTAAGTTAAAGTAAAGATTGACAGCTGGAAACCCCTTGAGTGATGCTAGACAGGGCTCATAGAATGAAGTTAAAGTGAGGGTCGTGGGAGAATATAGCAGGCATAAAGAGCGAGGGCCATCGAGGTAAGTGGGCGAGTTCAAGGAACGAGGGGGGATTTTCGACGCTCTTTTCTTTCTGAAGTAGAAAAGCAAAAATTTAAATTTACCGTTCTATTTTTTCTGTTTTCTGTACTTCACTTTTTTCTGGGAAGGAACGACAATTCCTGTGGGGCTCCTGCCTTCCTTAAACCTGAGATGCCTTGGGGTCTTGACAACGTGGAAACGTACCTTGCTCTAAGTTCATGACCAAGTTTACCGGCCCTCGGTAAGCAAAATCTGTCATGATTTTAGGGGAATTAGGAGGCGGTAGTTTCCATAAAGAGACCCAAAGGTAGAGGCTTTGGAAAGCACTCATTTTTATATGACACGCTTCCCAATCACACCCTGTACCATACTTCATTAAAGCAGAGGGAAAAGCGTTCCAGGTGTTGTCTTCATGGAGTTGCTTAGTAGAAATTGACCATTGTATTCTGGGATGACCTTTGTTTCTAATCTGAACTTGAAGGGCAGTTGCCTTGTCTTTAGTTACATCCCATTGGCTATTTACATTTCTCATGCCTCCTACAACACCCCCTGTTGCTTTGACTTCATGATATCCTATACGTGCAGTTTCGGGATGACTACAGCGATGGTCGCATCTGGGCAATTCAGCAGCACTAGCAAGTTGCAAGGCCAGCATCACAGCCAGCTCTGGGCACATCGCCGTACGTGACAGCGGCGCCACCGAGGCGTTGGCCCACAAAATCATTATGGTGCCGCCAGTTGAAGGCAAGTTAACAGTGGCTGAGAATAAGCAGGTGTAGAATGACAACTCGCACTACCCTTACATGGAGAAACCCGGTCTCGTATCCATCCCCAATCCCACGAGATTCGGCACCGTGTAAAGAACAGCAGAGCCGGGCGAGGTTGTCAAAGTTTGAAAGAAGCACAAGATCATCTTATACCTAGACGGTGCAATTTTCGGCGCATCACTGCCTACGAAGGTGAGTGATGTTACACTCGAGAGAATTGGCTGCCTGATAGACAGTTTTAGATAGACGCAGTGGATTAAAGTAAGTAAATAACGCATCAACGAAGGTCTGCAAAGACTCAACAAGCCGTTCTCTCCTATCAAAACTAGCGTTTATCTTGTGCTTGAAAACACTAAAAGTGCCCCCAGCTTCTGCTAACTACATGAAGTGCTAGTCCCAAGAACCGGTGCCGCCAGTGACCCCAGTCGACCATCCCACGTTACCGGCCTGGAACGACATCTTCAGTGAACCATTCCGGAAGAATTGAACCGAGTACCATGGCTGCAATACCCCATCTGTCAGTTTATTACGTTCTACGCCCCGACGAAGCGGGGATTCAGCCAGAGCTGTATGATGTATATGAAAACTCACTCCGATAGAGCCAGCTTGAACGGTATAATCACCACCGACGTCATTGATATCATCGTAGTAGAGGTCTCCACTGGGAAAGGGTTCGCCGCACAGTCAGTGAATCATGCTTTGCGGCAGGTATCATGTCTGGTGATTTCCAACTCACAAAAGAGCACCGCCCGGAAAGCCCGGCGAGAACCCGCCAAGGTTTGCGGTAAACTGTCTGTCCTTTCCGTTGACGTTAACGTTGACGGTTACGCGCTGATAGAACCAGACGTTAATCAGAGAGCCTGTAGCGCTCATCTTGGATTTGAATGCGCCAGCATCGTTAGTGGCCATCGCGGTAACAGGCGTGCTGACGCTTTGAGCCAGAAGCTGAAGCTTTTCCTCTCCTCCCGGCTGGGTGAGAATGTGGTCGTGTAGTTCCTGAATATCGGACTCCAGGATTGCCTGCTGTTGGGTTTTGGCGACGACATCCTGCAAAAGACTGAGAGTCTCGGTTTGAGCCATGTTGGGATGAAATAGACAAGACTGATGATGGAGAAAAGTCAGGTGCGTTTGAACTATTTAAGATCTGCTGTGGAGAGTTGTATTTCATAGACAAATAGTATCTACTCATGGGGAAACTCTTCGTCTAGTTATACTTCTCCCACGTTCACTTCTTACATCTACTTTACGAACAAGAAGTCAATAGAATCACGCAAACATGCAGCCAGAGGTTGTGGCTGGCTGTAGTGAACTCATCTAGAGTGGGATGAGGTACTCGAAAGTCGAATCATATCATCAGAATATGATGTGTGGAAGAAACGTGTGTGATGAAGTTGCGGCTGGACTGCCTTAGTCTCAAGAGAGTTTCCACTACGACCCTGTCATGAGTTGAGACTAAAAACACAGCATATGTTCAAGTGTGACAGCGGGGAAGAAGTAGCATGGGGGAACATTCAGCTGTGAATCGGGGTTCCCTATTGGTCAAAACCAGAGCAGCCACCGTCTGGATCACCCGTATGTCCATCCACGCGGTGAATCACGCCTGGGGCCGGCTGTGATGAGTTCAAAAATATACGCTTGCGGATTCAAAAACAGACGCTTGCAGGAAAACCTGTACGTACCGGAACAAAACTGTGTGTCTCCCCAGCATTTCGGGAGGAATAAAGTAAAGGCTGAGCGAAGACATCGTATCTGAGTAATCTTGTCAACGAATCTGTGCATCTTGCAAAACGTGACCATTTCTCGTAAGAAATCGCAGAGCTATCGTAAATCATTAATCATGGTTTGTCAGTATGTATAATTTCATTCACAGCAGTTTTACTAAATCCGGTGAAAGAAGCTGTTTTGATATCTTCCATTCGTCTTCATACAAACAGAACAAAGAGAAAACACAAGGAACCTCTTAATGCCATAGGACTTGTAAACTTATAGGGGGAACTTGGAAATCTATAGAAGTGAGTCTAGACCACCGCTGATAACAGCTCGACTTTCATGCCGAGGCACTGTCAGGCCTGTTAGGCCTTGACTTCACTGCAACTTTATCATCTCATGTAATGCCATCAAACGCTCATGGTCCTGAATCACGTTGCATTTCCGAATCTAATGCCTCATCAGGTTGGCCAATGAACCGAGCCATTTTCGGGGGTTACTCGAACTTGTAATTAGCTGAATGTATGAGGAAGAGTCCTACGACAGTGGCTCTGAGATGAGTGGACGACATCAAGGCAAGGGGATACTGAAGATTGAACAGTCCCCTGTTTTGAAATTTGCGAACCTCATTCAGAACTCATGGCGCGGTTGACTCTCATAGGCCCATAATGATTGATATTTCCGGATAAGCCATCCGATCGAACGCAAAATTTTCGATGAATCGGTCGCAATGCAGACGATCCCATCCCAAACGGTAGCTGACAATGTCATATCGGGCAGACGAAACCTCTACTCCGTGCCGATTTTGCCTCCTCGGTATCCCGCTTCTCCTGTAAAATCATTGATTTACTTAACTGGAAAAGGCTAAAGAGTTAAGAGGCTCCATCTTGGTTCCTTGAATATGGAGCTTTGATATTACGTGAAACTTGGCTAGAAAACAATGCTCATCGACTTCCCGAACTGAGTAAGACGTGGTAGGTGACTTCTGTACCTTGTTTACTGACAAGCTTTCGTTCTCCTAATTGAAGATCATGGAACCTTGTAATGATCGGCCACTGTTGTCAGAAGTTAGGCAAGTGGAGCTGTCATCCCACAAGTATCAAGAAAAGGCGGATGCGATTGGACGGGTAGTTCGGATGATGGCAACTAAGTCGTGGATAGCGATTAATCAACTGAAATCCTTGGTTCGAAACTAGATCTTTGTGCCTCAGAGCTCGGAGGCCTCTACAAATCAAAGGAAACCAGACTGAATGAAGGAAAATACGCTATGTAAACTCTTCGAGCTTAAACTTGAACGCAATTCGAGTGTCATGTGTGTAAAGCAGGCTTGCAAAATTATCATGGCCATACGGACGCGGATTTTGGGTAAAAATATCCCAATTAAGATTGGAACGACAGCTCAGCCATTGAAGTAGCCAAGTTTCATTGCATCCATTCTTGAAGCCTACTTCACTAAACTGTCATTGATTATTTCAAATTCGTGATAGCATCTTCGTTTCATACAACGTCGGAACTGGGAGTTTAGTATCCATAAGGACCCATTGTGTGGCAAATTCCGTTGGCACACTTGAGTAAGGTGACCGAGGGGGCAATACGACCGATCAATCCATGTCACACACCTCTTTTTGAGTCCAGACTTCAGGGTGACAGGACTCAAAGACGTTTTGTGCGGAGAAAAACAGGTCAGGAGGCGACCATGCCAGCTGGCAGTCATTAGAGTGGTAGGCAACCCTGACTAGCTGAAACGGCCTAAGTAGGAGTAAGCAATGCGTGGTTCGTCCTGTCATTGGCCTTTCACGTTCATCTTGTCACTGTCTGCGTCCGAGTCCAACACGCCAGCCGCACTAAATGGTCTAAACAAGTAATTCCAACGACCGCGCCGTATACATATATTCGCAAACGGCGCCTGTTTAGGTTTCTGGCAGGTTCAGAGCTGCATACGATATAACGAATGACAGGCCTGACTCTGCATGACGGACCGCATCTTCGGGAGAAACATGGCGGATCCTCGCGGGACTCGCCGCAGTGCCAATGTGTTTGATCCCAAGACATTGGTACCTTCCCCGACTTATGGTAACATGCCTAGGTAATCTTTGATCATCCTGATCTGTTCGAGACCTCAGTAGAATGAACTCCGCACCTTGTCATCCTTCCATACCAACAATACCGCCGAGGAGTCTCTCTTCGAGAGCCGAGGAATCCTGGGAGCCGAGGAACAACAAGAAATGAGGAGAACATCTCGTTGAATATTCCTCTTTAGGCGTAGATGCTATGAGGCTGTGGATATCATCGCCTTCTATAAGAACTCAGAAAGCTCACCACAAAGCCACGATAGCTCATCACCCACTCAGGCACCTCAGCAGCTAACCGCAACCGCTTCCATTCTCTTCAGTTCTTTGCCATCTTGTCCGCGACAAGTCACTTCACGTTCATTCTCTTTACAAGTCCAAGCACTTTCAAACGCAACTACCTCACCATGAAGTTTCTCAGCACTCTCGTTCTGGCCTCCACCGCCTTTGCCTACCCTACGATCCCGCAGGAAGAGACCAAGCGACAGTTGGGCGGCACCGTCGGCAGCACGGCCAACGAGTTCAAGACCGGCGGATGCAACGACATCATCTTCGTTTGGGCCCGCGGCTCCACGGAGATCGGCAACATGGTGGGTTTGCCCGAATTCCTTCACCCCAACTGTCGAATATCGGTGACTTTGATGCTAAAACTTTCTTTTCTTTGAACAGGGCACCGTTGTGGGACCCCCTGTTGCCAACGACCTGAAGGCCGCATTCCCGGGTAAGGTTGCCGTCCAGGGTGTTGACTACGCCGCTGGTCTGGACACCAACTTCCTCCCCGGTGGTGCCGACCCCGTTGGCATCAACCAGATGAAGAGCATTCTCAGCGATATCAACAGCAAGTGCCCTACCGCCATCGTCGTCACTGGAGGTTACTCGTAAGTCTCACAGCTTCGTTGCTTATTTTCTTGGTCGGCTCGAGATGCTGACCGCTTCGAAAACAGCCAAGGTGCGGCCGTCAACCACCGCGCCATCGAGAACGCCCCCGATGCGCAGAAGACCCAGATCGCTGGAGTGGTGACCTTCGGAGACACCCAGTTCCGCGCCGACAACGGCCAGATTCCTAACTTCCCCAAGGACAAGATCAAGATCATCTGTGCTGCCAACCCGCGCGACACTGTCTGCGACGGAAACTTGAGCGCCGCCGTCCTGGCACCTCACCTGTCGTACGGCGCCAACGCCCAGGAGGGAGCCGACTTCCTCATTGCGCAGATCAAGAAGGTCCAGGCCTAAGGCTGTCTTGTCTTGTACTATCTGCCATGCTGAGGCCCAAAGGGGACATTGCTCCCTCATTGAGAACGGTGTCCCGCGATCAGATCTACTGAGTGGGCTGATGGGAGTGGTTCCGCACATATCATGAAAAAAATGGCTGGGTCCCCTTTTTGTTTTGCTTGCGACATGAGGCTTCCGGAGGCTTCTGTTCTTTTGTTTCTATCCTGTCTGGCTTTGGCCAAGACACGCGGTTGTTAGTCCTGCTTGAGTGCTGCATCTTTTCTTTCCAAAATACACTACCGTTACCCGCCAATCTTAATTTTCAAGACCAGTGACCTGATGAACATGAATTTTCTGCCCACATGAGGCCAGAGTAAGACATGTACCATAAGAACGGGACCTCATTGCGGCGGTGCCGACAGACAAGACCACGCCACGTGAAGGTCACATCCGTGCTTGTCGCTTTGGCCTCGTCCAATGGAGTATCTTTACCCTAAGGGCGCACAGAGGCTCGGGCCGCACTATCAGTTCAGATGGATAATTTATGTGAACATGTCAATGGGTCGCTGCGTTTCTTTTTGCGCGCAAGCTGTTTCACACTGAGCTTTCGTCTGCCGAATTTCCGTTCCGTATCATGAACAATGACATTGGTTTGCTCCGTCACTTGGGGTGGATTCAGCAATCCATTGAGTTTAACAGCTGTCAACCGTCCGATTTGAGTTCCACAACGAGAAAATGCGAGCAGCAGCAACCTGCAGCACCGTTCCAAGCCGTTGAATGTCAACATATCCTGCGGGGAGCCAGCTTGCTTCTGTGCCCCCACCGCGATGTTTTCGGGGAATTATCTGTGGGGGCTGAAAAGGGGCCAAGACTGAATGGAAACCCGTGTGTCTAAGTCAACCAGTTGCAGTGAGCTGTCTGATATAGATGAGAAGCCATGTTCTTACCATTTTGAGTAACTCCCGCGAAGGATTCTATTGCTGCGAGTCCCGCTGTTCCACAACCCCGCCTGGGGTGCATGCAGACTGCGTCACATTGGTGTGTATCCACCATTGGCCAGAATCGGCCATCTTACGAGATGCGATTGGAGGACGACCATGGAGAAGCCAGATCCCTGTCAAGTTGAGAACATCGCGATCCCTTCGTAGTCAGAGTGCCGAGGCAGACGAAGCCATCACTCAGGGGGCTTGGCCAATGTCCATTTCTTGACGTCGACCGGAAACAGACTTGCGATTTCTCCTCAAATATTTTTGATGAGCACACCATCACACGGTAGTAAGCCGAGAGTGACAACTTCGTTTGCGTGAAGTGACGGTGCATCTCGTCCTGTAAAATCTCCTCTTGCGGAAGCAGTTGCGATGAAGCCTCAAACTTGATGGACTCAATCAACTCAGACAACTTCAATAATGTAGCAGCCGAGGCCCCGAGGCTCATCATCTTGGTGTATCGAGCTGGCATCACACTCTGTGCTGGAAGTATTGCAGATAAATAGCTTAGACGTATTCCTCCCGCAGAGTGAGGCTATTCCCACAAGATTGAGAAATCATTTGGCAGACCTCGATCTCAATCAAAACGGCAACATACCAATCACCATGTTTCTCACCAAGCTTGTCGCTCTTTCTGTTCTGTCTTTGTCCGTTGTAAACGGCCAGGGCACCGACGATTGCCCTGAGATCCCAGAAACTGGAGTTACTATTGGCGATCCTGTCCCCATCCGACCGGAAGATATCCCAGCTGGCTGTTCTGACTTTGAGATCCTTGTTGGTTCGTTATTTACAAACCTGATCCGCTAGTTCTCCAAAGCTGACTCGAGGACGTACAGCTCGAGGAACGAGTGAGCCTAACTTTGTCGGCGGCGGCGGCAAGTTCGGCATCATTGTCGGCGACCCGGTCGTTAGTAACGCCACAGTTGCTCTGCCTGGTTCCAGAGGATATCCAGTTCAAGCAAGTACTGGTTCTCTCATGTTTTTACCAAGCTTATGTTAACTCAAAAATGCCTGCAGTATCCTGCCAGCTCGCAAATCATCACGGGCGTCCGTCAAGGTTCCAGAGACGTGGTCAACCGTCTCAAGTCTCAGGCTGCTGCCTGTCCCAATCAGAACTTCTCTCTCGTCGGGTACTCCCAGGGCGCAGCTGTGATGCATGCTGCCGCAGCTGACATCCCGGCTAAGCTCTATGGCCGCATCAAATCTCTCGTGATGTTTGGGGATGGTTACTTGAAGCTCGGAGCCAGTCAAAGCAAATTCCCTGCCGGTTTGAACGAGAAAGTGAGGCAGGTTTGCGCAGCCGGCGATCCAGTAAGAATGACACCGACTTCCAACTGATCTCAAATGACACCGGCTGACTTTTCCGTGCCCTGATTTTCAGGTCTGCGATGCCAATGGCACCTGCACATTCTTCCACCTCACTTATATTCGCCCTGAGTTCATTGATCCTGCCGTCGACTTCATTGTCCAGAAGTTCAGTCAGTAACTCATCAACGGGCAATCTTCGAAGGGCTACATAGTTGCAAACCGTGGCAATCTGTGGGTCGTCAAAACAAAAGCACAAGAGCTTTGGGTGTGACCGCTTTCCATGGCCTGTTTTATCTAGCTTAACATCGAACATGACAAACTTGCGTCCACGCAAGCCACCCCCATTCAAGCTTTAAACCATCCCTCGGATAGCTCTTCCTCCATATCATGATAGACCTTGAACTCGCAGTAACAAATCTCAGGATCATTCTCAACGTCAAAGTTGAAGTTCGCCTCATCATCACTGATGAGCACCTTCCGGAGGCCACTACCTTCATGTGATGCCGCCTCTACCAGCAGTGGGACCAGGCAATATTGCCGATTTGGCTGCCAGTATCGATCTCGTTGACGACAGATCCGCGGACTGTGTTGTGGAAGATAATGCGTCGATCGGCCTTACCACCACCTGAACCTGATATGTTCGTTCCATAGATGTGAAAAGGCACGCAGCCTCGTCGACAGTATTCCCAACGGTCAGGATACCATGGTTTCCGAGAATGCACCCCTTGCCATTTGGACCAAGTGCGCGAGCAATACGGTCACCTTCTTCGCTACCCAAGACGACACCTCCGCAGCTGTCATACACAGTATATGCGTCTCCTCGAAACATACATGCATCTTGCGTCAACATGTCTAGCCCTCTGCCGAGGACTTACCACGGCTTGCCAAGCACACTATGGCAGTGTCAAGCAGCATGGGCATCCGGTCTAGCTTTATGAACCGAGGCGTGAATGAGAAACCGGCAGTAGCCGGAGGAGCAGATCGATTGCCACCAATATGACAGAACCATCTAAGTTGACAAAAATCATGTCGTCAACTTTGAAGAGGCCGAAATGCCGGCCTAGGGGGTTGGTCCAAAACGCATTCGGAAACTCTGGATCACGGACCGAAATATGACCGCTCATCCCCTCGACATAGCCTTCACGATGCCAGTGACGGAAAGCAGCAGCCATATGATCGAGTTGCCACTGACAATGTGATCGGAAGTCCAAATGCTTTGGAATGCCGCCAAGAACAACGCCACCATGGGACAAAGCTTGAAGCGGTGTTTTGTTCTGCAACTCGTGGCCGTGTTTATTTCGGGAAGTCTCCGAGTCGCTGTTACTGACGGTGTCAGAAGCGTCAACTGAAGCCATGCTGAAGAAAGATAGAATTTGTTCTTTGGCTGTGTTTGGTGCACGGTCAATGCTGTTGATCGTGGTGAGAAAATCAATCTTCCTTTGTAACACTATTTCCCGGGATTTGGGGTTTGGTAAACCTAGTGCAAATCCGTCCCTGCTCTGATAATAATCTTGCACAACGCTTCAGAGCACCTACTTACTTTATCATGCACATTTTATCAAGGAAAGATTCTGTATTGCAGGTAGAGACAAGTCGAATTAATTTTAGATGAATGGTGAACCGATCGTGCTTTTCCGGGATGGCCTTCTCGATCCAACGGTCTGACTCCTTATATATGTGCACCTCAACAAGAAGGAACAGAACACATCGTCTCTGCATCGTTAATGTCCACAGAAGAGCTTGCATGTAGCAAAAGATCCTTCATTTCGAGATCGATCCATGTCAAAAGGGACAAGGACGACGCGATTGTGTAACATGCTGCATTCGAACTACTTGCGGATGACAAGTGCCACCCTATCTCCCCTCAGGGATCTCCTGTTCCGGGAGTACTCTGTTACAAAATTCGAACCAGTGGCTTCAAATGATCGACTACTTTCTTATCATTGAGTGCCAAATGCGGCAGGTAAGCCCCAGGTTTTGTTGCTCGTCAGTGCGGGGTTGTGAATGGTCGATGTGATTGATACATTGGGCGATGGACCCATGTAATCCCGTAGAAACATGCCTATATCGTCACGGCCCATCGGTACTTCCAGAGATCATCTGGATGAAGAGTCCTGCGTGATTAAAAGCCACCTCTTCCTGAGATCTTATACGATTTGACTTACTCTTCTGTCAAAGTGTTCGCCGGAAAAGACGAATAGACAAAAGCCCGACTGCTCTCTTAGTCTTCCCTGTCTTTCCTGTCTCCACAATGCCGAAGTCAATTAGGTGTCGAGTTGAGCATACAGGAACGTTTACGGGTTGTCGAACTTGCCGGAGTCGTCATGCCAAGTGCGATGAGGGTAGACCGCAGTGTGCAGCTTGCCGTCGAAGTGGGATCAGCTGCGCTGGATACACCGCTCGTCTAACCTGGATCGAAGATTGCTATGCCTCTGTAGAAGCAAACCGGCACGGTCCTGAAGTACCTGAGTATCGGTACACCTTATTTTCAGGTCGAATTCATCCTCTGGTAATTCCTGCACATGCTGACGCGGAAGGCTGTGTCTCCAGACTCCGAACGTGAGACCATGATAAGCTAGCTCATAGATAGCGTGGCAATTATTATTCCTTCCGTGTGCCTTCGAGACGTTTGCGGAGTTGTCAGTGCTGAATGAAGCATCTCAAAGTTGGCTGGCGATCCTGTACGCATTACTTGCTCATAGCGCCTTCCAACTCAACAAAACGGATTGAACCCCGCGTTCCCCGAATTACTGGCAACATCTGGGCAACGAACACCAAGAACGAGCTCGAATGCATTTGAAGAATGCTGTGAAGATAGAGATCCACGATTCTGGGCAAGGCGTATGCCAAGACCTATTGATGGTCTTGATTGCAATGACCATGGGATCTGTTAGTATTTTGTGTTGCACTTCTAGTCTTTCGAAGCTGACGGACTTCAGTTATGTCATGGAAGCCGTGATTCACGCGTCTTTCCACTGGATGCTGAACGTTTGATACGAGTGAAAGGGCTTTCTGGCCACAACTCTGAAATAGTCAGAGTTCCTCATCACACTTATACCTATATTAGGGTCATTGCAGAGGCTACTTACCCCCTCTGGGATTTTGAAAGCGAGCCTGATCGCGCAAGCTTACTGGTATTCGAAGCAATTGCAACCAATAGTTTTCATATCCGCGCAATCCCTCAACACAGGGCTAGATCCCAACGAAGAAAAAAGTGAGATGATTGGGCATACAGACATACACCTTGAGTCGCAAGGTCTTTGGCGGGAGACTTAACATTCGAATGCACACGGCATCCCTGAGTCTCTCATGACGCTGCTTGCTCAGACGATTCAACTAAGCAATGAGAAAGATCACCTCGAAGCTCGCGCACGCAGCAATCCAAAGCTTGCTCGTGACCTCAAAACGCACGTCAAGACCTTGGAGGGAATAATATGGACCTGGTCGATTGAACCCGAAATAGCAGTACTATCTGTGGCCGACAAATCCCAGCCCATTAACGAATGGAACTTAATCACCCAACCTTCTACACAGCCAATGGTACAAACGATGCATCGAGCGTTGATCATCTATTTCTATCGCCAGATACATGATGTCAACGCCATGCTACTTCGAAATGTCATCCATCAAGCTTTGGGGCACTTGGAGTCCTGCATTGATACAATGGTTAGAGGCAATGACTTTGCGCTTGGCATAGCGTGGATGGTCTATGTTTGCGCTAGGGAATCCATTTCTCCGGAATTTCACGAGAGGGCACTGAAGTGTATCAGTATGACTGATGCCCGAGGACTGCACCTTACTTCAAGGCCTACTGCTGAGGCGGTTTCATTGTTATGGGAAAAAAGTCAGCCACTGAAGTCGTCGATTGATGATGGTGTTCTCCTAAAAGAAACATTATGCCCTGGCTAATCGGCTTCAAATGGCAATTTGGTGAGTCATTCCAGCTTTTGAACAGTATGCTCAAAGGAGCAATGTGATAATTGATAGCCAATTGAGATCCATGACTTCCAAGATCATGTTTCTAATTATCGCCTTGAAAGAAAACCAAAGACAGAGAGGTACGACTAGTCACAGCGTGACTCCTGCGGTCTTGAGAAAAGCAGCCAATTCGGATTGAGGCCCCTCCTTGAGAGGAGCAAATGGCCTCCTGACCCCTCCAGTCTTCCATCCTCGAAGCTGGTCATTGTAACTGTGATGTCGGATGGCCTTGCAAGTTTCGGATGATTGGATACAGCCTTACAAGGAGTAATATGATGAAGATATTTGCTTGATACTGAGTTACTGAATCAGTGTCTTCGTTTCGGACTAAGTCAATGGAAGAACAGAGGCCTTTTTATCTCTTCTGATGAAAGTCATCAAGCCATGTTTCGGACCCAAAGTTTTAGATATTCTCTTCGTCGCTCACGCGCACTTGCTTTACTTTCGGTATCATCTATCATCGTTCATGTGCCTTCGGCACAAATCGAGTTAATCAAACGAGATAATTCTCAAAGAGTAGCTCGAAACAGATTGGATTGCAGATCCACGTGTATTGCTCTCCAGATCTGTCTCCTCATTGACCCGCTGAGGAAACATATAGTAATGGTCGTTGACTAGAAAGCTTACTTCTACGGTGGTTTCTCCTGGAAACGGCCTCGTGCCAAAACCGCATGCAAAGCGGGCAAGTTTCCACGCCTGTACTCAGGAAGAGCTGTGCATCTTGGCTTGAACATCGGCAACCCTATTGTCTCCTTCCATCTTTAGCAGCTTTGCAGCTTTTAGTCAAGATAAACGATTTGAAACCCCAGTTTTTATCAAAAGTGTGCCCCTCACATAGGCCACAATGACCTGACTACCTTGGATGAATAAGTGCACGTGTATCAACTTAGCGTCTCAGCCGGGTTTTGCCGTTCGAGATATGACCTCAGCGGCAAAGTCGAGGGAAGTTCAACCGCCACAAAACATATTCGAGAGGTTTTTCATTCTGGACATGATGGGTTTGATAGTTGCACTAATTACCATAAGTTTGATCATCTCTGTTAGTTGGGTGGTGTTCATTAGTTGCAAGAAGCTCTAGCTGCTTAGGTGATGACTAATTTCGACGTTGTCTTTGCTCCAAAATTCAGTGTAAGGCTCCTGGTCTGGTTGGTAAGCAGGCCCACTCCAGACTTCAGAGAATGATGCTGCCAATGTACTCCGTACGGGACCCACGCTAAGCAAGGTGTCAATTTTCGCCTTCGAGTTTCGAGTTTGGCACATTGATAGACGCGCATAGATGCCGCTGAGTGCGCGGAATGTGAAATGTGCTGAGCCCTTCCGACTCTAAAGCAACCGTTAGTTAACAGAATCTCACATGTGCGACATGCGTTGGATGTATCACGATTTCAGACCCTCTCAACACGATACAACGCATCAAATGACTTGAGTGGTATTCTCATGGTTCTTCCATGGGATAAACTGTGGTTTCTGGAACAGCTACTACTATGACCGAGTGGGTCAATTTACAGTTCCCTACAACATGCCGGACGTGTTTGCCTTAAATCGTGGGTCGTAGTGGGTTAGACTGAGGGTGGCTGTCTACGTCGACATCAAGCACGGCAAATACATGACGGAGGTGTTAAGAGAGCTAAATGAGAGCCCAACGAGGCGAACACAAGATTTGGAGTCAATGAACCTGAGATAGTGAGACAAGCAACATAAAACTTCAACAGAATGCGCAAATATGACTTGCCACGTTGACCACGAAGCCAACGAGTAATATTGCTGGCTATATGTGGAAAGCAAGCGCTGAGCCTCTTAGACTCCAAGGTTTTGATAGGGAAGCTTTCTGCTGAGAACTCTTATGAACGGCATGGTACTCCCGTAAAAGTCTGAGTGCATTTTGATTGATCAGAAACTCATCCGAGGAGCCGAAATTTGGCATGGCTTTTACCATACCGTAGATAATATAGTTCAAGTTAACTCGAGAACTCGTGCCACGTGATTCATGGTCTATGGAATGGATCAGAGACATGATCTACAGGTTCGGAACCCACGAGTATCCATACCCCAGTTCGATCGGGCTTGGGGACCCTGAGCTGAAAGTGAGTCAAAGCAGAGTGCAGGCTGCAGAAGACTACCTTATACGAAAACACACATGCCATTCACACGATCTTTCGTAGAAAAGCCAATGAAATATCTGAGGCATTCATGGCTGTGTTAGGAATACCATTGAACCAGGATAATTCACATTAAGCAGGGGTCCTAGCCTCTTCTTCAGCCCCTCCTCGTTTAAGTGACCCATTGTGTTTATGTTGGCTCCACTCGGAATAGCCGTTCTTCTGCGAGAAGCGATTTTAGGCATGTTCAGGCAGAAGGAGACAGCTCATTCACTGCCGAAAAGAGGACATACTGGCCCAGCCGCAGGAGTAACAACCTCAGATGAGCCTAGTACGTGAAGTTTTCGTTCCATCTTTTTCACGCAAAACTATCCTTTCATCCAGAAAACGATCCAGGCTCTCGGAGAGGCAGGGTCTCAGGAATCAAAAGTCGGCTACGTTCACCGCAGGATCGGAGAATTCTTTTTTCTGAGGCATGCCAGGGGTCCCAACATGGTTAATGGGGTTAAGGCAGGGGTTTTTTCAGCTAGTGGGGAATACGTTTCCCATCTCGAAATCGTTCGGAGCTGGTCACACTAGTTTGCAAACTAGTGAACATACCATGGAAACCATCAGCAGACCATAGTGAACAGTCCGTCGGAGTAAGCTAGCTGATTTTGCCATTCGAGCGGGTGGCAGCGCACCGTTCGGGCCTAGGTGTTGGCTCCCGTACGGCTTCACCCGCAGTAGCGGCCAAACTATAGCTTGAAATGGCCGTTCTGGACTGTTATATCCTGGTTGACAACGTCGCAATGCAGCAAGCACTCCGAACATAGGGTCGGAAAAACGCATGGCCTGACAAGGTATGAATTGAGCTTACTTGAAATTAGCCGTAGGATTTTGTCTCACTTCGGAGTCGCTTAGAGGTGGGTGTCCCGAAGTAGAAATAAGCATCTCTTGAAAGGGAATGCAGGGAGATGGGAATGATTGCCGAACTATGCCATTCAGCTTTCGGACCCAAGCCCACGGTACCGTCCAAGCATGGTGGATCATGGAGCATTCTGGGCATGAATCTCGTGGAGAGAACACTCCGCTTCGGTCTCATCCGAAGCCTAAAGTAAAATTTAGCGAAGCATTGGGGCTTGCTGAACTATACGGAGTTCAGCTGCGATGATTCTAGCCCAGTCTGAACAAAGTTGCGGTCTAGATGGAATCAAGCATTTGAAGTATGAAGGCACTTACAGAGCTGTTGTGTATAAGAACCACTGGTCGGACTCGGAAGGAATATGTTTCTTGCTCACTCATCACCTCAACTCAAGCAGCTTTGGCTTTACCTATCACTCTACACATCTTCCAGTCATCTAATTCTTTAAAACAAATCAGACAAACCTCACTCCAGGTTCTTACCTAACGCCACGATGAAGTCCTCCATTATCACTGCCCTCGTCGGCGGCATCATCGCACAACGTGCTGCCGCCACCCCTGCGGACGAACTCTTCGCACGTCAAGCCGGTTGCAACCGTGACAACTGCTTCCGCGCGCTTCTCGGTTCCAAGCCCGGCCCAGCTTCGGCGTCTGTAGACTGTTCATCATGGATGCAGGTCACTGAGACTCCTTGCACTTCAACCGCGACCCAGACGGCTACCGTCACATCGTACACCACTACCTTGGCCAATGCCTACCCCGGGCTCAAGAAGATGAAGCGCGAGGAGATCGAGGCTCGCCAGGCCTTGACTACCACTGCTGCTGCCCCAGTCTGCACACCCAAGCAGAACCGCCCAAGCAGCATGCCGGCCTATGCCGAAACGGGCTGCAAGAGCACCATCGGAACACTCGTTCCCACGGCGCGCTACTCCTCTGCCTGCTCCTGTGACGGCATCACCGCCACAACCACCACGCTGGCTACCCCGGTCACCACTGTTACTGTCACCACCACCGTTGAGGCTGCCTTCACGCCCACGGCCACACCCACGGCATTCGTCCTGCAGGGTTCCGGCGACCGGAGCCTGTACGTGACAGTCGATAGCCAAGGCGCGCTCCGCCTCGTCCGCGATGCGTCTGTCGCCACACCATTCTACGTCGACAAGGCCGGACAGATGCGCAACTTGAACAGCCCGGACAAGGTCCTCGTGGACTACTACCAGCCCGACCCTGCCACGGCCAACGACAAGGTTTACAGCGACTTGCAGGGCACCGGAAACTACCCCATCACCTGCTCGTACACCGGTCGCTCTGATGGTGCGTACTACGGCAACTGCCAATCGAGCGGTTCTCCTACTGGAAACCCTGTTGTCTATGGCTTCGGATACTGCCCGAACCAGGGCGGATACGTCTACATGATCCCCAACAACTCAAACGTGCGCTGTGCTGGAGGTTATGCCTTCCTGGGCTTCTGGCTGCAGGCTTACACCAAGGCCTGAAGAACTCAGGAGCTGATTTGTTGTGTTTTCTATTCTCAAAGAAGGGGACAGTTTCGTATGAGACTGTTCTTTCCCAAACAACTTCTTTGCTCAAAAAGGCCATTGGCCTTCAATTCCTCCTTAATTTATAGCATTTGATAGTTTGTTGTGGCGTTTCAGTTTCTAATTAATGATAAGTTTAAAATAATTCACCTTGACACGATTTAAAAGCAGTGATGATGTACGGCGCACAATGTTTTGTTGTTCGAACCGTTCCCCAAAAGCCGAAGTTCTGGCAAAAGATTCAATTGTCAGCTTTACGCTAAGCCACCAACTCACACTCGATGAGATTCTCGACATCCGACTGGCCGCACTTCCAGAAGTTGACGATTCTCAAATTCAACCCGCTCTCCTCAATCAGCTGGTGCCAGTGGTCTTCGGTGCGTTCCAACGCCGAGAGCTGGGTCATCATCAGAATATCGCCGGCTGTGGCCTCCCAGTAAGCACCCGTACGCGGAATTACCACCTCAAAGATCAACAGCTTGCTGTATCCGGGCTTCATCGCCTCTGCCAGGGGAGCCAAAATCTTCTTGCAAACGTCATCTGGCCAGTCGTGCATGATTGAGTGCATGAAGTAGGCCTTTGCGCCTTTGATTGGCTGCTCGGTCAAGAAGTCGTGGCCCATCAGCTCGATGCTGGTGTCAATGCCTTTGACGTCGTTGATGACTACTGGAAGATCCTGGAGGATGAGTTTCTGCTTGACTGTTAGCAATGATTCAAGAGAATATGTTGGACCTCGAGCAAGACGGATCCTGTGAAGGGGAAGAACTGACGCCTGGATGATTCGGGTACATCTTCTTGAACTCATCAATGTCATGGCCAAGGCCACCGGCGACATCCACCAGCAGTGGTGCATCGGGTGAAGTATCCGCACCTGAGAACAAGGTCTTCTCGACAGGGTACAACGAAGGGTGCATCCAGGGCACCCGCCCTTGTCGATAGCCTCCCACTGTGAAGTCATCGTCAGTGAACATGTTTTCATGCCTTGGATCCTACTTCTTAACCTACTGTGATGGTTTGTGTGAGGCCCCAGTCCTATTGAACGGAGGTACTCAAAACAGTTAGGCGAGTCTGTCTTATAAGACGCGTGCATGGCTGTATGTGCAGCATCAATAGGATTCTGCCAATTGGTCTCCCGGAGAAACTTGGAGAACTCAATTGGGCTTCGACCAATGCCACCTAGTCTGTAATTTGTACGAGATATCAGTTGGGATGACAGATTTTGCGGAAAACATAGAGACAGGTATTCTTACAGCGCAACATAGCCGTCGCCGATGACATCTAGGGCCAATGACTTGGTAAAGTTGGTGAGTATGTACTCATCCTGCGCTGTCTCCTTCAAATGACCCATGGCGCAGACGTGACGCAAAAGACGTCCTGTATACACTGTAAGCCGAGCAACCTTCCAAGGCTACATGATGCAATCCACTTACCAAGAAGTACCGGATCAACTCTGAGAGTCTCGGCCAGAGCGCCCACTTTTTGGGGCTGATTGACACCATTTTGGGCCATGAGCTTCCATAGGCCAGTGTCGACTCCAGTGATCAAAGCTGCGTTGAGTCCCGGCTAGCTCCAGTCAACAGTCTTACGACTTAATGTACCGGGTTTAGGTTAATACTCACGTCCGCCCACGTGTGCTGTACCATTTGCTCACGTGGTGTTTGGAGGGACTGAAGAAGGCTGCGAGTCTTGATGACCAGTTCATGGCGTGTTTCCTCGTCTCCCTCGACTAGCTTCTTCTGCAGATCATTGATGTCTTGGATCAGGCCACCCACAGCCGTCAAGTTGCTCGGGCGGGTAGCAAGAGACAGGTCAAGGCTCTCAGTCATTTTCAGATTTCGTGAAGAGGGACAAATGGTAAAAGGAAGGCTGTAAAGAAACTCAAACTTTGACGATCTCCAATATGTCACACCAGCGGTTCAAAGAGGATTGTCTTTAAGTAATGCAGAGGCGCAGCTTCTCAAATTATCAAAGTGGATCTTGGATATCCTCAGGAACGTTGCAACGATTACTTCCCGCTGTACCCACTGAAATCATGTTGGCTTGGTTGGCTTCCAACAGAAGTCACCACTTTTACATCCGTTTTCGTCTCAACGCCCGACAAGGGGATTGATAGAGTCTCTGGGGTGCTAGTTGAGGGGTACGTAAGTTATCGCGTGATGAAGTGCTGTTTGCTTCATAACCCCCACACATCAATCTTCAAGAACAGGCATTGAAATCCTATAGGCCCAAGCCGGTGGGAGAAGCGACAAGATGCATATCGGTAATGAACCAAGAAGTTATTCCAGCCGTCAACAACTTACACGTAAGCCTTGACAGACGGGCGAGCCTTCCCCGGTCTCCCGGTCTCTGGGGTCTCATTCCCGGACTTCCTCCGAGGTCGCATCAAGCCACAAGTGACAGTCTTCAACCAAAGTTCCTTTCGAACCAACAGCTCGGGAAAGGATGTTGACGGTTGATCATCGACCAACAACCAACAGCCAACCTGCATAGCCATGGATAGTGTGGAAACAGACCCAACTTGCAATGCACAACAAGCGGAACCAGTCCGAGGCTTATGGATTAATCATATTTACGCCGGAGATCTGAGACGTTGAAAGCCTTCTGCCTCTTTACTTACTTTCGTGATGGTGAATCTAGGCCTTCGCCGTCTTTTGCGCACCAATTGATGTCTCTCATCTCATCATTCAGTAGGCATAGTTTGTCAACATGGTCGATGATAAAGGTCTAATGATCATTGCGGTCTGTTGGACCTTCACTGCCCTTGGCCTCGTATTCGTCGGTGGACGGCTCTTCGTTCGAGCCACTGTGCACCGAAAGCTATTCAGTGATGACTACTGGATCATTCTATCATCTGTACGTCTGTTCAGTTCTGCGCCCTCTGGATCATGGATATCAAAGCTTGAGGCACACTGGCTAACAAAGTTGACGTCAACCAGGCCTGCGCCATCCTCTCGAACGCATTGGTGACCATCTCAGTCGGCTGGGGCAATGGCAAACACTTCACGGCTCTTGATCTAGAACAAAAGCAGAACACGGTCAAGTGGATGATAGCGGCTTACGTGCCCGGCATAGAAACTCTCGGCTTCCCAAAGCTAGCCGTCATCGCGCTTCTCACCCGCTTGCTCGCGCCGGGAAAGCTTCACCTCCGGATACTCTGGTTGATGGGAATTATATGCTGTCTCTCACTGACAGCCATGGTTCTGACACTTCTGCTGCAATGTACACCTCTCAGAGCTCTTTGGACGTTTTCGATGCCGCGGAACTGCTTAGACCCAAAGGTTCTAGAAGGATTGGCTTTCTGGGCTAGCTGTGAGTAGTTATTCGTGATCGCAATACCTGGTCCCGAGAGCACTGACTGACTAATACCGACAGCCTTTTCTGCCTTTCTTGATTTCTACTTGGCTGTATATCCAGCAGTGGTGCTCTGGAAATTGCAAATGCGGTTTCAGAAGAAGCTGGCGCTCACGTGCGCTCTTGGAATGGGCATCATGTAAGTGTCATTGCCGCAGGCTGAGAGGCGTGTCTGACGAAGATCAACAGCTCCGGATGTGCTGGTGTTGTGAAGGCTACGGGTGTACCAACGCTTTCAAGCCAAGACGTCAGCTGTAGGTTATCCAATCATCTAAGCCTCAACTACAGAGCCTGCAACTAAGAAATTATCAATTGCAGACGACTTATGTGACCCACTATATTGGACATCGTGAGTGACTCCTTCTCTCTTTGAAGTAGGACTCGACTCACCTGTGGAATCGACAGCATCGAGGGGAACCTCATCATCATCGCGGCTTGTATCCCGATTCTACAGCCTATCCTAGAGATGTTCAAAGGGCGCAGCATCTGGTCTCTTGACAAGAAGTCGGGCAGCTACCAATACAACAGCCACAGCAAGAAAAGCGCACATCAGCAACAGCATATGCAGCAAGACTCGATCGAACTAAGAAGCAAGCCTAGGAAAAAGGTAGATGTGTACGGGTTCACCATGCACGCCAAGGAAGACAGTGAAGAGAGCATTGTAAATCCAGGAAAGCATGCTGAGACATCCTCTTCTGGACGCCAGAGTGATACATATCCCGAAAGCGAGGACAAGATTGTGAAGAGTAGTACCGTCACTATCACGTACGATCAGGGGGAAGAGGGACCGACCTCAGCAGCAACGCGATGGGCTGCAATCTGAGTTCAGTCAGAGAAGATAGCATCATCAAGAATTGAGCTCAAAATATTGACTCTAGGAATTTATAGGCAGTAAGGCATTCTTCAGCCAGTGCGACTGCACTTGCCCCCCCCGGCTTTCAGCCCTTCTTCAACAAGCAAGGTGAGACTGCCGCGTTTCCGAAGACGCCAGTGACAATCCAGTATCATATCAAAGAGCATTGGAAGACGCTGAACCAACGGCTGCTACGTCCCAAGAGAATATGAGACGGGGACGAGCCGCAAAGCCGCCTTCGTCGCGCTGATCTCCTGGCCAGTCAGGTTTCAGAAACGTTGCTGAAACTGGTGGGGGGTCCCCCTCGATGCCCAGACTAACACACGGCAAGAGGCAGCTTTTTCATCCCATGTCCACAAGGCGGGATACTTTAACTCCACGTCAGGCAACTGGCAGAAATGCAAGTTCGTCTCATAAAAAAGAGAGCCTCGAAGTTGTAGGTTTTTTTTTTTTTGCACATTTAGACAGACATGATGCTGTCTTCATCATTACTATTCCCTCTCGCGTTCGCGTCTTATACGGTCGCATCAGAGGTCCAAGCACACTTGGGCGGGGTACGAACATGCCCCTGGACACCACTCGAGACACTGTTGGAGTGCTCGACTTGGGATATCGCGACAGAAAGAAAGCAAAATGCAGAGACTAGGCAGAGGCAACGGAATGAGACGACAGTAAATGAGCCATTAGGATGGACGGGACCTCATGGGTGTGCAGGAGCTTACTGCCTATACGCAAATCGCGGCTTCGCAAACGGGCGAGGGATCGTCGTTATCTCAACACCAGAAAACGTGCAGAAAGCAAAGAACTTGGAACAAGACCTACAGACTCCGGACCGGGAAGATGATCCCTCATCACGGAACCCATCATTCCAGATCGCAGAGGTAGAAGGCAAGGGACTCGGCATGCTCGTCAACAAGACCCTCGCTCGGGGCGACACAGTCATGCTCAAGACGCCAGTTCTCCTCGCCCACCGCGCCTTCATCGAACGCACGCCAGCAGCAGACCGGCACTTCCTCCTCGACAGCGTGACGAGCTTCCTACCAGCTGCAACACGCAAGACCTTCCTCGGCCAGATGGGACACTTTGGCGGCCACAAGGTCAGCGACATCATGGCGACCAACTCGTTCCAGATGGACCTTGGCGGTGGTGTGCACGGCGACGGCCACCACTACGGCAACTTCCCCGAGGTGTCGCGGTACAACCACGACTGCCGTCCCAACGTCGCCTTCCGCATCGACGGCCTGCGCCACCGCACCACCGTCGTCAGGCCGGTCAAACCCGGCGAGGAGCTGACGATATCGTACCTCGACCAGCTCGGCGTCCGCTCCGTGCGGCAGCACCGCGCCAAGAGGGCGTGGGGCTTCGAGTGCGGGTGCTCTCAATGCAGTCTGCCTAAGAAGCTTGCCACGGCGTCGGATCAGCGGCTGATGGAGATGGAGGAGCTGGAGAGGCAGCTCTCTGATATCGGAGCGAGGGCGACGGTGGCTATGGTGGAGAGATTCTTGAAGTTGCATAAGGAGGAGAGGCTGGAGTCGAAGCTGGCGGGAGCGTATACGACTGCGGCGCTCAACTTTAATCTGCTTGGGAGGAATAAGCTGGCTGTCAAGTATGCCAAGCTAGCTGTTGAGGCGGGTACGATTGAGAGCGGGCCGGAGACGGGGGATGTTGAGGCGATGAGGGAGTTGGCGGCGGATCCGAAGAAGCACTTTACTTGGAGAGGGAGGCTTGGATGAGGCAGCACAAAATCGAGACTCATGGCCGACTTATGGTCAGTTGGAACAGCGACTCAAAGCTCTCGCCCCATCTTTCCGGCCGTTAGGATCGCAGTGAAGCAAGATCGGAAGTCGCTTTTTCAGCCTCAGCAGCCCCCCACCATGGCCTTAGGAGGGGTTAAGATCGCAGTGAAAGGTCAGAAGAGCCAATCCTCTGAAGCGCATCTTCCAAACCTCGTGGCTGTGGCGAGGAGAGGGTGTATATGAGCAAGGGCTTGCCCATCCTTCGAGCTGGGTGAGTGATGCACCAGTGGAATCATCACTCATACAGAGATAAGAAAGCCATTCGGAGCAGACACAACTCTTCACTGCAAAAAGGACAGCATGGCTCGTGAAGTCGTATTAAGAAGAAGTTCTTAGTCAAGAGCATAGCAACAGCAGGGGTTCATCCCGAAAGGGAAAGCAACAGAGTCAAGCACCCTGCCACAAGCCCGAAATGAGACACCTTGTCGTCCTGTCACGGTCAGCAATAACATTAGACATTGCATGCGTACTCCATAGCTCAACGCGGGTCGTGATAGACGCAGGTTGACGCAGGTCCAGATTGTAGAGAGCATTCGACGCAGGCGACTCTTAATTCTCGTCGAAACATTCGTTAAACAAGCTACTGTGCAGCTGGTTTAAATGATAGATCTTAGATCCTCCCGTGACGTTTTGTAAAGAACGCGCCGCATGCTTGAACGCAGATCCGGGTCCCCCCCCACAGGAAGCGGGTTCCCTCATCTAAGTCCAACAGGCCCCATCACGTTAACCTTTCGGCAGATCCGGGCTGCGGGCCGTTCAATTGTTTCTCGAATGGTCGCCGCGCGGCGAGTCGGGCGAGCCGTGGTTCTTGGTCCTCAATGTGACACATGAGCTCGGTACGGAGCAGGAATGCGACTGTTTTGAGCAGGTTATCCTACGTTGACGGTAGAGCGCGGTTCCCAGATCGTCGACTGGTTGCGCGAGGGGAGTGTTCTGGACTAGGTGTTGTCGTGGGGTGAATCCCATCGGTGTAAACCTAAATGACAACTACATGACAAGAGAGATCATCCACAGCTCAATACCCTTTAATCTAAGGGCACGAGGAAGAATATGGTTAAAAGCTAGTAAGGTTATCGTGATCGCTGTTCTAGGGCGTGCAAACGTCCCTGAAGATCGTTTATTTTGGGTCATGGGGGGGGGGGGGGGGGCTCCGCCAAAACGCTCGAAACGGGACTCAGTCAAACACTTTCGTTGTTCGTGGTCAGCTCGGTGAGCTCGGTGAAAGAATGATTCGCTGAAACCTGACTCGCCCAACGGCGTGTCCTCGTATGATGGGGAAAAAAGCTCGGGGCATGAATTTCTGGACCGGCATGTTGTATTATATTGGAAGCCCAATGCAACTCGGGGCAGACGCTCTTCCCCTAGTCGAATAGAACGGCCTATCCGCGCTGCTAACTGCGTCCAACAGAGAGAGGTCTTCCCCCCCCTCCCCCTCCTTCTCGCGATGATGGATGGGTGATGTCTCACGCGCAAAGAAAATGCCGGCAGTCCGGGGGAAAAAAAAAAAAGATCGAGATCAAAGACACGGGACGCTAGCCCCAGGAACAAGGAACATGGCGGCAGAGAGGCAATTCGGCGCCGTGGGCTGGAGAAGGTTCGTTGTGCGCTGGACGTCCTTGTGACGGGATGACAGGCGGGCGGGTGAGAAGGGACGGGGCTTGGTTGGTGGTGTGTCAAGGTGTGGGGGGGCCCGAGGTGCCGGAGGTCCCACTCCGGGACAGTCTAGCGAATGGCAATGGCGCCTTGTCGGCCGATGCGGAATTTTTGAACATCCACCCAGCCACCCCGGCCACGAGCCAGTGACGTAGCGGTGATGGTCCTCGGCGGGATCCACGCTCAACTTCTTCTCTTTTTTTCCCTTCCCTACTGCGATGTACTAGCCCTAGCGCGCCTAGTATTGAGTCGTATCGCGAATTAACCTTCCGTCCGGCATCGCCAGCTTGTTTTTTTTTCTTCTTACTGATCGTCTAGGCCTTTTGTTATGGGGAATTCTCAATTGGGATACCTGGTGATGTGCGGGCGACCGACCTGCCCCCCTCCCATCCTCCTCCCCGGTGTAAGACAGACGTAATGTTCCCTCCAAATGAGGAAAGTCGAGACTAGGGTTGTGGTTTGATTCATCAAATTCAAACGGCCTCCTTGCTCGAAGCAAAACAATTGATCAAAACGGCGCATCAGAGACGAATGGTCCCCGAGACGTGGTGGACCCCGAGTTTGGGTAAACAGCTTCTTTGTCTTGGACACAATGCGGTAGAGCTGTAGGTAAAACAAGCTTGAAGTGGCACTCGCTCAGGCGCAGAAGCTTGAATTTCCCCCCTTTCAAACCCGGGTTACTCGCAGTTCGGCAGACCAAGCTACCGAGGGAAAAGCTGCATATCTGCGTCGTAGTCCGCGGTGTTAGTCCAAGATTTACCCTGCAAACTCGAGCGGGGGGGGGGGGGGATTCGACCAAGAATTGCGTCTGCTTTTCCTGCGCTTGTTCAATGCTACCGTCAATGCCCATGGCACGAACAAATGTTTCCACTCACACTTGTTCAAACGGGCACTTCGACCTTTCCTCCGCGAATGCTGTTGGCTTTTATCACTGGTTCTTCGTGACATCCCTACCCCTGCTTGTCACATCCATAAGGCCCATGACTTGCAGGCCCGGGCTTCCCACCCAGCCCCATTCAATCGTCCTCGCCGGGGGTGGCCTTTGGGAGGTTCGCTTGGCAGATTTGCAGTGAGCCATACCCATAACGTTGCCCTGCCCTTTCCTTCTTATTGAAATGCGCTCATTATGGTAGACGGGCGTCATATTTCTGTCACCAACTACATACTATTTATCACTTGTGTCCTTCCCTCCCCGCCCTTTGCAAGGTCTAGCTCAGCTGTCATCTGAGCTCTCATCTTCCTTCGGGTTGTCTCTACTAGACTCTCACCCACCACCGGCCACTCACACATAGCTCCCACCAGTCATACAACATACACCACCATCCAAAATAAACATAATCTCAACACCATGGCGCCGATAACACCAATCTCAAACACCCTTTCGGCCCTCGCCGCAGGTCTCACAAAACGCCACCCATCAGACTTCCTCCCGCCAACAAGAACCCTCCCCTCCCCCCTCCGCGCCATCCTCGCCTCCCGCCAAGTCGTCACCACAATCACCTCGACCCCCGAGACGACAGAAGAGTCCGCCTCCAACAACAACCTCAGCGGCGGCGCCATCGCCGGTATCGTCATCGGCTCCATCGCCGGCTTCCTCCTCCTGCTATGGATCGTTAAATCGTGCGGCATGTGGAGCCGGCCCAACGACTGGTCCGAAAAGGACGAGTACGATGAGCGCAGCCGCCGATACCGCGGCCGATCACCCGGCGCCAGGCATCGTAGGCGTACGCAGCACCGGTACCACCACGAGACCTCGAGGCATAGCCACAGCCGTCGGCCTTCGTATGTGGTTGACGAGGTTCGGTACACGCAGCCCGTTGTCGTTGATAAGAGGAGGAGGGCTAGCGGGTCGCCTTTGCCGCCTGCGAACGTGTATCGCAGCAGTCGCAGCAGGACGAGATACTAAACATGAGAAGGGGAAGGGCGGGCCGGGTTCCTCTGGTGAGACGAGGACCCAGGTGCATGATTAGATGCTGTTGTTGCGAGGTGTCTTCGGTTTTCATTCCAGCTTCCCGAGGACTTTTGTTTGTGTAACAAAGACACACGGAGCAAACACAACTTTTACGACTTTATGAAATGTATTTATTTGCGTGCGGTACAATGTAATTAGACCTGATACCAAGAGCAACGTCGTGTGTATACATCAAAGACATCTCTCTCTTCTAAGCTTTGTATATGACAGATGCAAGAGTTGTTCAGACGTTATGGCGTTTCGCGTAATTATCTCATATCTTATGCCTTGAAGTGGCATACCACTTTCGAAGTGTAGGGGAATACACAAGTACGCAGTGTCGCAAGGTCTGATATAGTGCCAAGTCCACCTCGGACGGAAGAGGATCAAGACTTTTGCAAGGCCGACGATGAGCGAAGCTTATCATCTCGTAAATAAGTGACCGTCGAAGTAGCGCCCAGGATACCTCAGACCCAATGACTAACACTTTAGATGATGCTTAAGAGGCTCGGGGCCATGTCTCAGGTTGAACACTGATAATAAAGTTACATTAAGCGACCAAAACATGCTGCTATCGTAAATGAGCTTCAGTAACGATTGTGATACGATCGCTATCATTTGAGAATCGCAACTGTTGTCATGTTACATACCTACCTTACCATGAGCACTCCGATGCCGCTGCAGAAACATCTGCCACATACGGCCACAGTCAGAGTTCTTTACCTAGACAAACGGTCAACTAGAGTTGTAGAGCTTAAATTGCCTGTATTACCACACAGAGACATCCCTCCATCTAGCAGAAGGGAATAGAAGCCTTCTATATCCATGTAACCCATCGCCTGATCCATGACTCCTAAAAGCGGATGTCCCGATTCCCAAGTATAACGCCATTTCCATATTCTTCATCATAATGATAATGTAGGCAGCACAGAAAGCTCGGATGCTCAGCCAGACTTCGTCTTGTTCTTCTGAACCCAGTCGGCCCACTTCTTGTACTCGCCGTACTCCAAAGACTCCTTCTTGCCCTGATACCGCACGACCTTGAGCTCGACGTCCTGCCACTTGCTCTTGCTGCCCATCCAGCCCGCCTTGCGCATGAGGCTCACGAGCGTCTCCTCCTTGGTCCACTCCTGCTCGACGGCGACGTCGGGGAGGTACGTCGCGCCGTAGCGTTTCCCGTGGTAGAAGAAGCTGGTGCGCAGGCCGTGCACGCCGAGGGTCCAGTCCATGGCGTCGTCGGCGTCCTCAAAGTCGGTGAGGAGGGTCACGGCGACCTCGAGGGAGGGGAGCTCGGGGGCCTCGACGGGCGGGAAGCGCATGTCGTGCAGCGCCGACGTGAGGGCGTAGCTCGACAGACCGTCGGCGAGATCTTGTGCTTCAAAGGTGCCAATGCAGCCGCGCAGCGAGCGGTGGCCCGAGCGGGGGGAGACGGTGTTCCAGGTAACGAAGAGGGGGGACTCGGAGATGTCGTCGGCTTCGTCGTCGTCATTCTCGGCGAGGGAGTCGGTGGAGGTTGCGGGTGTCTCGGCGGAGAGGGAGATGCTAGAGCCGGAGGAGGCCGAGGCGGAATCGCTGGAGGGTTCGGCAAGGCGTTGTAGGGCCGGGAGGAGCTTCTTGCCGTCCTTGCCGTCACCGAGGCCCGGTGACAGGGTCTTGGCGTATTCAGGCCATGACTGTTTGATCTCCTTTAGGGACAGTCCCGGCCGCTTCTCCAGGTGCGAAGCCAGAGCCTCGAAGCAGTAGAGGCAGTGTTCAACGGAAGCCATGAGCTCGTTTCAAAAGAATCTGGCGGGTGGCGTGAGGTGACAGTGGTGGTAAGGGTGGTGGCGTGTCTTGGGAATGAGACGAGGAGCTACAGAGCGTTCCAAAGAGTTGTTCGGGCTGGCGACCGCACGAGGTTCAGCAGGGGACGCGGAGATTGACGAGTTTTGCAGTAGTCGAGTACGAAAAAGAAGGAGATGTGGATGGCGAGGAAAGCTTCCCCCCAAGTGAGGTCAGCTTGGGCTGGGGAGGGGCTGCCTTCCCTCGAGCATAAGGTAGCTCAAGGTGCTGATCGGCGCTACGTACCGCTCCAAACCCCACTTCAGATAACGGAACCCCGCGATTTGGCCCCGGCGGTTGTGCAGTTCTGGGGCATTTATGTCGTGAAATGTCACTGGACATAATTTGCATGGCTCAGTTATGCAATCACTGTACCGTGGCTGACGCGAAATGACTGAGCCACACTTGTCAAGCCACATCTCCCATTTCCTGGATGAGTAAGCTACCGAGTGCTCGTGAACCAAAGTCGAGGAGGAAGCAGACGCTAAAAATATCAGCGGGCCGCTCTAATGATTTTCCCGTATCAAACTCTTCCTGACGTCGATGGAGCAAGGGTCAGCCAGTTTCGAAACGCCCCCTGAACAGGAATGACACTGGTCCGAACGCCTTCTTCATCCCGTCATTCCGCTGTCGAGAAAGTGAGCCGCCCCCTGGAACCGGTCTGTTCTCTACACCTCTCCTGTCTCTCGCAAGGACGAAAGTCTGGACCAACCCACGTCCCGGGAGCACCATTCCCACTGATCAACCTCAAAGCCAAGCTTCACGAATAAGGTACACCGGGGTGAAGACTTGGCAACATGCAGCAGCCGGGGTAGCGTCCGCAGCGTCCCCTCCCCTTCAAGAATCAAAACCCCGCCTTCCCCTGCTGACTTTGCTACCGGAACTTGCTGAAAGCGAGCGTCTTCTTGTCTGATCTTCGCTCGTCCTAGCCTTGGGCGACAGGGGTTGCGACCTTGCGAGAGAGAGAGAGGAGGATCGATGGGCTTTCTGTGACAACGGCACTCATTTTGACTAGTGGGGCCACTGCTACGCGGCTTCTTCGTCACAGCCCAGTTTCAGACGTTGCCCCATCGTCCCCTCTCGAGTCCTCTGCTCCCGCGATCAAACCTCTCCCCAAAAAGATGCCGATCTATCCACTTCCCTAACGTGGGCTTGAAGCAGAAACCTGGCGGATGGGCTGGGGAAGAAGGGAGAGACGAGAACAGAGGAGGAGGAGAAGTCTCCAGATGATGGGGATGGGCCAGCCAGTCAGCTCCATGTCCCATGATTTCCTTAACTCTCTTGTTCCAGGTCTTGGCATCGTTCCTGTAAGTGCAGATGACACGCCGGGAAGTCCCTTGTCTTCATCCGCATCCAACTTGGCCTCGTCTGGAAGAGCTCGCGGCTGCCTCCTTCGTGGACGACTAGGGCCATGGAAAGTTGAGAGGGGAGGCGGCGGGTCGCGGCGACCACGGCCAGGGATGGAACCGGGCGTTGGGAAGCCCTGACCGCTTGGCCTCAACTTCATGGTGCGGGAGCGACAGGACTGTAAAGTTCCAGTCAGAATTTGGATGGCAGATCTGCGTGTGTGTGGCCGTGTAGCCGTGCGCTATCGATGCTCCTCGTCTATAGCGTCCTTGTCTGATGTGTGATGTCGATGGTGATACTTGGCACAGAGAGGTGGCCCCTGACGGAAACCGGGGGCGAAAGTAAGGTATGTGGGCATTGTCGATAACATACAAATACGTCCATCTCCTGACCGTGTTCTGTTTCTTTCGATCTTGCCAGTCAACTAACACACTCTCTCTCAACGTACTTGACTTCTACAACCTTCTCTTCTTGTACAACTTATCTGCTCGTCGCCGGCCGACCACTCGTTCCATTCAACAACTTTTCCAACCAACCGTCAAAATGAAGTACTCCATTTTCACTCTTTTCGCCGTTGCCGCTGCCTTCGTTGCTGCCGCTCCTACCGAGAGTACGTTGCCATCTCGACTTGGATACCATGGATGAACTTGGGGGTATACTAACATGAGTCCAGTGGTCGAGAAGCGTCAGGCTGCTTCCACTGTTCCCGTCAACGAGGCTGCCATGACGGACGCCAACGGCAACATCGTTCCTTTCAACACCGCCGGTGTCTACCAGGCCAATAAGGAAGCCGGTATCTAAACGACCAAACCCACTCGACTTCAAGAGGAGGATTGAGAAATAGAGACCGACGGACACTATCACGAACTGCTAAACGACAACACAATATTATTAAACACGTCCATAAACTCGTAATCTGGCGGCAATACCGGTATGGAGGGTTATAGGGCGATATAGGCATCATGGCAAATCAATCAATGATTTTGGCTTTACTTTGATTTTTTGGGACCGGAATCAACGGAATGGGTGACAAGACAATATCCCCCCGCCTTCTGTGGCAGATAATTCTGAAATATAACCTGGCAGTCAGTAACACGCCGTTATGCGGTTGTCGCTGGCTTCCAGCCTTTTCTTCTCACAGAAGTCATTTTTGCAGTACCTCTCGCGCTCTCTCCCTTCTGCACTTGCGTCAGCAATATTGTGTCTGATGTCTGTCAATCAATGCGCCAGCCGAACTGTCACTCACCATCCATCACGTCAAACTGACTCCGCAGGTGATCAGCCTCTCGAACATGACCAGAAGAGGAAGTGTCCCGACGACGGTTGCTATTTTCTGCTTACTGAGAACCTGGGAAGACCCAGGCTCGAGAAAACCCAGAACTTGGCTGTAAGCTTAAACGCGCCAAACCCACTCCATGTGGGCGGTGGCAGGGGTACGCCCTGAGAGGGGCAGCATGCGCAGTTCGCTTGAGACACCTGGGGCAGTGGGCACAACGGCCTGTCTCCACGAACAGGAGGAACTGGGGTCCCGGTTTATCGTCTGGTCGCTCAGCCACGCTTCATCGTCTTGCGAAGCGGGTTCTCTTCCTGCTTTGATACAGCTGCTCCGCTGAATAGCCTGCCGCGTTGCGGACGGGGTCCGGTAATGCGAGTGCCTGTTTCTGGGTGTTCCATGGTTTCTTTGTTTTTCCAGCGAGCCCCGTCTGTCTGGATTGGAGGCTGAGCGCAATCGCTGGCACGGCAATGCTGACCCGAGTCTCTGGTCTGTTGGGGCTGTTTGGCAACAGCAGACAGGGCCGCTCCACACCGCCTGTATGCAATGATCCAAGGTCGACAGCAAGAGGTCGGGATCGTTTGGGGGCTCAATAGAGTTTGTGTCTGATGTTTCGTTGGCGTTGGGGCGATTGTTCGGGAGCGTAACGCATCGCAGCCAAGGACGTTACATTCCGGACATCTGGGTCGTTGACAACTTCAGAGTTGCTCAGTCGTCGGCTGATGGATGGCGATCCGACGAAAGCCAATTGTCGATGATACGGCCCCTCGACAAGCTGACGTCTTTGACGTGAACGTGGCGGGACGGGTGAAGGACAAGGATGGCTGCTATGGCATGGCCATGCGTCCGATTCGTGCCTTTAGCGAGTGCGTTATCGTCTGAAACTGACTGCTTGACTTGGCTGCTCGTCAAGTCATGCCAGTCGGTTGCTGTTCTAATAACGGCGTGCTTGATGCTCTATGGCGATCTTTCATGCTTTCGCATCACTTTACCGCCGTACCAGGCGTTCAGATGATGTACTCTCACTTGATCAGCGCGAACGGCAGCATTGACGTTGAGTGACCCAATTGAGACATCATTTGGGTCGTCTCAAGGGAAGATTTAAAGTTGAATAGGTACGGTAAAAAGGCTAAACAGAGATGGAAGGCACAGACGAGAGACAAGGTGACGACCCACTTTCCAGTTTCCATCGTTTGGGAAGGCACGATGGCCATTGCAGTGCACAGCCACCTCTCGTCACCTCAGGCGTTGACTCACTTGCTTCTTCCACTGTCTTTCAATTCCGCGCTCACTTCCAACGTGTCTTGGTCGTTTCTTTCTACCAAAACCGTCTAGTAGCCGATGGTCTCGACTGCAGACAAACCATCAACAATCTTCCGACTTCCCTGCCCTGCCATGCCACAACATTGCACCAACAGCTCAAGCAATGGGTACTTGTTCCGTGGTGTTGGGCTCCAGAGTCACATCCAATGCAACCAAGTGGATTAGGGACAGACCCAACCTCAATTAAGCTCGTCGTAAACAATCCGACCTCGCCATGACATCTCACCTTTCCCATTTACAGTCCTCATCGAGATTAACTCGCGCAAACTCCTCGTGGAAAGCTGCAGCCTTGACGGATCACAGCCTCACCGTCGCATGCAAGGACAGCACGAGAGATGAACACATTGCAATCGAAAGCAGGAACCGGAATATGTCTCTCGTCCCTGGCGTCAGCAGTGAGACGCTCGAATTAGCCTCGAACTAGGCCGCTTTCAACATTCCTCCCCACCCTGTCAGCCCTGCTGAAAATGCCGTTGGTTTCTAGGGGGAGGAGTCCAAAGCTTAGAACAGACTGAACAGCCAAGGAGAGGTCACCACATCATCAAACAGACCAACAAGACCGGCCCAGTCACCCACGTTCAGACGTTGGACCAGCCAGTTAGTGGGAATCCCTCCCCAACACGACTTTCACTAGTTACAGCAGCCCTCGATGTCTGTTTGGCAGACCAGCGCCCCCAGGACGAACGAAACGTGTCTGCCTATGCCGCGAAAATGACACAATTTCCAATGGTCTAGGCGGGGAATTTCCCAAGTGGACCGTTTTTGGTTGATTTTGCCTGCGCAGCCACCACAAGCGCGTCTCATGCCCATCGACAGCCGATCCTGAAGGAAGACGACAAGCGCGTAGCGAGATGAAGTTGGAGCCAACCCTTGATCTGCCCGACCCTCCACCTCGCTATGAGAGCCGCAACTCTGGGATTCGCGTTTCCTGTTTTGTTCGATATCAGCCAGGCTGTGAAGCTGGGGGTGCGCACATGTTGGCACTGCGAATCACCTAGACCA